AGCAGAATTCTTCTCTAAGAATGGATACATGTAGGAGAGTTTGAAGTCACTATATGCCATGTATATGAAAGTTCTGTTTGGAGGTGATTGTAGGAATAGTGGAAATTTGAAGATCTGGGATGGGAAAGATTTGTGGTCAGACTCAACTCCTCTACTTATCAGATCTGACACAAACCATACCTTAATTTCCTCTGTAAAATGAGGGCACTATTACATAGACATCCTCTGGAACCACTGGAGATTGGATTTCAGGACCCTACCTTCTGTGGCTATCAAATTCTACAGATGTTTAAGTCCCTTATATAAAATGGCATAGTATTTGCACAAACCTGCACACTTCTTCCTGTGTACACTAAATCATCTCCTAGAATTACTTAATAATACCTTAATATACTATAAATGCTATGTAAATAGTTTTTATATGGTATTGTTCAGGTAATACTGATAAAAAAATGTGCACACAAAGTATGTACATTTTCAGTACAGACAATATTTTTTCGAATACTTTCCCGTTGAATGTGTGGATGCAGAACTCAAGGATCTGGGGCACTGGACTGTATTTTCATACATTATTTGCATATAATACATTATTTAATAATTTTTGTCATAAGGAATAAGTAATGGAATCTGTGTATACATTCTCTGTAAATTAAGTATCTCCATATAATATTGTGTTAAGCGAGATTTGAAAATACCCATATGGACATGGTGGCGAGAGTCCTGTAATCTCACTTACTTAGGAGGCTGAACAGGAGAATCACTTAAGCTCATGAATTTTTGAGCAACATCAGTGGCATCTCATCTCAACAACACCACAGAGAAGGAAAATACGATTTTTTTTTCTTTGTAGTGCTGAGTTGAACCTAAGGTTCTTACACATGCTAGGCAAGTTCTCTGCCATTGGCTACACTGCCCAAATTTCATTTTGTAGGGTCTTTACTGCTACCTTTGCAGGGATGGCATCAAACTTGCAGTCCTTCTGTCTCTGCTTCCTAAGTAGCTGGGATTACAGCATGCACCACCATGCCTGGCTCTATGATGATTATTTACATTTGGAGGAGATATATATATGAATTTCAGGTCTGCAAATGATAGCCCAGCACTTTATGGGATATAAAGAAGTATGAAGAAATAAAAGGACCTTGCAAATTTAAAAATTAGTTGAGTGGAGTCATGGGTAAATGAAAATACCTAATTGATACAAGACAAGGGATTATTGAGTATCAAATGGGTTAGAGATGGTTGTTAAGTATAGAAATGTGCTGCTGTATAGAATCTTTACATTTAGAGATGATATTTAGGGCTATATACATTACAATGTTGTAAAGAAGCAACTGATAAATGGTTTCTTTGGGCTTAATATTATTAGGGGCTTTCTGGCAGAGTGGCTCAAGTGGTGAAGTGTCTGCCTAGCAAAGGTGAAGCCTGAGTTAAAACCCATACTGCCCAAAAAAAATTGTAATATATATGTATGTTGGCCTAGCAAGCCTGAGGCCCGAGTTCAAACCCCATGCTGGCCAAAAATAAATAAATAATGTTATTAGGTACTAAAGATGATATGTGTCCTAATGAGAAAAGACAGAAGTTGGTAAAAATACATTAACTTTAAAAAAGATATTATTGCTTAATATCTTAAAGGTGAAAGGGGTGGGGAAGAGGGTAATGGCGGAGTAAATATTGGTCAAGTGTGTCATAATGAAACCCCTTTATACATTAATATAATAAAAATCACTTAAACATGTAGTATGGAAATATTTATGTAGTAGTAAGAGTTGGTTATGGAATGTCAGTTAGCTTGGTTTGGTTTATCTTTTCTTTCCTTTTTTTTGGGGGGGAGGAGTTGAGGTTTGAACTTGCTGGCAGTTGCTCAATGGTCAAGCCAAGCCTGCAGCCCATAGCTTGGGTTTGAATCTCACTCTCTCCACTTCAGGTTAAAGTGCTTTAAGATGCAGTGTCTTTAAAATGGAGCTATTAATAGCACTGCTAGGTGAATGCATGCGAGACCATTACGTATACAGCATCTAAACAATGCTTGGCACATTAGTAAACGCTGGGTTTTAATTTCCTCATTATTTACTATGCAACAAGGAATGGTCCATATGTTTGATAGTGCCGTACTGGAACTTCATTTTGCTTCTTTTGTTAGCTTAAAGAATAATAATTGTTGTTGTTATTATTATAATTGATGGTTCTGGGGATTGAAATCAGGGCCTCGCACTTGCTAGGCAAGCACTCTTAACACTTGGGCTATGTCCCTAGTCCTTGTTATCTCAAATTATATACCCAGAACAATTTATAATCCTTTTTTTTGGCCTTCTATGCCAAGATCTCCTATAAGATGAAAATTTTAAATGCTTTGATGTAGTGGCATGGTGGTGCTCATCTGTAATCCCAACTACTTGAATGGCTGAGATAGGAGGGATCACAAGTTCAAGGCCAACCTGGGCAGCTTAGCAAGACCCTGACTCAAAAGCTTAAAAAATGGGTTGTAACTAAGTGATAGATCATCTTGCCTAGCATAAGCGAAACTCTGGGTTCAACTACCATACTGCAAAATAAAATGAAATGACAAAAAATATTTAAAAAATGCTTTGGATGTTATTACTTTTATAGTCAGCAATACTATTAAATTATTTCCATTTTGAATGGAACTTTGAAAATTTAGTTATATCTCAGTTAAGCCATGTTTTTTCCTCCCTTTAGTACTTGAACTCAGCGGCCTTCACTTGAGCCACTCCACCAGCCCTATTTTTGGTGAACGGTTTTCTGAGATAGGGTCTCTCAAACTATTTGCCCAGGTGGCTTTGAACCTCAGTCCTCCTGATTTTCTGCTCCTGAGTAGTTAGGATTACAGGTGGGAGCCTGGCTTAAATTTTGATTCCTTTTTTTCAGTTGTATGGGGTTTGAACTCAGGGCATCACAGTTGCTAGACCAGGTGCCCTCTACTACTTGAACCACTCCCCCAGTCTGTGGAAGGGTTGTTTTGATGTAGAATCTGATGAACTATTTGTCTGGGCTGGCTTGGAACCGAGATCTTTCCTGATCGTCTAGCCTTCTGACAGTAGGCTTAGCGCTAGAATTTACCAGGGGGGGGGGGGGGGGGGGGGGGGGTGGGGGTGGGGTGGGGGGGGGTGGGGAGGGGCGGGGGGGGGGGGAGGGGGGGGAGGGGGGGGGTGGGGGGGGGGGGGGGGGGGGGGGGGAGGGGGGGGGGGGGGGGGGGGGGGGGCCTGAGTCACCACCCTGGCTGAGTCAATCAATCTTCAATGAACTGATTCTTCAATAGGTAGAGATTCTAACTGGACCTTAGTCTTATATATTTTGCTTTAGGTACAAACTCTGACAAGACAATTTGTCGTTTTCAGATCATGAACTATTTTTCCTTTGCTTCATTCAGAGTACAAATGCACTTCTTTTTGGGGACAGGGCAGAGAGGTACTGGTTTAAATGCTCTTGAGCCATGTCCTATATCCCCCCCACCCCACCTTTTTTAAATTGTTGAATACTTTAGATCTTTCTTTTGATTTAATTTTTTTCTTTTACAGGAGCTATTTTTATCCCAAATTGTGAGGCCACTGCACAGTGTGATGATTGTACAAAGAGTGGTATTAAATTCCCGACCTGGTATGTATTCTTCTGTGGTGAATAAACTCTTTGATAATTGTTCATGCAAATGGAGGAATTAAAACTAATACAGTGTCAATATGGTAAGTTAAGGTAGTAAGATAATAAGACAAATATATTAAAAGAAACTCTACGAAGTGTAATGTTCAGATTTTCAAATAACTGATCAAGGCAATTTGTTGATAAGGTATTGTGCTCATAACATCTGGAAGGTTATATTGCAAGTATGTATGGATTTTGTTTTTTCTTATAGTAGGATCATTTATTCTAAAATTTGCTTTCTGTCTCGTGAAACATACGGATTTATGTCAGTGCTGACATCTGCCGAATCATTAGAAACTTAGGTGTAGAAGTACCTGGGAGGTTTGAGCCCACTGTTGCTTTGACTTTGCTGTTCACCTACTGAGGAAGTCAGCCAACTTTTTCTGATCTTAGTTTAGTAAAATGAGCAGTTAGATTAAGGATTTTTTTGTTTTGTTTTTATTTTTGGTGACTGGGGTTTGAACTTAGGGGCACTTCACCATTTAACCCATCTTCTGGCCCTCTTTGCTTCATTATTCATTTATTATTTATTTCAGTACTGGGCTTGAACTCCGGGCCCTACACCTTGAGCCACTCCACCAGCCCTTTATGTGATAAGTTTTTTCGTGATGGGTGGGGTGCCAAAAATATATCTCTAGGATTATAAGCGTGAGCTACTTAGGTGCCTGTCTTGCTTCATTTATTTTTCAGATAGGCCTGGACCTCAGTCTCCTACTTATGCCTCCTGAGTGGCTGGGATTAGAGTGTGAACCACCACGCCCAGCCTAGGTTTAAGATCATTTCCCGCCTTAGAAATTGATGATTCTTAGATAAGAAGTTGGATTATGTTAAACATAAAGATAAGTATATTTTAGTGATGATATTTTCTGCTTATACATTTTCCTCATACCTCAAGATTTCCAATTTATTAATTTCCAAGACTTTAAAAAAAATTTCATGTAAGTGTCTGTTTGCTTCATAAAATGAGGAGGGAAAGTTTAGGTAACTTCATTTTGGCTGATGTATCTCTACTATTTTATAAATTTTAATTGTGTATTTAAAAGAAGCTGGGTGTGATTTTTTTTTTTTAACTTTTCAAAATCTTCCTATAATTTATTTATTTATTTATGTATGTATTTGCAGTATTGGGGCTTGAACTCAGGGCTAATACTACCTCTAACTACTCACCACCCCTTTTTTGTGATGGGTTTTTTCAAGATAGGGTCTTGTGATCTCTGCCTCCTGAGTAGCTAGGGTTACAGGCTTGAGCCACTGGCGCCAACTATATTTTGTTTTTGAGATAGGGTTTCCTAACCTTGCCCAAGCTATTTTGACTTGCCTGCCAGAATAGCTGGATTACAGCTATGTACCACCACTCTTGCCCCTTCTATAATTTTGAAAATGTGAAGTGATTTACCTATAATTAAAAAAAATAATTTTAGAAGGTTGGCAACAATATTCAAAAGAACATCTTGGAGAAACCAAGAGTGATGGAAACTGAGAATTTACCCTGAGTTATTCTATAGTTCTAGAGAACTTGTAAGACAATATAGATTTACTCATGCCTGTATTAAAAGAAAGTACTCCAGATTCCAAGGTGACCTTTTTAAAATAATAATAATTGCATAGGAAAGCAACTCTGTGACCTCATGTTTTTGTCTGATATTTTAGGAAAAAATGGTAATCCAGTGGCAGAGAATTTCCGAATGGGAAGAAGTCAGTTACCATGATATAAATGAAGGACAGGTACAGTTAGAACTCTTTATCTGTCTGTGGACCCTTACATGGTAAGAGTCAAAATGTTGTGATTTGGCAAAAACTCATTTCCATGTTGTTTCATCAGAATTTTATTGTATAATCTTATGGCTGATAAATATTCAAACAGTTATATTTTGATCCTGCCTGTAAATTACGATTACCTTTATTTTTATTTACCGTATTACTAAAGAATATTGCAGAAGGAATGTATTCATAATAGTACATGTGGTTAGTCAGGTTCTTCCAGATATCCAGAATACTTCCCAGTAGTAAGTAAAGCTTGAAGAAGTAAATGACGTTGAAAATTCTCTCAGAATGGATCTGGTTACTGTGCAGACACTCCACCAGCCCTAGATCTAGTTTACAAAGTAGGCTGTGTATGAGACCTTTATTCTACTTGATCTCCCCCTTCTTCCTTCCTTCCTCCCTTCCTCCCTTCCTCCTTTTCTCCCTCCTTCCCTCCCTCCCTCAGTACTGGGGTTTGAACTCAGGGTCTACCCCTCGAGCCACTCCATCAGTCCTTTTTTGTAAAGTGTTTTTTCAAGATACGGTCTCACAAACTATTTACCTGGGCTGGCTTCAAACCTCAGTCCTCCTGACCTCTGCCTTCTCAGTAGCAAGGATTACAGGCATGAGCTACCAGCACCCAGATACCTTTCTCTTTTGTTACTTAAACTTTTGGTCTCATATCTGAGAATTCTTTTCATCACCCATTGGTATGAAGTTTAGCCCTAAGTTTTCTTCTAAGAGTTGTATAGTTTAAGCTCTAACATTAGGACTTTGCCCCCTCCTTTTTTTTTTCCAGCAGTACTGGGATTTGAATTTAGAGGTTCATGCTTACTAGGCAGGTGCTCTACCACTTGAGCCATTCTGCCATTGGTGCCCAGCTACTTTGGACCATTTTGAGTTAATGTTTATGTATGGTAAGGAAGGGATCTGTATTCTTTTGCATGTGGACATTGTTTTCCAGCATGATTTACCTAAGGGATTGTCTTTCCCTGTTGTGTGTTCTTAGCCTATTGTTCAAAGTCAATTGTGTATATTTTTTTCTGGGCTCTCTATTTTGTTCCATTGGTCTGTGTGTCTCTTTTTATGCCAGTACCAACCTTTTGATTATCACAATAATTTTAGAACATAATTAAATTCCTTTTTAATCATACTTCTTTACTGGTTTGCCTAAGGTATGTTTTTTCCAGAATAAAAAATAAAAGGAAGAGAGAAATTAAGGTAAATTTTGTTTCTATTAACTTAACTAGCACTTATATGCTTTTCTTTTAGTTGCTTGGTAAATTAGTACACTGTGGTTATCTTAATTAGTGTTCTCTTTTTCAGCGTTGTAGGATGAATGAAGATACTGGCAGTGATTATTTAGTACCTTGGCAGCTGTCTCAGGTGGTTGATGGCGGAGGCATTGGAATTATAGAAGACAGCAAGCACACAAGTTTGACTAAAGGCGATGTTGTGACTTCTTTCTTTTGGCCCTGGCAAACTAAAGCTGTTCTAGATGGGAGCATCCTTGAAAAGGTGATGCGTAATGTAAAAGTATCTGATATTTTCCTCCTTATAATTCACCTTTATAATTTTGTATTTTTATTATTTTGTTTGTTGTGGGTGTGGTAAATAAAAGCATACATTGTCTTTTAGCTACCTGCCAAAATGTCAAAGGCCTTTATTCCTTTTTTTTTTTTTTTTTGGTGGTACTGGAATTTGAACTCAGGCTTGGGCTTGCTGGGCAGGCACCCTTACCATTTGACTCTTTCTGCCACCCCCTTTTTGAGATGGATTTTTTTCAAGATAGGGTCTCTCAAGCTATTTGCCCAGTGTTGGCTTTGAACCATGATCCTCCTTATTTCTGCCTCCTGAGTAGCTAAGAGCCACTGGCACCTGCCCCTTTATTTCTTTTTTACTGTAGACTGTAACTTTATGTGAGAATTCATAGATTACCAAAGAATGGTCTCATTTATATTTTGTTTCTCAAATTGTATGAATGATATAAAACCTGAGCTATATGCATCAGGACTAGAAATCTCCCAATAATTATATAGGCTAAAGATTCTTGAGAAGTATCCACCGAAGAAATTCATTTACTTTATGATAGAAATTCCATCTCATGTAAGAAATCCTGAGTTCAGTTCAGCTCCTAAGTTGAACTATGTGAAATGAACAGTATTCAGTTTTGACCCTCAAAAATGGCAGCTTCATGTAATTCAACCTAATTGATAGGTCATTAAGAAAGTTACTTTGTGTCTCTATAGCTGTTTCCTCATGTGCAAAATAAAAAATAGTATCTCTCACAAGTGAGTGAAAATTCAGTGCTATGTTGTGACTAAAGATTTGCAAAAAGCTTTATAAAATTTTAGAATGTTTTATTATTGCACATCTTAGCCACTTTGTAACAGTTGCTAATACCAAAATAGAATCACTTATTTCAAACTCAGCAAAACAGAGCTGGGAGGATATGAAGAGGGGCCTTCACAAACTTATGCATATGATAAGTACCATTGCAAGGACTCTGAAAACTACCAACTTGTACAAAGGCCACCACAACTTTGCATGAAAGATTGCTTGTAGGGAAGATGCCTACCCATCCACTTCCTATTCCACTACTGGACTAATACCACCTTTGTTATTATTCCTTATAATTGAGAACACGTGTCTTAAAACAGCTATTATAATTGTCCTCATTTTTCCTTTCAACACTCTTGTCTTGGGGATGGGGGTGTAGCTCAGTGCTAAAGTGCTTGCCTAGTTAAAAGTGAGGCCCTTGTTTTGATCCCCACTACTGAAAAAAAAAAAAAATCAAACACAATAACAACAGTAACAAAAACCCTTGCCTCCCTGGAAAGGCCAAGGTCTGTCATGGCATGCATATCATAGATTACAATCCCTTGCTATTCCCGAATAAACTCCATTTTTTGGAGAGCCATTCTCTCTGTCACTCATTTTAGATTAAGTTAAAGGAGGCTAAGAGACAAATGCTCTGCGGAGGATGTTACACAATTATTTGTCAACATAATGGATTTAATGAAATAGATTGAAACAGAAGCATAGTAGGAAATGAAAAAGGAATATTCACCAGTTTATAGTTCTGCATGTTTTACATAACAGAAAGACTTCATACCATAAAGGTTTTTATAATCATTTTTAAGGAGTTGAATAATTTTGGTAAAAATTTAGCATACCACCAAAAGTAATCAAGATCTACCACCTTAGGTTTTTTTGTTTGTTTTTTCAGTGTTGTGGTTTGAACTCGGGCCTATATTTTGAGCCACTCCATCAGCCCTATTTTTGTGATGGGTTTTTTTTGAGATAGGGTCTCTTGAACTATTTGCCTGGGGCTAGCTATGAACCATGCTCCTCCTGATCTCTGCATCCTGAGAGAGGATTATAGGTGTGAGCTACTGGCACCCAGATACTGCCTTAGTTTATTTGTAGTTCATTTGCCATAAAATAAAATGGCAGTTTATATTCATTAGCATATTTAGGGTTTTTTTTGTTTGCTTGTTTTGGTTTTTGAGACAGGATCTCACTACATAGCTCATACTGGCTTGGTACTCACTATGTAGCCCAGGCTGACCTTGAACAGGAGATCCTCCTGTCTTAGCCTCCTAAGTGTTGGGGTTACAGGAGTACACCACCACACCTGACCTGTATTCAGTAGTTTTAAATGGCTATCAGTTAAATCTAGTTCGTGGATAAAAGTAACATATTGAGTTCTACAATACACAGAAAAGTTGATAGAACTTAGAAATATTTCATGTATGTAATAGTATCTACTAGTAAAGCCAGTATAATTGAGATCTTCCTTCCTCAGCCCCCCTGAATTACAGGCCGGTGCCACAATGTCCAGACTTTTTTTTTTTTTTGATGGGACTGGGGTTTGACCAAGAGCAGGTTCTCTACCACTTGAGCTACACCTCTAGTCCATTTTGCTCTGGTTATTTTGGAGATGGAGGTCTCATGATTTATTTGCTCAGGGTGGCCTCAAACTTTAATCCTCCCAGTCTCAGTAGCTAGGATTATACGCCTAAGCCACCTGCACCCAGCTCCAGACATTTTTATGTTACTTTTTAACCATCAGTAACAAAAACTGTTGGTGTTTGTATTGATTTTTTTTGGAGATGTAGTTCTGTGTTGCCCAGGCTAGTTTTGAACTCTTGGGCTCAAGTGATCCTCTTGCCTTAGCCTCCTGAGTAAGGTGGCACTATGGATGCATACCATGCCTGGCCCTGAATTGATTTTTTTTTTTTTCCTTACTGGGGCTTGAACTCAGGGTCCACACCTTGAGCCACTCTACCAGCCCTTTTTTGTGAATGGTTTTTTTCAAGATAGGTGCTCTAGAATATTTGTCTGGTCTGGCTTCGAATTGCGATCCTCCTGAGTAGCTAGGATTACAGGCATGAGCCACTAGCCTGAATTGATGTTTGTAGGTAAATGTTTACTTTGGCATTGCTCAGAAATTTTTAAAATTTCTAACTTTGCCTAGAGTTTTCCTATTAAGCATTTCCTCTCTCTTGATATACATGGGACATTAATAAGAAAGAATATTTAGATTCCTTTATATGAAATTCCTTTTTAAAGTTTTTTATTAATATAAGATTATTCATTTTTTTTTACCCTTTAAAAAAGACATAGATTTTTTTTTCCCAGTACTGGAAAAAATGGCTTTGTGCTTGCTAGGCAAGTGCTCTACTACTTGAGCTATGTCCACTACCCCTCTCTCTGCCAGATTATAGAATTTTAACAAGACTGAAGAATGGTTTACTATTCAGTTATTAGTCTGCTTGAACTGTCATAACAAAATGCCACTATATATGTATAAATATGTGTTTTATTTTAGGTAGACCCACAACTTGTGGGTGGACACCTTTCATATTTTCTTGGAGCTATAGGTATGCCTGGTTTGACTTCCTTGATTGGAATACAGGAAAAAGGTCATATAACTGCTGGATCTAATCAGACAATGGTTGTCAGTGGAGCAGCAGGTGCCTGTGGATCCTTGGGTGGGCAGGTAAATTCTAAAAAGAAGAGAAAATGTCATAAATGAACCTCTGAATACATGTATATAATTTAAAATACAAAACTGAAAAATATTATGTTGTTATTTCATACATTTCTTGAAGAAATGGTGTTATTACCTACTTAGAGTCTGTTAATAACAATATGAAAAATGTGAATTTTTATGTCTTACTCTCTACTAACCAACACAGATGTGGTAAACGCTGAAGCATTGCTGTCATCCGTATAGGGATAAGAATCATAGAGATGCCTGGAATTCCATGAATTAAAAGACAAAAAAGAGGTTGGGAATTCAATTCAGTGATAGAACTTTACAATGTGCACTTTGCCTTGGATTCAGTTGCCAAAACAAAACAAAAAAACCTAAAACATAAAAAAGAAAACCAGGGCTGGCGGAGTAGCTCAACTGGTAATGTACTTGCCTAGCAGTTGTGAGGCTCTGAGTTCAAACCTCAGTACTGCCAAAGAAACAAAACAAAGCAAAAAAAAAGCCCAAATAAAACAACAACAACATAAACTGATATTTTAAAGAAACATCTTCAAGAAAGCATTATTGAATATTAGTATTTTGGTAGACCTATACAAAGTTCATTGTATAAAAATGAACTATAATAAACATAAATAATAAGTAATAAATATAATGAATATAATAAACAATAGCCTTTATAGTGTGGGAATCATTGAAACAATTTTTCTTTTTTTTTTTGTTGGGACTCGGGTTTGAACTCAGGACTTTGTGCTTGCAAAGCAGGTGCTTTATTGCTTGAGCCACACCTCCAGTCCATTTTGCTCTGGTTTCTTTGGAGATGGGGGTCTCATGAACTATTTGTCTGGGCTGGCCTTGGACCACGATATAGGTAGGATTACTGACAAGAGCCACTGGCACCTGGTAAAACAAAATATTTTAACTCTTCACAGGCTTGAAGAATATTCAATTATAGGATAGTGATGTTTTGGGTTTGTTTATTCCTTTTATAAAATCAGATTTAAGTTGTGAGTTTTTAAGTTTAATTTTATTCAGTTTTAATTTTTTTAAGGATGACATTGTCTGCCCTTAGTCCTTTTGGTTTCAAATTTCTTTTAGCTAAATGCAGTGCATTCTAGTCTAAATTGTAGTGAATGTTCTCATAGTTGTAATATCTTATGTACTTTCATAATTTTACATTTTATTGTGCTAATATAAAGCCATTTGGTTTTCAAAAATTTCCCCTTAGATTGGCCGTTTGCTGGGCTGTTCCAGAGTGGTGGGAATTTGTGGAACACATGAGAAATGCCTCCTTTTGACCTCAGAACTGGGCTTTGATGCTGCGATCAATTACAAAAAAGGGAATGTGGCAGAACAACTCCAAGAATCATGCCCAGCTGGAGTGGATGTTTACTTTGACAATGTTGGTGGTGACATAAGTGATACAGTGATAAGTCAGGTTGTTTGCTGGTTTATTTCGGCTACAAATTTGAATGCTGCATTTTATTTGTTGTGATTTCTTTTTAGATGATAGGGGGGAAAACCCTATAAAAATGTAGGGTTTGTTGTGACAAATAATGTGATCATTGTTGTATTTGCAGATTTGTAGTATGAACCTCAGTGTCAGTTTTTGCAAGCAATATTATAGTTTAACCTTCAATTTATTTTTGTGAAAAGTAACAGTTGTATTTTTGAAATGGTGAAGGTCTGACCCCTAACTCACCATTGACCAACTCACAGTCAAGGTCCCTGAGTTTGAGTAGGGAAATGATCTTCATAGGTTGTATGTATTTATGTATTTTTATTGACAATGATATAAAATATCAATATGGGTTATTAACAGTGCATAGATCTTTGCTGTATGTAAAATTAACCTGCAGTGTTGTTGTCAAATTATTTTATTAGTAATGCTACTAATTAAGTAGCAACAACAGTAATTCTTTTACTGATTACCATACTTTTATTTGCCTCTATATTCCTTTGGAGTAGACTTGTTTCTGGCTAATTAAAACTTTTTATTTTATTTTATTATTCATATGTGCATACAAGGCTTGGGTCATTTCTCCCCCCTGCCCCCACCCCCTTAATTAAAACTTTAAATACATAAAGTAGGTAAAATTTTAAAACAAACTCAAATAATTGGCAATAAAGGATTAAATACAGCCATAAAATCAGTAAATAGGAAAGGCATCTGTCTTAGTGTGTAATCACAATTTTTGTCTGTACAGATGAATCAGAACAGCCACATCATCCTGTGTGGTCAAATTTCTCAGTACAATAAAGATGTGCCTTATCCTCCCCCACTGCCCTCAGCTGTAGAGGCAATCCAGAAGGAAAGAAACATCACAAGGTGTGCTCTTCCCCTTTGCACTTATTCCACATTCAGTGAAGTTTAAAATATCTTAGATATTTAAATGTCTTAGATGAAATGTATTGTTCTTCACTTACAGTTTTTCCTTATTAAATAAACTTAAAAGCTGGTTCAATATTTAAACTTTGGTTAGTGAGCTCCCAGAAAACTGATACTGGCTTTGATTGGCCCGGGTTAGGTCATGTGAGGGTGTTAGCTACAAAGGAAAATTCACAATACTATTGCTAAATGGGTTGTAGATGCTAGGCAGACATAAACAGTAGAAGTTTACTATTCTTTTTTTTTTTTTATAATTAAAATTTTATTAATAATAAAAACAATAAATTTTTATTAATAATTGTTTTGGTGGTACTGGGGTTTGAACTCAAGGCCTTCAGCTTACTATACTATTCTTGACAGTTGCAATTATACCTAAAACTTCACTGACCAGACTCAGTGTGGTTACATCAGGATTAACAGATTATTAGAGTATGGAATAATTGATCTTGGACTCTAACTCCTGTTGTATTCTCTGATCATTATCTTTTTCTTCCTCACTACAGGGAGAGATTTTTGGTGTTAAATTACAAGGATAAATTTGAGCCTGGCATTCTGCAGCTGAGTCAATGGTTTAAAGAAGGAAAGCTAAAGGTAAAACTTATTTTTTGTTTTGCTGGGGGTTTGAACTTAGAGCCTTTAAATTGTTAGGCAATGGCTCTACCACAGTTCTTCCTGCTACTTGGTATACTTTTATGGTATTTGAATTTACTATAGCAAACATTTGTTTCGTTATAAAAAGTTCCTACAAAAGAAATGAGTACTGAATAAAACTACCTCTCAGATGACTGTAACCTCTTGAGAAAACGTCTTACCGTTATCTAAAATTTTTTTGCACATTGCTTTCCACTGATTATAAAACCAATAGGTTTTCCCCAAAATATTAAACTGTAATATTAATTAGTTTAAAAAGTATTTATGCACACAGTTTCTATTTATGTTAGAAATTATGCTTGCTTGGGCTGGTAGAGTAGCTCAAGGGGAAGAGTACCTGCTTAGCAAGTATGAGGCCCTGAGTTCAAACCTCAGTGCCACCAAACAAAAGAAACCATGCTTTCTCAAAAATTATATAAGCATATCCCAGTACCCTCAACCTGCCCTCTCTAGATAATAGAATTATCTATTATCTAGAATAATAGAATTATTAATCTAGAGGGCTGATGGAGTGGCTCCCTAGCAAGCTTAAGGCGCTGAGTTCAACCCCAATACCAAAAAAAAAAAAAAAAAAAGAAAAAAGAGTCATTAATCTGGGATATGGAGAGCCTGATAAGGACCTTGTGCTTGATAGGCAGGCACTCTTCCACTTGAAGAGTGGAAGACATGTTTTTTTTTGAAAGAGGGTTATATAGCTTGGGATCTGTTACTAGTTTGAAGATTAGATAACAGAATATAAGATTTTATTGAAAAAAAATCAACTGATAGGAAACTTTTCTGGGTTACTTATGTCAAAGGACTATGTTTAGATGGAAAGTTGTAAATAGTATCATTGCCTTTTGCAAAAATAGAAACATTGGAGTTCAAAGAATACTAAATTTAACTGTTTTGATTTATAGATCAAGGAGACTGTGATAAATGGATTGGAAAACATGGGAGGTAAGATGAATATAGATTTACTTATTATATGCATGTGCTCAACACAAATATTGTGTTTTCTTTCTCAAGTGTTTTTTTTCCTTCTTTTTTGGTCCTAGGGATTGAATCCATGACCTCTTGTATACTAAGCATGTGCTCTACCACTGAGCTACACCCAAGCCTGTTTTTCACTCTTTTTTCTTTTTTTTTGATCAGTTTCATGGCCATGCACATGCTAAACAAGCACTCTACCTTTGAACTACATGCCCGGCCCATGCTGTTTTCCTTTATCATTATTTACTTCTGTAAAATTGTTTTAGGGGTTTCTTTAAATATTGTAATCAAATTCCAGAGTTCATCTTAGTGGTGTTTAGAGATTGTTTTCATATTTCAAATTATAAATAACTTAATAATGTTGGTTTCTCAAATAGCTTATAAGAATGTAATGAGTGTGAAAGTTATTTAAGCTTTAGGTAACTTTTTCAGATTAAATGCTTCTGAGGCATAAGAGTATATTAAGCAAATTTTCAAAAAAACTTTTTTTGCCTGATACAGGTTTACATTTTTGTTCATTTCAAATGTAAAGGATTAAGTGATTTTTTTCCCCTTTTTCCAGAAGAAATTAATGTATTTTCTTGATATTTAATCAAATATTTATATTTAAACATGCATTTTACTCATTTGGCAAAAAAATATATACTGCATTTATTTACTTAATAAACTTTTGGGATTAGATGTCGAAAATGTTGAAAGCTATTTAAAAAATTGTTTTTGCTGACAATTTTACAGGGAAACAATAAACAAAAAGATAAAAATGTGTGCTGGGGGTGTAGCTCAGTGGTAGTGTGTGTGCTTACTACTGCAAGAGGCCATATTTATTTGCCTCTAGTCTTTATTTATTTATTTATTTATTTTGTGGTTCTGGGGCTTAAGCTCAGGGCCTACACCGTGAGCCATTCCACCAGCCCTTTTTTTGTGATGGGAGTTTTCAAGAGAGGGTCTCTCAGATACTTGCCTGGGCCTCAAACCAAGATCCTCCTGATCTCTGTCACCTGAGTAGCTAGGATTACAGGTGTAAACCACCAGCACCCAGCTTTGCCTCTAGTTTTTAGAGGCACTGAACACTAGTCATCAGTAAGACATACTGAGTTAAGGTAACAATAGTTTTAAAAACGTTAATTGGGTTAATAGTCTGTGTTTTAATTGACAATTTTGTCAATTGCCTCTTTTTTTTGAGGGAGGGGTTTTGAGATAGAGTCTCACTATATACTCCAGGCTGGCCTCAGACTCACAGTCCTCCTGCCTCAGCCTCCAATGTGCTGGGATTATGGATGTGTATCACACCTGAATAATGACATTTTCTATGCATACTGTTGAAATCATTGAAGAATCATATTCAAACTAACTTTGTGTCTGACTTCGATAAACAAAGATGACAATGACATTTTATCTTTTCATATAACCTAATATTTTCTTCTTCCCAGCTGCCTTCCAGTCCATGATGACAGGAGGTAACATCGGAAAACAGATAGTCTGCATTTCAGAAGATACTTCTTTATAATCTGTCTTCATCAACAAAATCACACATATTTCTTTTGTTTTGCATATGACATTAAAAAAAAAAAGCCCTTAGGGCCCAGTGCCAGTGACTCATGCCTGCAATCCTAGCTACTTGAGAGGCTGAGAATAGGAGGATCGAGGTTCAAGGCCAGCCAGGACAAATAGTTCAGGTCTTTGAGACCCTATCTTGAAAATACCCAACACAAAAAACGGCTGGTAGAATGGCTCAAGTGGTAGAGTGCCTGCCTAGCAAGTGTGAGGCCCTGAGTTTAAATGCCAGTACTGCCAAAAAACAAAACAAAAAATCCTCCCAAATCTTAAGTACTCAAAGTAGCTTTTGATTTAAATGTGATCATAGGTGATAGTTTTAGTCTCATAACTTCTTTACTATTACATATCATATTGCATGTTCTAACATGGTTACTTACAATAATACATTGAAGGCAACGTGATTTTCTTTTTAGTTTGTTTTTGATATAGGCTCTTGCCATTTGAGGCTAGCCTGAAACTCGTGATCATCCTGTCACAGCAGGAGTGCAGGGATTAATCCCCAGTGCTGGGATTAGAGGCTGTACAGGATTGTTACTTTTCTTGTCAAAACTAATAAATATGATATCTGTAACAGATATTCTGAAACTACTGGAGATTTAACACCACAGCTAATGGATCATACACAGTAATTTTTTTTTCCAGTTTTTTTTTTAATTTTTTTATTATTCATATGTGCATACAATGCTTGGTCATTTCTACAGTAATTTTTAAATTAATAACTTGTATTAATTTAACACTGACTATATGTTCTATTAATTATAGTGTACACGAGAAGTACTTAATAAACATTTATTGAGCTGGAAAAAAAATCAGTGTTCTTAAAACTGAAACGTGTTATTAGAATTGGGATGACCTTTCCATATCGGAAAAGGGACTTAATGGTATGATATATACATAAAGACTGGGGGCAGGACTGGCAGGACACAGAACTTGTGGAACTTTTTTGAGGATAGGAGAGCAGAGGCTTTGGGTTCAGATTGTATGAGAAGATAAATACCTGAGATCATTTGAGTTGATGGGGAGACCAAGAGATCAGATTTATATCCAGAAGATGATGTATTTTACCAAATAATTAAATGTATAGTAGCCTGACAACTCAGTATATATTGATAAAAGCATATGCTTAAGTTTAGCAGGCAGACACTGTCAAATAGCGGTAAAGACTGGAGGCAAGTAGACATAAACATCACTTGGAATTTCATTGTAGTTGAGGGTGTAGCTCAGTGGCAGAACACTGCTCAACATATGAGTGGCTTTGTGTTCAATACCCAGGACCTAAAGCAAAAATCACAAAACAAAGATAGCTTCCGGAAATGACAGTACTGGGCTAATTTACCAATGGTTGTAAACATGAGTGTTGAAGACATACTGATGTACCTCTAATTATGTTTATTTTATTGTAATCAACCCTTTAGAGAAGTAAAACTGACGATGTTTTTCTGTGTGGTTTATAGTCATCTATTTACACAATGTACTTTTCTATGCGATACTTGTAGAAAGTAGATTCCAGGTGTGTTGGTAATAATTCACACTAATTTACTTCAGTGATCGCTTCCTTTATATTCTGAACGTGGACCATTTCCTTTTCTGAGGAATCTTCATCTCTTCCCTGTATGTTGATAACTCCCAAATCTACTTCTCTGTTTGACATTTTTTCTTTTTTTTGGCGGTACTGGGGTTTGAACTCAGTGCTTCACCTTTGTTAGGCAGGCGCTTTTCCGCTGGAGTCACTCTGCTCTACTTGAGTTCTTACTGAGCTCTGTACATTTATCTCCAAGTAAACATGTCCTTGCGTTCAAACTGCTTACCTAACGAGGCATCATCTTCCGGGGACAGCTGTGCATCCTCTCACCCATTGCAAATACACCGGACTTACCTTTAATCTTGAAAATGCATTTTCTTTTTCAGAGAACTTTTAATTCTCACTGCTTCTTAGTAGAGTTCCCTGTTCTTCCGCATCACAGCAACTATTCTAAACACTAGTAATTTCAAAAGAAGTCAAACTGGCCAAGTTCTAACAAGTGTTGTTACCATCCTGGAACGCAAATGTTCCGGCCCCCAGGGTGAGGACATCCGCCAACATTTGGAACCCACCCTGTAGAAAATTCATTACCGCCTCCCCAAGCTTCCACACACGACTTAATTCATACTCTATCCCGTAGGCAAGGCAGAACTTGGCTGCCCAAGTTTCTTCGGCGGTGGAGATTCGAGGTGCTCTCCCGCTGCGTGCTGCCAGTGTTAAGTGGCGTTCTCCTCCGAGGACGGGAAAGCTGCCCCATCGCCGCTGCAGGGAGGCGCTGACGTCACACTAAATGCCCTGACCTGGTTTTCGGGCTTCGCCGACCAAGGAGCCCTGGGGGCCAGAGAGAAGGGGTGGAGGGCGGGGGCCGCGGTTCTGGGCCCGGGGTCCGACCTTTGGCAGCGAGCCGGACAAGGCCGGCCAGCCTCCCTCGGGTCCGGAGTCTACTCGGACGGCTCGGGGAGGCAGCGAGTGGGTGTGTGCGTGGGGGTCGGCCAAACTTCCTGTCCCGCGCTCGAGCTGCTTCCGGCGGGAGCCGGAAGACGCTGTGTGTGGACGGAATTCGGGACGAGTGACGGACCGACGGCTGCCCTGGACAGGAAGGTGAGCTCTAGGGTGAGGCCGTCCTCACCCGCTCAGCTAGGTGGTCCCCAAGAGAGAGGGCGCCACTACTGGCTCCTTGGGGACTGGGGCCGAGCTCGCCGCTGGAGAGGACAGGGAAACCGCCCCCTTTGGGCACCTTTCCCGAATCTGGCCGGCCGGGAGCGGTCGGTCTGGAGCCCCGGAGCTTCTGCCCCTCCCCTCGCGGGATTCGAGGGCGACGTTCTGGCTCCTTTGCTTGGTTTGGGGGGCTTGGGCATGGAAACAACAGTGTCCGAGAAAGCTGGAGTCAGCGAGTCCCTAGGGCGGGGGCCTTCGGACCGCACCTGCAACTGGGCCTGCCCGCGGACCTTGGGGCCTTACACCGCGAGGCCTTTGTGATGGGGGAAGGGGATGCCAAGGGGGCCCGTTCTCGGATGTTTCGGGGGCTGCGGTCTCCTTTCCTTTCTTACGTCCACTTACTTTCTGGATCTGGAATAGGGACAGCTGCCGGCTCGGAGGGGCTGGGTCGCCAGTTTCTCCTTCGCCTGTCAGTTCAGGCTGGCATGTGGGCTGTTTATAGCTTGTAAGCATTTTTCAGTTAGAACTCATCCTGTGAAGCTTCTCAAGAGAATAAAATCTAATTAGCTTGTTAAAGTTTATCCCACTTGTTCAGAAGCTCTGAAATGCAGTTAAGCTCCATTTAGGAGTTAAGTATTAACGTGGGCATTAAGATGCCTACTCCCTGCTGGGTGTCCATGGCTCACGCCTGTAATACTAGGTACTTGGGAGGCTGAGATCTGTAGGATCGTGGTTTAGGCTAGCCGGGGCACATAGTTCACAAGACCCCTTCTCCAAAATAACCAGAGCAAAATGGACTGGAGGTGTGGCTCAAGTAGTAGAGTACCTGTCTCCCAAGTGTGAAGCCCTGAGTTCCAACCCAGTCCCACCCAAAAAAAGAAATCCATGCTTACACGTTACGTTGGCACAAGGGTCAAGAACGCACCATATCTGAAAAGAGAAAAACGTAAAATAATGATAAAAGTTGGGGCATTTTGTTGTTAGGAAGCAAGAAATTCCACTTTATGTTATCTTAGTGTGGGATAGAATACAGGTCAGCTAAACTAGCATTCAGAAGATTTGAGTTCTGTTTAACCTTTGCATCTAAGTAGATGTCAGGTTTTTGATAATTACATACTTTCTACCTGATGAGGGGGGTGTTACTCTGTAAGTGAGGAGGTTTCTCTTTAGGGGTTTGACCATTATTCTGAGGCACTGGACTTTGAGTGTGGGGAGTCAGGTAAGCATTTCTGTGTTTTGGAATGATAATTTTAGTGGCTGGGTGAAAGATAGGTTAGAAAGGGGGAATTTTAAAGGCAAGGTGACCAGTTATAAGCCTAGTTTAGTAGTGTAGTTGAAAGATACTGAGAGACTTAAGTAGGGCATTGCAGTAGGATTAAATTTGGGAGACTCAGAATCAGTGGGATTCTTTAAATATGGAGAACAAGAGAGATTGGTAGGTTTAGAATTTGCAGCTGAGTGGGAAGAAGATTGGGCAATCACTGAAAGGAATAACAGGTTTGGTGGGGGAGATGATAATCTCTGCTTTGGACATTGTTGGTTTGTGATGCTGTTGGATATATATGTGGAGATATCCAGCAAGGAATTAGTAATGAATATTGGAGTTCAGAAAAACTAGGATTAGAGACAAAAATTTGGGTATCATTTGTATTGTTCATTCACTATGAAAACTTGCTTAGTACCTAGTATGTGCTTACAGGGAATCTTGTATGGAATCCATTCAAATTCTTAGTAGAGACAACTTTAGAAGTGTGTGTTGGGGCTGGGGGGGCAGCTGTTGAAGAGGCTCAAGTGGTAGAGTGCCTGCCTAGCAAGTGTGAGGCCCTGAGTTCAAACCCCAGTACTGTCAAAACAACAACAAAAAGAGTTCCTTTTGAACTGGCCCACAGTTCAAACCCCAATGCTGAATTTTAAAAAAGAGGGGAAGGCCCTAGAATCTGGCTGTGGTAGCACACACCCAAATCCCAGGTTTTGGGAGGCTTTGGCAGGATTGTGCATTTGAGACCAACCTGGACTACATAGCAAGACCCTGTTTCAAAAAACAACAAAACAAAAAAGGGCTGTTGTTTTAGCATAGTGGTAGAGGGCTTGCCTGGCATGTGTGAAGCTCTGGATTTTTTTTTCAGGATTGAAAAAAAGAAAAAGGAAAGATAAACATTCAAATAAAACCTCTAAAAGTGAAAAATATATCTGAAGTGAAAAAAAGCTTTGCCGAATAGGATTAATAGCAAATTATTCACTGCAAAAGCAATAGTAAACATGAAGAGATAGCAATAGAAACTCCAGATTTTTCTGAATAAAAGAAAAGATGTGGTGGGGAAGAGAAGTCAGAGGCTGAAGGCGAGGAGGAAAGAAAGGAAGTTAATGGACTCTTTAAAATGGGTGAATTGGGGTACCTGCTTTGCACATGTGAAGCCCTGAGTCAAATCTCAGTTCACACACAAAAAAAATTTTTAAGTGAATTGTGTGTTATGTGAATTCTGTCTAAATGAAACTAATTTTTAAAAAGATCTGCACTTCAGTTTTGAAATCTGTTAAATGGGTAATGGAAATGGGGATAGGAATAAATTTAATTGTGTATTTGCATTACACTACTGGCTAATGTACTTAGCAAGTTTTGGGTTAAAGATGAGGTGTACCACCCAATATACTTTCTTTAGAATAGATCTTAGTAGAAATTCTGCATCAAAGCGTAGCATTTTTATATGTTTTGATACCTATTAGATTGTTCTATTTTTTAAAAAAAAAAGTGCTTTGGGCCGAATTCTTAGTGGATATATAAAGAACTTCTTTTGTTTATTTAGGTACATTTTCCTGCTGCTCTTAATTTGTCTTTCTTTTTTTTAATCCCCATTTTAGGTTTAAATTGATTACCACCCAGTTCAGCATCTTACAGTAAGAGCATAGTATATCCTATAGGAATATGAGCATCACAGGAACTCTGAATTAAATTTGAAACTGTCCCCTGAACAGCTACAGGATTTTGGAAGCTGAATCAATGTTATCAGATGAGTTAGAATCCAAACCAGAGGTGAGCCCACTCAGCTTGTTTCCTTTTCTTTTGTTGAGCTACATTTCATTTTCTTCAGTGGCTTGACAGTAAATATTTTAGGCTTTGTAAGCCAAATTGTTTTCATATAACTACAGTTTATTATAATTTTTCTATTACTGAGTATTTTCTCAAAAATTTAAAAATTCGTTTTTATTATCTTTAGTGGGTTTTTGTATTTTTTTAAGAAAAATTTTAATTAAAGTTAAACATTTAGGTAATTATATAATGACAAAATATTTTATATATATAATATATATCATATGTGTATATGCATATATAAATATTTGCTACCACAAACCATTCTTTTATTTTGTATATAATTGAAAAATGATTGGGGAATTTAAACACTTTTTATTTTCATTCATTTTTCTCACTTTAATTTTAGGAAATCTGGTAACATAGTAGAAAGTTACTGAATTTGAAATCAGATTACTTAAATTTAAAGCTGGCACTTCTAACTAGTTGTGTGATCTTAGACAAGTCATTTAATGTCTTCACTTGATTCCTTAATTCCTAATTTATAAAACACATGTTCAATCTTGCTGATTTAATATGAGAATTAAATGAACAAATACCCAGAAAAATGCTTTTATAAGATGTAATCAGTAAAGTACAATTGATTTTAACATAATTTTTTTTTTTTTTTTTTTTTATGGTACTGGGTCTTAAACTCAGGACCTCATGCTTGCTAGGCAGAGGCACTCTACCACTTGAGCCACTCCACCAGCCCACATCTTTTTAAAATGTAATTACTTTTTATTATTTTTGGTTGATGGAAGATAACAGGGGTTAGCTTAATTATGTAAATCAGCCTTTCTCTAGGACAGAGACTTGATAAAGTAACTTTAAATATTATGGTTAATATAGGTTTTCTTTGAATATGGCTAAAACTAGTGAATGATCAAAATAGATCATCACCTTTTTGTAATTTCAGTGGTTTAAATCCATTCCCAACAATTTCTGTTTCTCAATGTTGTCTTTTTTCCCCCCTCAGCTCCTGGTTCAGTTTGTTCAGAATACTTCCATCCCATTGGGACAGGGGCTAGTAGAATCAGAAGCTAAAGACATTACTTGCTTATCCCTCCTTCCAGTGACTGAAGCCTCAGAATGCAGTCGGCTAATGTTACCAGGTAAAAATAAAGTTCACTACGGTGGGATAAAGAAGTTCTAAGAGGTTAGCCTATTTTGTGGTACTTGTGGAATGAATAACTGGCAACTAACCGGTGGGAACTGTAAATATTAGGAGTCATGGAGAAAAAGTAGCCATGGAAGCCATAAGTGCATAAGTAGTTTAAGCCATAGGAGTGGATATGATCACCCACATAGTTTGAGAGGAAAAGGCCAAGTCAGAATTCTGTGAAATTCCTTATTGAAGGTACAGGATAAGGTAGGAGAGCCTAAAAAGGAAGGAAGATAAAGTAGGTTAGGGAAGTTGGATGAGTACCACCAAGAGAAGTCAATGTATCAGATATCCCTGAGAGGCCCAATAAGAGAGGACTAAAAAGAGGGAATCACTAAACTTGACAGTCCACAGAAAGAAGAAGGTGGAAAGCCAGGCTACAGTGGGTTGAGGTAGCAATTGAAAGTCCACTGTATAGTTGAAGATGTAACTATATAGCATTGTCTGAACCTGCTATAAAGAGGAAAAGAAAAAAGAGGTGAGGTAGAGGGAAGTTGAGGTTTTTTTCTTATTTCATTTTGTTTTTAGATCTGAGGTTTTGGGGATTGTATTATGCTAAAAGGGAAAAGCCAATTAAAGATGCTGAAGACAGAAACAGCTGATAATTGGTAAGGAGGCTCTAGGGAAGTAGGAGAAGTAGAATTCTGAGTACAGGTTTCCAGATTAGCTTTGAAGGAAAGAGGGGCTCACACTTGACTGTTAGCAAGGAGAACATTACTTTTGGATGTAATGAATTCTTTATATTCTTACTCTTACTTTAAAATTTGGAATGTTAATGCTTAATCAGGGGAGGGTCAATTCTAACCTATGGGTGACAACTTATTTGTATTTATTTGTTAAAAAGTCTTTTGGTTACTTTCCTTTAGTGGTGTTCTCTTATTTTTGAAGTGACTTTAAAACCTCTTTTAATTTCTTAATGTTTAAGAAGGGCAGATATAGTCAACAAACATTATTAATTTAAAAGTTTCCCTATGTAGACCCAAGCTCTTCTATATCTTCTGTCTCTCAATTCCCAATTCCTGTTTTTCTGCTGATATGTAGAAAGTTGTGTTATCTAAATCCCCTATGGATTTTCAACTTGTAGGGGAAAAAAAAAATTTTTTTTTTTTTTGGTGGTACTGGGGTTTGAACTTGGGGCATCATGCTTGCAAAGCAGGTGCTCTACTGCTTGGGCCACACCTCCAGTCCACTTTGCTCTGGTTATTTTGGAGATGGGTCTTATGATGTATTTGGCCCGGCCGGCCTTGAACTTCAATCCTCCCTCTCTTAACCTCCCAAGTAGCTGGGATTATAGGCATGAGCCGCTAGTGCCCAACTATATTTTTTATCTTTTGTGTGTGATAAAGTATATGTAAAATAAAATTGCTATTTTAATGATTTTTTTCAATGTTTAGTTCTCTGATAGGTATATTCAGATTTTTGTGCAACTTCACTAGGTCAAAGTCTGATGAAAATGCTAGTGCTGTCCACTTTTAGTCCTATAATTGTATTTGTTAATCATCTTACAAGAGGAAAAAGTTAACTGCCTTTTGTAAAGATGAATGAAAACATTGGATACCTGGGCACAGTGTAATTCTTCATATTGCAACCAAAGCTTTTGGAAATTCTTCACCCCTTAGGACAAAATTCTTGAGATCAAGTCTTCTAAATTATTTCTTTACATTCAGTATATATCCAAAACTACATTGAAACATACTGATGATTCTGTAAATTGTGTTTCTCAGATTGTGTTTTTCTCCTGATTATTCACAAGAACTGTTATATACATGTTACAAAAGTTAAGGAGAGGGCTGTGATGTAGTTAAGTTGGTAGAGTGCTTTCCTAGTTTGCATGAGTCCCTATGTTTGAACCCAAGTGCTGAAGGGGGAAAAAAAAGTTAAGGAGTAGGGTCTATCTGCAAGAAAAAATGATTTAAAATTTAGATCCTATTCTTGAGTTGGTATTCATTATATAGCTATATTTTTAAAGGAAAAAAAGTACTGATCTGGTTTCAAAAAGGACCAAGTTCTGTAATGTCCAAATGTGGATGGTTGGTTCTTAGTATGTAAAGTGTCAGAAAAGTCACATTTTGGCTGACTACCTTTAGAACTTTGAACATGGCTAGTGTGACTTGAGAAATTGAATATTTATTTATTTATTGGCATCAAGGTTTGAACTCAGGGCCATGTGCTTGCTAGGCAAGTACTCCACCATTTGAGCCATGCTTCTGGTCTTTCCTTTAGAACTTAAAGCTATGTTTGTTCTTTTTTTTTTTTTTTCTGGTTTATTTATATGTGCATACATTGTTTGGGCCATTTTTTCCCCCCTACCCCCTGCCCTACTAAGGGATGATACATAGGTATTAGGTACTATGTATCAAAATGGTAAGCTCCTGCATAAAGTTGTGGTATTTTTCTTTTACTAGATGACACCCCAAATCATACTAACTCCTCCAAGGAGGTCCCTTCCTCAGCTGTATTGAGAAGCCTTCAGGTGAATGTGGGCCCAGACGGAGAGGAGACAAGGGCTCAGACTGTACAGAAGTCCCCAGAGTTTTTGTCCACTCCAGAATCTCCTAGCTTATTGCAAGATCTACAGCCAAATGATAGTACTTCTTTTATTCTTCTTAACCTAACAAGAGCAGGTATTTTTTTATTCTTTTCTCAGTTGTGCACATGCTTAAGAGAAAAGTTGGGGATACTTAACTCGGTCATACTTAAAATGAAAAGAAGCTTTATTATTTTGCAGAAGTGATATGGTCTGATGAACAATTGAATGTGTAAAGTTTAGAATGATTCAAACTTTTTTTTTTATTTTTCTTGGTTTTGAAACAAAATCTCACTTTGTACCTCAGGCTGGCCTTATACTCAATATTCCTGCCACAGCCTCCTGAATGCTGAGGTTTTAGGCATGTACCATCACAGCTGGCAGCTGAAACATTTATTGTTTGGAAAATTAGGTGGTACCATTTATTGAGATAGCACAGGAAGAACAAGGCTTGGGGGTGGATGATTAATTCCACTTTGTGTCTGTTGATGTTGAGGTTTTGGAGGAACATTCAGGAGGAAGTGTCCTTTAGAGGGTTAGAAATAGGAATCTGGAGCTCTAGGAGAGGTCTGATATGACATAGTTTGGGTTTTGGTCCCCTTTCAGGTGATAAACATGATAAACATGAGCATGGATTCTTTCATTCAAGAGAAGTTTGAAGCATAAACAGAATAAAGGCAGTCTGGAATCCTAAAAGAGGAAAACAAATAACAAAACAGTTTAAGAGAGCAATAGAAGAACAAGGAACAGTAGGAAGAGAACTGGGAAAGAATGGTGGATGGGAAGCCAAGGGAAGAAAAAGCTTTAAGGAAGAAAAGATACTAAATCATTCCAAATACTACAGGATGAGCTACAGAGATGACATACATGTTTGGTGACCTTAAGAACAACAATTGTTACAGGGGTAGTAGAGCTAGTAGATGGAAGGTGAGAAAGTGTATACACAAGTTGAGGTTACACTTGTTCAAGAAACTCAACTTTGTAAGAGCAGGCAAGAGAGCAGGAAGCTGGAGGTTCAAGGCCAGCCCCAGCAAATAATTCAAGAGACCGTGTCTTGAAAATACTCAACAAAGAAAAGGGCTTTGAAGTGGTTCAAGCAATAGTGTGCCTTCTTAGCAAGTGTGAGGCCCTGAGTTCAAGCCCTCAGACTGCCAAAAGAAATAAAAAATAACAAAGGGAGAGACTTGAACTAGGATACATTTAAAGGCTGTAAGGAAAAGCTGGCCAATCGAGAGGAATAGGTTGTAGATGAGAAAGGGCTGAAGGATACAGGGGAGGAACATTGAAGAATATGACTGGAATACAAGAGGTAGGGGTTAGCCTAGTTGCCAGGAAGGACAGGTTTGTCTCTGAAACAAGAGGAGGCAAGGTGTGGGCTAAGAGTAGAAAAGTGACATCCTAATCTATGAGAATAGAAGCTTGAGGTGAGAAGCAAAGATCTAGAACAGGTGATTCAGAAACAGAGTTTCTGGGCCTGAGCAAATAAGATTACTTGTGAGCTAACTTTCATGTGTCCTTCCATTTCTTCCAGGTCTGGGCTCTTCAGCTGAGCACTTAGTGTTTGTACAGGATGAGACAGAGGACTCAGGGAATGATTTCCTCTCCAGTGAGAACACAGACAGTAGCATTCCATGGTTCCTCCGGGTTCAGGAGTTGGCCCATGACAGTTTGATTGCTGCTACTCGTGCACAATTGGCAAAGAATGCAAAAACCAACAGCAATGGTGAGTTTCCTACAATGTTTTCCTCTCCAGTATTCTGTGCAGAGCTTTTGGTAATGTGATGACTGTATTGAGTTGTATATAATCGAAATTATTTTATTGGTGAGGATGGAAGGCTAGAAATGTGTGAATTGTTTTATTTTTTGTAAAATAGCTTGACCATGCTGGATTTATAAACAAAATCAGCAAAACTAGTATTTTTGAATTCTCAATTTTAAATAATGAGCATCTTTTAAAGAAAAAAAAATTAAACTCCTGAGGTAATCTTGAATCTCTTTTTTGGTGGGACTGGCATTTGAACTCAGGGATTCATGCTTGCAAAGCAGGGGCTCTGCCGTTTAGCCACACCTCCAGTCCATTTTGCCCTGGTTATTTTGGAGATGGGAGGGACTTGTGAACTATTTGTACAGGCTAGCCTCCAACTACAATCCTCCTGATCTCAGCTTCCCAAGTACCTAGGATTATAGGCGTAAGCTACCCACACCTGGTTAAGCACTAAAAATCATGTCATTACACAGCTGTTTGGAGTTTATGCAGATATCCTATTTTTTCTTATTTTGTTTTTTTTTTTTTTTTTCTGTTTGTGGCTCAATGTACTTGAGCCACTCCTCCAGCCTTGATTTTTTTTTTTTTTTTTTTTTTTTTCATTACCAGGGATTGAATTCTGGGCCTCACGCATGCTAAGCAAGTGCCCTACCATTTATTTGAGCTGACATTCCCCAGCTCGTGATTTTTTTTTTTTTTCACATTCCTCAAAAAATAGTTTATCTTTTTTTTTTTTTTCATTTTTCTTTTATTATTCATATGTGCATACAAGGCTTCATTTCTGCCCCCTGCCCCCACCTCCTCCCTTACCACCCACTCCGCCCCCTCCCTCTCCCCTCCCTCAATACCCAGCAGAAACTATTTTGCCCTTATTTCTAATTTTGTTGTAGAGAGAGTATAAGCAATAATAGGAAGGAACAAGGGTTTTTGCTGGTTGAGATAAGGATAGCTATACAGGGCATTGACTCACATTGATTTCCTGTGCGTGGGTGTTACCTTCTAGGTTTATTATTTTTGATCTAACCTTTTCTCTAGTACCTGTTCCCCTTTTCCTATTGGCCTCAGTTGCTTTAGGTATCTGCTTTAGTTTCTCTGCGTTAAGGGCAACAAACGCTAGCTAGTTTTTTAGGTGTCTTACCTATCCTCACCCCTTCCTTGTGTGCTCTCGCTTTTATCATGTGCTCATAGTCCAATCCCCTTGTTGTGTTTGCCCTTGATCTAATGTCCACATATGAGGGAGAACATACGATTTTTGGTCTTTTGGGCCAGGCTAACATGATTATTTTTAAATTATTATTCAAATGAAAATAGAAAGCTATCACACCTGTAATCCTAGCTATTTGGGAGGCTAAGATTGGGAGTATCGAGGTTAGCCTAGAAAAATAGTTTTTGAGATCTGTTCTCCAAAAACAGCCAGAGTAGGTTTGGTGGAGTGGCCTGGGTGGCAGAGCACTTGCTTAGCAACCGTGAGCTTCTGAGTTCAAATCCCAGTAGCAACCCTCCCTGACCCCCCCAAAAAAATACAAAAAACACAGAGCAAAAAAAAAAATGGATTGGCAGTGTGGCTCAAGTGATAGGAGTCCCTGCCTTATTAGCATGAAGCCCTGAGTTCAAACACCAGTCCCACCAGAAAAAAGAACTGGAGGAGGTATATGTGACTGAGTCACATTATTCAACACTTTAGATACTCTTTTTATTATTTTTTTTTCTTTTCCCACTATCCTTTTTTATTTTTACAAATAGTTCTTTTGTAATGTGGTGTTCAAAATGGAATTGAATACTTGCACTCCATCTCTTTAAAACACCTGGTAATTTGGATTCTAGTGCTCATTATTCATTATCGTTTGTTTTCATTATGCTTATGTTTGTTGATCAAACCTCAGTGAACTTCATATTGCCCTCTCCTTTTAAACAATTACATGTGTGCACAGAGAGGCCACTTTTGTCAATACTGTGCTTTTTTGGGTTTGTGATAAATAAGATCGACCAATGCTAGTGCTCATAATAACTTTCCAGTGGCTCTGAGGTTTTAGTATGTGGTTGCTTCACTCCTGGACTATGACTTTCAGTGGGTGATGGAAGTTTTTCATAGAACTGAACTGTGGTAAATTGAACTTTCCTTACCTTAAAAGTTACTTTTAAAGTCTGAAGGTCTGGACCAAAAGAAGAGGAATCAGGTTTAGAGTCAAGATGGCAGACATGATGAGAGTAATGACTAACTGCAAGGATGGCTTCACCGAAGAGAAAGCATTTTAATATATATATAAATAAAAGTCTGATCTGAAGAGACCAGAAAAGGTCTAATTTTTATTAACAGTTAATAAAGTTATTCGTGAAGAAGTATATACAGTAGAACAATTTTCCTTTTGGTTTTATTTGTACTATTTGGTCTGGGACAATTTGGTTTTATTTGTACTATTTGGTCTGGGACATTGTAGCAGCTTCATTAAAATAATATTTACAAAACACACACACATTGTAGCAGCTTCATTAAAATAATATTTATAAAACACACACACACACATTGTAGCAGCTTCATTAAAATAATATTTACAAAACTCACACACACACACACACGTACGTAGAGGCATGGCTCAAATGGTAGAGCAACCTGCCTAGCAAGTGCAAGGCCCAGAGTTCAACCCCTAATACTGCCAAAAGACAAAAGAAAACCTACCTGCATAGAGAATTGCCAACTTCTATTTGTTTCCAAAATAATTAGTTGTTTGTAACTATATCATAGTGCTTTTTAGAATAAATGATTCATCTTACCAATTGGAAAGAATTCTTCCTAAGATGCTTTTGCAAATAATTTGGATCCTGAAACCTTCACCATTTCCACTTGCATTGACAAAGTAGTGCTGTATTTGCCAGTGAGAAATAGTATAGGGAGGGAGCTTGGAATTTAGAATCTGGAGCCTAGGATCCCAGACCTGGCTGGCACTTGGCCTTGGGCAGTTTAACCTTCCTTAGCTTCAGTTTTCTCATGTTCAGAACATAGAGTTCAGGTAGTTTACTTGATTTGGTTCTCATTGAGATTAAATACTCTCAAAATATGACACCTTCCTACCTTGACAGTTACTTTGTGTTCCTGAATATAAAGTGAACCCAGATATAAGACAAAAATACAATTCTATTTTCCTGATGAGATTTTTTTTTCCTAGCTTAGATATATATAAACCTTTAGACATGGATAAAATTAACATTATAAATTGCTACTTTTGGTTATATATACACATTTTAAGTAATGTGAAATATATTGACATATTGACCTACTATTGCTTTCACCCACTAACATATAGTGAAATGATTTTGTTCAATATTTTAATGCATTTTAGCAAAAATACTCTTTTTTTCCCCAGTACTGGGGATTGAATGGAGGGTCTCCCTCGTACCAGGCAAACATTCTATCATTGAGCTAACATCCCCAGCCCGTGATTATTTTTTAATTACCATTCAAATGAAAATAAAAAGCTAGGTGGTGCCAGTGGCTCATCCTATCTATTGGGAGGCAGATATAGGAGGATCTAGTTTTGAGGCCACCCAGTGCAAAACGTTCAAGAGAACTTTTTTACTTTATTTTGAGACAGGATCTTTTCAAGTTGCCTACATAGATCTTGAACTTGTGATCTTCCTGCCTTAGTCTTTCAAGTAGCTGAGACTAGACATAAGTTACCCATGCCTGGCATCTTTTTTTCTTTTTCGTATGAAAATTCTGCCTTATATTTGTGAATATATTGATAGTCTTCAGTGTTGAAATGGTGAGGAGGAGAGAGTCCAATGACTTGATTTCTTAGCTTTGCTTTACTTGTATGTATTAATCTTATGATTATTTTGATTTTTTTTTCTTTGAGGCAAGGTCTCTCTCCTAATCTTCATACCTCAGCCTCCTGAGTAGTGACCTCTAACTATATTTTGAAGAAAGTTAAAGAAAAGGATCACCACCTGTTAACCTGGAATTTATATAAATTTTTAATTAATTGATTTCATTTAAATTTAATGGAGGCACTGTTTATTCCTTCACCTCTCTTTATTCTGAACACACCACCAGCAGATAGTCTTTTGAATGTGGTTAGCAATTTTAAAATTAGTAGAGTTTTTACATTTTTAAATGTTTTATAACTACAAAGGAAATCAGAAGGTGGTTCTTATTCTCTAGAATGATCGGAAATGACCAAATTGAGTTCAAAAATTAGAAATCTAAGAATGACCATCTGTGATAGAAATCTGCTGTAAGCCCATACTATGCCAGAATGACCATCTCTCCTTAAAATAGGTTTTTATTACTCAGAACTTTAAGTCATCTCTGTAGCATCCTATTCTGGGTGATCTGCCTGCTCTCTCACCAACCTGTGTAATGCATAATTGGTTTAATTCTATATTCTGAGATTTCTGATAGGAAACCATTTTCAACATTTCCTACATTTGCCCAAGAGCCTTAGTCTTGTGAAACAAAACATGATAGGTGTTGGTTGTTCTCTGGAATAAGGGAATGGGGGACAAAAAGCATTTTTATTTCTATTGTTAAACAATACAAAGAGTGCTGGCGAAGATGAAGATGAAAGTAATTCATGATCACTAGGAGTGAAATACAGGAGCTTTATTGTTTGGACCTAAGCAGGGTCCTTCCCTGGATTTTAAATATGTGACTCTGTTACAGGAGAAAATGTCCATCTTGGTTCTGGTGATGGGCAACCCAAAGATTCTGGGCCCCTTCCTCAAGTGGAAAAGAAGCTCAAGTGTACAGTTGAAGGCTGTGACCGGACATTTGTGTGGCCAGCTCACTTCAAGTACCACCTTAAAACTCATCGGTAAGCAATCTGAGAACTCATATTTGGAGCTTAAGAACATTGAGACTTACAGAGACACTTGTCCCCCAAATCAACAAATTAAAGGAAAGCAGGGACTCCAGCTAATTTCTGGTTAAGCTGTCCTTTTTTTTTTTTTTTTTTGGAGATGGAGGTCTTGTTACATCCTGTTTTCTTTTTTTCTGGTGGTACTGGGAGGTTGAACTCAGGGTCTTGTACTTGCTAGACAGGCTCTCTACTACTTGAGCCACCCCCAGCCCTCTGCTTTTATTTTTGAAACAGGAACTCATGGTTTTTGCTTGGGCTAGTCTGGACCATAATCCTCCTATTTATGCTTCCTGCAGAGTTGAGATGATGGGTGTACATAACCACATCATGTTATTTGTTGAGATAAGGTTTCACTAATTTTTTGCCTGGGCTGGTCTTGAACTCCAGTCTTCCCAATCTCAAGTCTCCACAGTAGCTTTGATTACAGGCATCAGCCACTGTGCCTGGACCTTGTTTTTTAATAGAAATATTAGCATTGTCTCATTTACCTCATTCTTAGCAAATATTTAAGACATTTGGCACTCTTAAAAGCAAGAATCCTCAAATTTCATTATATAACATAGTTTCTTTGAGAACCTAAAAAATAATACATAAGGGCCCCTAACTTTGAACCTATGAAGTTAGTATTGGGGATTGGACATCTGTAATTTTAACAAACTCTTCACTTTATTCTGATAGATCCAGGCTTGGAATTTACTGTCTATCTTGAGAGTCAATAGGAGTTTTGACTTGGCATCTCTGGCAAAAAGTATTTTCAGGTATTGTTATATGATTACTTTTACAGAAATGACCGCTCCTTCATCTGCCCTGCAGAAGGCTGTGGGAAAAGTTTCTATGTATTACAGAGGCTGAAGGTGCATATGAGGACACACAATGGAGAGAAGCCCTTTATGTGCCCTGAGTCCAGCTGTGGTAAGAAGTTCACTACAGCTGGAAATCTGAAGAACCACTGGCGTATCCACACAGGTGTGTGCAACCCAGTATTCTCTTGGGGCAGTCTCCTTGGCTCTGTGCTTTCTTGCCTGTACTTAGGAAAGACTCAAATGGGTACAGAAGATTTGTTGTTATAACTCTGAAGATGTGATTTCTTTATTTCAGTGCCTCATGGTGCTTGCAGTTTATTACAGTAACATTTATCAAACTTAGCCCTTGTGAATGGATAGTGTTGATTTCTTCCTCCAGGAGCCTAACTTGTAGGAATAGATATAAGACCTCCGGTAACAATGAGATGAGGCGATACAGACAAAATCAGTCTGCTTTCCAATCTCTCTGAGCATTGCACGTTTGTATTTTACATCGTAACATTTACTCAGTTACACAAACCATACAGAGTACAAAATGGAGGAAGGCAGGGGGGAAAAGATAAGATGTAATCCCTGATGTTGAGAAACTTGGTTTTTTTTCTTTTTTTTTTTTTTTTTGGCAGTAGTGGTGTTTGAAGTCCCGTGCTTACTAGGTAGGCCATGTGCCCCCTGCTCAAAGTTTGCTTTCTTTTTAGAGCCAAAGCTTTGCTTTTTTAATATTTTAGCATCTATTATTATTTTTTATCTTTCACCTTTAAGAAATAATTTAAATGGATTTCATTATTCTATTTCCTTATACCTATTCCCAGCTTTCTTGCCACTTTGTCTTTTTGTTCATTCTTGCATTGCTAAAATGATAACAGGTACACTTAAAAGGCATTTAGAAAATGAAGCCCAAGCAAAAGTCACCATTGTTCTAGGCATGAACCCTGATTACCTCTAGACTGAAATAATGTCTAGATATGTTTGGGGCGAGAGAGTTCTCTTTTCATCTCATTCTGGAGAGACTAAACTATATTTGCTCCCAAAAAGCAACTTGAGTAAAAGAATAAGAAGGCTTTCTAGCTGAATGCTAAGGAAAGAAGCAGTTCACTATGCCCTTTTGTTATATTCTATATATAACATGATCATGCTGATCATCATCTTTGTAGCATTTGATAACATAGAACATCTTTTAAAACACTCTTTTTTTACCTAAAAGTATGACCCTTATTTTGTTTTGTTTTTTGGAGGCATTGGTTTTTGAACTCAGGGCCTCATGCTCACTAGGCAGGCACTCTACCACTTGAACCACTCCACCAGCTCTTTTTTATACTGAGTATTTTTGAGATATGGTCTTGCAAACTATATGCCCCACCCAGCGGGCTTCGAACTGCAAGCCTCCTGACTCTACTTCCTGAATAACTAGGATTATAGGCGTGAGCCACCAGCCCCTAGCCTCTTTTGTTGTTTTACTTTTTATTTCCCTGTTCATTCTTACCCTTGGAAGCTCTCCTCTCTGTTAATCTTTTGATTGCTCACCAATCTCAGAATTTTGAGTTCCTTCTGTTTCACTAAGAACCTTTCTCATTTTAGTCTCTGCCTTCAATTGAATCATTTCTCACAGATCTAAATTTCTCACAGATATATCTTAATAATAATTAAATATTGAAGGTTAGCATTTATTGAGGCATTTTAATATATACCAACTACATACACATTATCTCTTTTAATCTTCAAGTTAACATTAAATATTGTATATATTGATGAAGAAAAAATTTGGAGAGTTAAGTAAATTGCCCAACATTATATAAATAGAATGTGAATTATGATCTAGCTGTAAAGCTCTTCCAAGGATGTTATTTTCAAATGCTGACAACTCAGCATTTGAGTGAAATTTATTGCAAATGTGAAATTTGACCTCAGATCTTTATTGTACTACAGTAGAGCCTTCATGTCTCGATCACGTAGAACTGACTGAGAGCATATCTGTATCCACTGAGTTGTGTAATGTGCAAGTGGGAATTAAAAATTTTTGTTTTTAAATTTTCTTTTCAATCTCTTTTTTTTTTTGGTGGCACTGGGGTTTGAACTTGGGGGTTGGACTGATTTGAGACCGTCTCATGTAGCCCAGGCTGGCCTCAAACGCTTGATTCTCCTACCTCAGTCTCCCAAGTGCAGAGAATTGTAGGCATGCCTTTTGGGGTTTTTTTTTTGTTCTGTTTTTTTATTTTTGGTGGTACTGGGGTTTGCTAGGCAGGTGCTCTACCACGTAAGCCACGCCTCACATCTCTAGCCCTCACTTGCCATTTGATTTATTTTTGTTTCTTCAGTAACTTGCCATTTTTAAAATTAGACATCTGAAATTCAAGGCACTACTCACACTCTTCCTTACAACTAAAATTCCTTTCCACCTTTTTTCCTCTTTTAAGACCAGCTAAGGCTCGTACCTATAATCCTAGCTACTTGGGAGGCAGAGATCAGGAAGATCTTGATTTGAAGCCAGCCCCCAACAAATAGTTCAAGAGACCCTGTCTCGAAAATACCTGACACAAAACAGAACTGGCAGAGTGGTTCATGTGATAGAGTGCTTGCCTAGTGAGCATGAGGCTCTGAGTTCAAACCCCCATCCCGCCAAACAAAAAATAAATAAATTGACATAAAAATCCTGACAGCATATACATTATTAAACCTTTTTTTTTTTTGTAGTGGTAGGAATTAAACCCAAGTCTTGCTCATGCTAGGCAAGTATTCTGCTGAGGGAAAGGGCAGGCTGTCTGGTGGGCATATTGTAGATCATTGAGAGGCAATACTTCCTAGATAGCCCAATTGAAATCATATAATGTGAATTAGAGAAATCAGAATGAGTAAATCATTAAAAACTGTAAAATTGCTGGGAAAAGAGAGTAACAGTCAGTTATTCAGAAGACTGCGTCTTTGTCTCAGTTTCTTTTTTTTTTTTTATTTCTAGGAGAGAAACCTTTTCTTTGTGAAGCCCAAGGATGTGGCCGTTCCTTTGCTGAGTATTCTAGCCTCCGAAAACATCTGGTGGTTCACTCAGGTATAAAAACTGTGCCATTTGTAGATTTCAGGCAAAGTAGAGAGACAGAGGTGTGGTAGAAAGTAAAGAAATCTAAAAAGAAACAAACTGTTCACCATAAAAATATTGTAAAGTTTCTCATCATGACCGAATCAGGAATCAAGGTTCTTAATAACTGCATTGAAAGGGAGGGAAATCATTTGATTACAATTGAGTCTCTAGGTGCTTTCTAATCCAGAACTTTTTCTGAGGAGATTTGCTAATTTGTTTAGCATTGTGCTGGGTGATTTATAAGTTATATCAAACATGGATCTGGTTCTGTAGGAACTGACATGTTCATTTGTCTGGGGGAGGATTTCAAATGAAGAACAAAGTAGGAAGGTTGATGTCAATGGCAGCAGCACCAGGAACATTACTGCCCTGTGAGGAGGTGTTGGTGATCTTGCTTCAGTCACCATTTTGGCAGAAACTGTGCCTTTGGTAATTAGAACATTATGGTCACCATTAATGTTGAAGAAGAGAGAGTGATGTAATGACCTGTTTTCTGTTTTGGATTTTTTTTTTCTTTGCAGTACTGGAGCTTGAACTCAGGGCCTTCACCTTGAGCCACTCCACCAGCCCTTTTTTTTGTGATGGTTTTTTCGAGATAAGGTCTCTCAAATTATTTGCCTGGGGCTGGCTTCAAACTGCGATCCTCCTGATCTCTGCCTCCTGAGAAGCTAGGTTTATAGACATGAGCCACCAGCACCTGTCCAAACCCCAGTTCTGCCCAAAAAGAATCAGCTTTTCTTTTCATTGACTTTTTGTTTGTTTTGAAACAGGGTCTTGCTGTGTAGGCCATGAGAGGGCTCTAACTTGGAATCCTCTTGCCTCAGCCTCCCTGAGGTGACTTGTGCTACCATGCATCCCCCTTAGTTGTTATTTTTGGTGTTCCTATTATCTTTGGGCAAAAGGAACCTCTTGTGCTGGTTTGTATGCTTTTGACATCACGCTTTAATCTTTGGTAACTCTCTGTTTTCTGGCACTAGATGTCCTAGGCTCACCTAAGCTTAGAATCAACTGTTCCTTGAGGGAGTACTTGTTCATTTTAGTGGGAATCACAGTCTGTGCCATGTGTGGTCATTGTTGTTAGGTTGTAACTTTTTTGTGGACAGAGCTAGAGAAGACATATTTTTGAAGACAAAAAAATTGGTTCATACTGATATTTTTAATTTAAATTTAGCATTATAAAATTTTTAGTTTCATTTTTGTACTTTGTATCTTTTCTCTTATCCTGAAAAATCTTGGTTCTTAAACATTCATATGATTCTTTAATATTATTTCAAAATAGTGATACTAATATCAATAATTAGTCTATAGAATAAGTTTAAGGCTTTTTAGTAGCTGTGTTTTTCTTATATTCTATTAAGGGTATAGAGTCAAAATTCTGTGTCTAAATAGCCTTTAAAAATTGTCGTCTTACATCACTAGCCTGATACAAGATTTTAGATTCTTTTTTTATTTTTATTTAATTTTATGCTTTCTAATATGTAAAGTCAAATCTAATTATATTCCAAAAAGTCTTGATTAAAGTTCTGTCCCTTTACTCTGTTCCTTCCTCTTCTTAAGGATTTTTAATTTCTTTTGGTTTACTTTTCTAGTGTTTCCTTTTATAAACATAAGCAAATGCAGATTTTTTTTTTTATTTCCCTCCCTTTTCACCCAGTTTCATTAAATTTTTTTGACATAGGTTCTTGCCCAGGTTGGTCTCGAACTTGTGATCCCTCCTGCCCTGCCTTCCAAATGCTAGGATTATAGTTGTGTGCCACTGCACCAAGCTCAGTTTTTCTGAATTGAGATATAATAAAATTCATTCTTTTAAAAGAAAGTGTGCAGTTTGGCAATTTTTAGTTCATAGTTTTACAAATGTCACCTCTATCCAATTCTAGAAAATTTCATCATCCTAAAGAGTCCCCATAGCTGTTGTTTTGGTGGTTTTTCTTTTTTGGTGGTACTGAGATTTGATCTTAGGGCCTGCCTGGCACGTGCTAAGCAGGCCCCCTACCACTTGAGCCACAACCCTAGTCCTTCACATAGTTTTTAAGGTTCATTCATATTGTAGCATGTAAGTGCTTCCTTTTTTTTTTTTTTTTAATTTATTTTAAGACAGAGTCTTGCTGTGTAGCTAGGCTGGCCTTGAACTCTCCATTCTTCTTCCTTAGTCTCCCAAGTGCTGGAATTACAGACATCTGCCACCACACCTAGCAGCACTTCCATTTTTTAATGACTGCATACTATTTCTTGTATGGGTATGCCAAATTTTGGCTGCTATGAACAGCCAAATGAGGCTGCTGTGAACATTACTGTGTACATTTTTACATGTTTATATGTTTTTATTTCTTTTGAGTATATACCTAGGATTGAATTGCTGGGTCATGTGGGAAGTCTTTAAGGTCTTGAGGAACTAAAGTAGCTGCACCATTTTACATTACCTCCAGCAGTGTATGAGGGCTCTGTTTTACCCACATTCTTACCAACATTTCTTTCTGTCTTTGACTATAACCGTTCTGGAGAATGTGACTTCCTTTCTTCCTCACACAATGGTAGCATATTATAAATGTAGTTTTGTGGTTATAACAGTTCTGTTGTAACCTAACAATATTTTTTGGAGTCACTCCGTAGCAGTATATAGAAAGTTTCTTCATTCCTTCTATTGATTTGTAGTATTCCACCACGCTTATATTCTATAACTTTATTCAGTCATTCTCTGTGATGAATATTTGAGTTATGTTCAGTCTGTATCATCTAATATAATGCTATAGTAAATAACCTTGTGGTAGATTGTTTCACATTTTGCCAGTGTAGCCTTGGAACAGATTTCTAGAAGGCAGACTTTCAGATCAAAGGGCAAATGCATCTGTAATTTTCCTAAATAATGTCAGATTCTCCACCAGAGAGGTTGTAGTCTTTTGTTTTCTCATTAACAATGAAGATTTCTGTGTGTTTTTTGTAAAATTTAAGTTTGTTCCCTGTATTTATAGGTTGGGAGATTTTATTTAAAAATCCTCAATTCTAGCTTTTCTTTAAAAAAAAAAAAATAGGCTGACAGATTGGCTCAAGCAGTAAGAGCACCTGTGTAGCAAGTGCGAGGCCCTGATTTCAAATCCCAATGCTGCCTAAAAAAAAAAAAAAAAAAAGAAAAGAAAAGAAAGAAAGAAACCAGAAAATCTAGGCCTCAGTCCACACATGGAAACCATTGGTTAGAACCGAGTAACAGCTTCCCCTTTTACAGGGAAGGTACTCTGCAGGTTACTGTGGCCCCCATTTGGCCACCTCCTTTTGCTACCTACCCTTGAGCATCAAGGTAGGTACCTACCTCTGCTCTGAGTGTAGTTACATGAATAGATGGAATGGAGACTGGGAGTTTTGGCTGTAACATCATAGAGGGTAGTCCAGATCATTATGTTAGGAGAACCACCAGTGTGAATGATGAAGACCTTGCATGGTGACAAGGAATGGGACCGGATATTATGAACCCAGGATTGGAATCCTCTATGTCCACAGAAGACTATCTGGAAAGGGAAATACTTTGTATGGCTGCTGTGATCACACACCCAATAGCTGTTTTGGTAGGCCACAGCATAGTGGGTCTGGAAAGTACTGGGGCTGTGAGCAGTACATGTCGCTGAGCCCTCCTGGTCTGCAGTTCCTGTTCTCCTCATGTATGGAAGGTTGGGAGGCTGAAAGGTGGGGAACAGGAAAAGGAGCAGCCTCTTATACTTAGTTTAATATTCTCTGGCCTTCTCCATCTAGATTTTCAGTTCACTTGCTTGCTATCAGAAATGTACTGTCTTTTTAGCTGCCCCTAACTTTGTCCCTGTTTCAGGAGAGAAGCCTCACCAGTGTCAAGTCTGTGGGAAGACCTTCTCTCAGAGTGGGAGCAGGAATGTGCACATGAGAAAGCATCACTTGCAGCTGGGAGCATCTGGCAGTCAAGAGCAGGAGCAAACTGGTGAGGAATGTGGACAAGTAGAGGGCTATGTTCAAAGAGCCAAGTCACCTGCCTGCCTGGCTATCTGTAGATTTGCTGGTTCTGTTTTACCTGGTCTTATTTGATGGACTGATAGTTTCCAAACTTAGGTGTACAGTACAATTATCTACCAGCATTTAAAATACATATTTTTTGTTGCTTGTCCTGTCCTTGCCTTTATGAAACAAAAGAACTTCATAAATGAGATCAGTTATAATTATGATCTCAGAATATGTAGTTTTAAAAGTTCCCCTAGGGGTTGTGGAGCATGTAGCTCAATAGATGATCATTTGACTTGCATGCGAGAGGTCCTAGATTTGAGCCCCAGCACCATCAAAAAAAATTGTACACATGAATATGAATATATATATATGCACATATGTACATGTATGTATGTGTGTGTATGTATGTGTGTGTATATATATACATATATACACTTATATATGTGCATATATAAAGTTTCCCTAGTGGCACATACCTATTCTCCCAGCACTTGGAAGGCTGTGGCAGGAAGATCAATTGAGTCTATGAGTTCAAGATCAGTTTGGGCAATGTAGTGGGACCACCTGTCTTAAGAAGCAAACAGAGGAGGACACCCGTGGCTCATGTCTGTAATCTTAGCTACTCAGGAGGCGGACAGGAGGGTTGAGATTCAAAGCCATCCTGGGCAAATAGTTTGTAAGACCCTGTATCTTGAAAATGCCCAACACAAAAAAGAGTTGGTAGAAGGGCTTAAGTGATAGGGCACCTGCCTAGCAAGTGTGAAACCCTGAGTTTAAACCCCAGTACCACAAAAAAAAAAAAGTCCCCAAAACAGAAATGAATGTGGTGATACCCATTTGTTATCCCATTACTTGGGAGGCTGAGATAGGAGGATTACAAGTTTGAGGACAGCCTGGGCTATATAGTGAAACCCTGTCTCCAAACTCTCCCACCCCCCCCAACCAAAAAAAAAAAAAGTTCCCCTAGTAAATTTGATGGTAACTGGTACTGGTCCAGGAACCAGCATGTGAGTAGTACTGTGGTAAAAGATTTCCATGTGTTAGAGTTTAAGCACTTTTTTACTTAGCAGTTGTGACTACCTTTTGCCCAACGTAAAACTTGTTAACTCCTCTTTATTCTTACTGCTTTTCCGTGTCTTTACTTAGTCAATTATTTCATTCCAAATACTCCTTTTTAAGAATTTATCCATCCCATGTTATATACTCATTCTTCAGATGTTGATCACAAGCAAGGACAATTATCCTTAAGGTTCAACCCTTCTAGGTTTATTCTTGTTTCTTGAAAGTGAAAAAGAAAAAAAAAAAAAACAAAGAAAGTAGGTGAAATAGGAGTGGTAGCGAAAATACAGATTAACTTGTAGTTCTGAAAGAGAAGGCCAGCTTCCCTGTGAAGGGAAATGAGGACCAGGCACAGCCGTGACTGCTGTATGTCTCTCACATCCTATTCTCTGTGCAGCTGAGCCACTAATGGGCAGTAGTTTGCTTGAAGAGGCTTCAGTACCCAGTAAAAATTTGGTGTCTATGAATTCTCAGCCCAGCCTTGGTGGAGAGTCCTTGAACCTACCAAATGCCAATTCTATCCTGGGAGTTGATGATGGTAAGACTAACTCTCCTTTATTTGGGGGAAATGATCTGCAAGTAAGGGTTAAGGAATGGAGTGTTTCCAATATAGATGTTTTAATCTTACTTCTTGAGTAGTTTTAGTATGACTGAGTGAGGAGTGTTTGTGTTTTTGTTCTCTGGGGTGGATAAGTGAATTTTTTTTTTAATTCATTGAAGATGATATAATACAAGAATAAAGAGAAAAAAAATTTTAAAGAGAAAATTATCTGTAATCCTAGCATCCTAGCCCAACTATTTCTGTCTTTCCTATTGCAGTTGTGGAAGAACTTAACTTTTAAAACACTTAAGCAGAACATAACCAGGTTTTACAGAGGAGATATAAAGCAATTTCTCCATACCTTCAAAAGCCATATCTTCTGGAGAAAAGAAAGGGCTCTCTAGGAAACAGTTGCTTCTCTTTGGTATAGAAAGTTCACCCAAGTTACACAGGCCAGGCCCTCTTCTCTGAAAAACTTAACAGGTGAGGTCAGCATGCATTTATTCAGTGCCTACTGTGTGTCTGGCACCATGGGAAAGACAAAAGTAGGAGATTTGAGAAGTCAAAACTTATGTATATGTATGAAACAACATTGAGTAAATTCAAGATGTAATATTAGTAAACATTAAATTATGCACTGTAGTTTGGAAGGGCAGTACGAGCCACAAAGACCCTGGAAAAAAAACTTCTAATTTGTTTGAAGACTAAGTGGTTTATCTATAAACTATTTCCAGAAGATTTTCATGGTGAACCCACTGATGAACATTTAGTAAGTGTGAGATCCTGCTTTAGTTACTCCTATTGGCCAGGTGTGGTAGCAAACATTTGTAATCCCAGCACTTGGGAGGCAGAGGCAGGAGGATCCTGAGTTTGAGGCCAGCTGCATTGCATGGTGAGACCCTGTCTCAAAAAAAAAAAAAAAAGAAAGTCTAGTTACTTATTTCCGACTCAGTCAGCTTTGGATGTAAGTGACCATGTTTGTGAACTTCTGTGTGGAGCCTATAAGGCCCAGAGCATGCTACCACAGTATACCTCCTCTGATTTATGAATAGTACTGGTAGAAACCAAAGCAGAAGGCATGGAAATTGCATGGAGCTGCTTTGCCAGCCTTGAAAAAGTGAGTCCAAGGGAGGAAGGGACTCTGAGTAGGAACTTGAAAGCCAGGATTAGCTTTAGTACTTGATCAGTGCATATTGATACATAGGTATTGGTGACTGCTTCACGGGCTGGCTCTGGCTCCGTGATCTGCATGCCTGAGCAGCTTTTGCTGTTTCATCCACAGTTTTAATTCAGGTAGCAGTGAGGAAGCTATTTTACTCTAAATTGGTATATTGAAAAAATGGTCAAGTCCTATAGCAAAATTTCCTGCCTTTATTTCCCATCCTCGTTTAGTAACACTTTGCATTTGATGATATTATCAGGCAGGAATTAACTTGAAAAGAATACAGGAACATTGGATTTCAGTTTCTTTTTTGAACAGTTCTTTGAGGCTTGATAAAGGGATTTAGGTATATATGGATTCATTTTTCATTGAAGATTAATTTTTCTGTTTCACAGAGGTGCTTACTGAAGGATCCCCACGTCCCCTGTCTTCAGTGCCTGATGTTACACATCACTTGGTGACCATGCAGTCAGGGAGGCAGTCATATGAGGTTTCTGTCTTAACTGCAGTAAATCCACAGGAGGTAAAGCTGTCTCTTGCCTTTATTTTGTTTCTGTGATGCCTTACATGAAGAAAAATTTGGGAATTTAGAGATTCTGAAAAATTCTCCAATTTTCATTTCCTAGGAACTTTGACTACAATCTTCCTTTTTTTTTGGCTATTTATTTATTTATTTATTTAGGCAGCACCTGGGGTTTGAACTCAGGGCTTCACATGCTTACTAGGTAGGTGCTCTTACCACTTGAGCCACTTCTTCAGCTACAATATCTTCCTTTAAGCTAAGTATGAGTTCAGCTTGAAAGGAACCTCAGTGTTAGGCTCTTATCTGTCACAGTTGGGACTCTTGCCTTTTAGATTTCCTTTATATACATTCCTTAAGGAATGGTATTTGTTCCCACTGTCCTCTGCCTCACTATAATATGAAGATACTGCTCTCATTTTTATAAAGAAAGTAACATCCTGAAACAAAATGGTCCCTGAGCAAAAATTAAAAAATTAAGTTAGAGACAAAAGCATTTAAAATATTTATTAAATTGGGCATTGTGCCTGGTGCCTATAATCCCAGCTACTTGGGAGGCTGAGATCAGAAGGATTGAAGAGACCCCCCTCATCTCAACAAAATAGGCCAGGTATGGTGGCATGCCTTCATTCGAGCTATTCAGTAGGCATTAGGTAGGAGGATCAAGGTCCAAAGTTGGCCTTGGCAAAAGAGAGACCTTATCTGAAAAATAAAAAGCAGAAGGGGCTGAGGGCATGGCTCCAGTGATAAAGAGTATTTGCTTAGCAAACACCAGGCTATGAGTTCAAAATTCCATATTGCCAAAAACATAAAAAATAACACTTGCTGACTTGGAGGCTGAGGAGGATCAAGAGCTGGAGGCTATCCTAGGCTACATAGTAAGTTTGAGACCAGCCTAGGACTACTAGAGAGACCCTGCCTTTAAAAAAAAAAAAAAAAATGAAAAAAATGTTATCCTTCATTCTATTAGGAACATATATCGGGAGATAACAGGTTTTTAAAATTTATTTATTTTTGTGGGACTGGGGTTTGAACTCAGGGCTTTGTGTTTGCAAAGCAGTTGCTGTACGCTTGAGCCACACCTTTAGTCCATTTTGCTCTGGTTATTTTGGAGATGGAATCTTGTGAACTAAATTTACCTGGGCTAGCCTCACACCACGATCCTCCCGATCTCAGTTTCCCAAGTAGTTGAGATTACGGGTATGAGCCATCAGTGCTCAGCTCCAAGGCTGAACCAGTTAAGCATAAAGGAATGAGTTTACTTGATTAACCCACCTCTCAGTGTATTACCCTTCACTCTTAAGCTTTTTACTTAGTGTGGAGTATTTTTTCTGTAATTCAGATTTGCTTTCAATCTTTTGCAGTTATTGAACCAAGGAGATCTAACTGAAAGACAGACATGAATGTCGGCACTGACTCCGGGAGGAGCAAGTCTGTCTGATTCCAGAATGCGTGGTGGGAACAGGATCCAAAGGCCCACTACTTGCCAGAACCAAAATAAATCTGTGAAGGACAAGACCCCACTTTTGCCTCTGTTCATGTTCCCTAGCAGAAAAGATGAATGTGGGAGCCTCTCATCAACTACCATCTGATCTAGTCAAGGACAAAAGCAGTGACTGTGGACTGGGTAACTTCCTGCCTCTCTTCTCACTGCAAAAGTTTGTGATAGACTCCTTTCAGAAGTGAATTTGATTATGTGTTGGCTGAAGTTTCTCATTAAGAGTTTTGAGGGGAGGCTTTCCTTTGAAGAGTTTTCATCCCAGACCCAGCTAGCTAACTTTTCACAAGGATGGACTACGCCTAGCCACCAACCACAGAACTTCACCAGGAAGTTGTTTTCAAGATGCCTTGTTGCTTTGAAGAAGGGAGTGATGTCCATTCTGTTGTGGCATTCTCCTTTTAGCAACCTGAGTAAGAGACTCTCAGCCACTGGGCTGCAAAAAATAAATTACTTGAATTTCCCTTTGCCCTATACACCTCTACTCAGTCACTTTGCTCTCTTTGTTTATGGAACATACAGTAGCATGTTAAGGTTTTGGTTTTTGTTTTTTAAAGTTAAAAATCACATGATCCAGAGCTTCACTTTTCTCCTTAAATAAACAAAACATCCCAGTTAGTTCTTTGACTCTTGTTTCAGACACAATTTGTTTTCTTAGAAGGTTGAGAAAATAATTCAGTCTTTTTCTTTAAGATAGTGCACTGGTTAACCTCTAGATACCACGCTAAAACTGAACTGAGGAGTCTTAGGAAACATGACACAAATTCTTTTCTTTTTTGATGGTACTAGTGATTGAACTCAGCCTTATGCTTGGTAGGCAAGTGCTGTACCACTTGAGCCACTCCTCCAGCCCCAATGTCCTCATTTCTAACTGGGAAACCTAAATGGCTGTTAATAAGAGTATCATTCTGCCACCGTCAGAAAAGACCACATTTGAGCCTGGTAAACTGGTAATAATAACAGGTAATTTTGAATTTTTCCAGAAAGATAGTTAAAACATGCGAAATGTGTTCCTTTAGAGCAGGTACTCTTACTATCTTCCTGACTACAACTATAGACAAAAAATATCCAGTAATTATTGGGAAGAAGAACATCTCAAAGATCATCTACTAGAAGGAAATCATGACTGTCAGAGAAGTTTTAAATTTATTTAAAACTCCATGCTGACACATACATATGCATACAGTGGCACATTCTAAACAACAGGAAAGAATAAACTCCTGTTTTAAATTATTACAGTTCTTTATTAATGACATGCATGGCCATTCTGTGCTGTGTAGACTTGAATTCATGGCAATTACCTGTATTCTAAATGCTTTTTGCAGCCTTATTTTGATAATAGAGCAGTGATTCTTAACCTGGGACATTTCTTCCCTCCTTGGGTACATTTGGCCTTATCTGGAGACATTTTTGGTTGTCACACTTGGGAGACAGGTACTGTAGGTATCCAGTGCATAGAGGCCTGGAATGCTGCAAAACATCCTACAATGTACAGGACAGGTCTCTCTCCTAACCACCACAAAAATTATCTGCCCCAACATATCAAGTGCTGAGGATAAGAAAGCATATACTAAAAGTTGCAAGTTTGTCATCCCCCATGAGCTAATTGTGATAACTTGTTTTACCTATACAATATTTCTAAATAATTCTTAATTAGTTGCCAACGTGTATTTTTGGCTTCTGATGAAAATGTGGTTGGCCTGGCAGTTCTGGGCCTGTATTGCTGCGGGGTTTATTCTCCAGTCTTTACCACTATCATCTTACACCTACCTCTTTGACTGCTTTATGTTTCCTAACTAACCCAGTTAGACATTTGGGCTTGTGATATACCTTTTTCTCTACCTACTCTTAAGTGTCAAGAACCCTTAACTCTGGGCTGTCATCCCTCTATCCTGAGCTTTTCCACTTTGATTTTCTTGAACTATCTTTGCCATCTTTTAGTTTTTCCCATTCTTTGATAGTAGCCTGGACTCAAAATCCAAGTTTTGCCTGTCTTGACTCAACCCTTAGTTACCTGCTTCATGTTTTTCAAACGCAGTAATAAGTGTACTGATTAAGGAATTGATTTGAGATTGTCTGGTGATTCATAATACAGGTCCTCTAATTCTTTCTTGGGGCTTGTAGGATGTTCTAGAGATTCTTCTAAATCCTGCTGTGGATCTCTGATGCCAAGTTTTGTAGTTTCATGGATGCTACAAAATAAAGCATTACTAAGTAGAATATTTTAAATTAAAGGAAGCATTGTGTAAAGTTTAAGAATGGTCTCAGCATTTTCATTATTTTATACAGGCTATAAAGAGACATTTTTAAGGGGAAAACAGGAATTAGGGGAGGGGCTACTTGTATTTTAAGAGAGAAAAACATTGAGAATAACGGAGATACTATGCTTTTCTCCCTTTGTCTTAGACAATATCAAAATGGGTTCTGAAGGAGGTGGTGCTAATGAATTACTTTGAGAGCTTATTTGGAAGTTCTAGCAGGGGAGCGCAGCTACTCATATACCCTTGACCGAAGAATGGTCCTCCTGTATTGGGGATGGTCATCCTCTTAAACGTGCAGCTTCGGGAGGAACACACATGGAGCAGTAAAAGAGGAAGGGAATACCCGCCTAGCCAGCCAGATCAGCCGAATCAACCCTAGAGATCAATGGGGTGACAAATGTCGCAGCTAGATCGCCCTCCCATCCAATGAGTTACTTTGAAAGGAGTGCCAAGAAATAGTTTCATTTTATAAGAAGTCAAAATATGCATAATTTTTCCTTAAAAGTACAGTGGAAATACTTAGGGGATTAGAACTGGAATTGGAAAGTGATCTGTTTCAAATTGAAGGAATCTAAACCTAATATACAATGATTAGATTTTATTCACAATTGCACTATAAATTCAAATATGTTGCTTGGAGACCAGGATTGTGATCTCAAAACATAAGTGGCTATTCTCAAATTTCTGGGGATGGCAATTCAGAGCTGCAGAATGACAGCAGCCTCTCACATTACCTAGGAGTATCCTTGGCTTTGGTTTCTTTCTGTTGTCGGGATCCTTGACTCTTGTTTCTCACAAAGTCTTCTTCTAGACCAGCCTGCTTCAGGGTGTCTCGATACCGTTGTTCTGCTTCTTTCCTGGCAAGGTTCTGTGGAACAGAAATTTAATCTGCTCTAGCTGTCTCATGAGTTAACAGATGACTCTAAAGTACTTGCTTACTCGGTGTCCTTATAATAGTGCCCTTACCACCACCTCCAATCTGTGCTGGGCACATTGGCATGAAAATCACTTGGAGCATTGTTTCCCAGCCTTGGTGTGCAAGTGAGTCCCCTGAGAACTCTCATTTGATAGGTCTTAAGTGGGATCTGCAATTCTGTATTTCTAACACTTCCAGGAGATGCCAGCTGTTAATTTGGGAGTCACAGCTTTGGAAAGGAAGGATTTAGATTTGTGGGAGATCAAGTAAGACACAGATGAAAAAGATGAACTAAAAACATTTTAAGATTTAAAAGCAATCAAATCAGGAACACGAAGCTGCACTAAGAATGCTCAGTGCTAGGCAACTATTTTTGAACTTTAAATGAAATTGCATAATTTAAAAACACTTAATAGAAGGATGATGGACCAGAAAGAGCTTATTTTAAGTATCTGAGAGCCAAATAAAAGTACTTTGTATTTTGTTGAGATCTGAAGGGCAAGCTTGCTTGACAAAGAGGAAAGGCCAACATTTTATGCAATCCCTGCATGGTGGGAGAGGAATTATAGGTGTGAAGAGGAGTGGACACACAAATGCTTAGATGATACACTAGCTGTAGGATGGAGCAAAGGCCCAGCAATTGGTAACAGTCACTTAGGAACTCAACCTTTATCTCAAACTGGAGAGGAAAGCGATCCACAGAGCTTGATGCAGCCCCAAACTGACAACAATGGTGGCCTTTCTGGGCTGTTCAAGTAGCTCAGAGCTTTCTTAGGGAGATCTCAACTGAGTTTGCATTCCCTTAAAGTCTAGAGAATATCTTCAAATTATTTTTTTCAACATGAAAGCTGCTTAATCTGGAGCGAGCTTTGTGGGGTGTTTATAAGTATCCTAACCCTTAAAGACCTATATGTTGGGGGGAAAATGGTAGTAATAAACTGAGTCCAATTTATAATCTCTGAGTTCTAAGGAAATGTCTAGTGCCCACCTATTAAAATTGTTTCATAATTTCTAAGAGCCCTTTCATCCAAGGAAAAAAGAAAATGACAGTTTGATTTTACCTTGGTAACTTGTTCAAAGAGATAGGGCCTTGACTGTATTCTCTTCCTCATTTCTTCCAGTTCCTTCTTATACTCTTTTGCTCTTTTGCGATCATTGTTCCTAGAATTAACAAGATTTCTAGAACAAATGTCATCTTTTCTGACCCAGAATACCTTTCATCCAGTTAAACAGAGTTAACTCCCATGTGCATTGTAAATTCCCCACTGCCTGGCAAAATCCTTGACTAATGATTACAGAAGCTTGCCCTACTGACTCCATTTTGCCATTTTCAAGGCCAATGATCTGTTGGATGCTAAGACAGGTACCCTTTGGTACATGGAGGATACTGACCGGTTCTCTCTCAGCTTTGCTTTGAATACTTCCTCCAGGCTTTTATGGGGATCCATGGCTTTTGCACGCAAGGTCACTGATTTAGACATGGCTTGACACTTCTTTTTGTGCATCTCCAACCACTGAATACTGTCATCTGCTTTGTCCTTTTTTTCAAGTGAAGTTCTAAAGGAAGGGAACAAAAATAAAGAGCAGAGATGAAGAACATGGTTATATTCAAAAGCAATTTTAGTAATCTCTCTAGAAAGTAAGTGTTGTCTATGAATGAGTTAGGTAATTTAGCACAGCTGGCATTTTCAGAAAGAATAAGATTCTGGGATTAAGTGCACTGGCAAATGAAGCCTTTTGAGCACTATGGATCAGTGATTTCCTACCTCAGGAGTTTATTCATTGAATAGAAGACCTTGTGAGTTAAAATATCCTTAAAGAGCCAAATACTCAGTAGATGTGCTTAACTTCTCAGCTATCTAGCAGCAATACTGACTGCTACCATTCACAGAGCTACTTACTATGAACCAAGTACCACTATATTTAATGTAGTCCTTATAAGTGACGTATAAGATAAAGATTATAAACAGGGATGGGGGGTACATTGAAGGTCAGAGATGGTAAGCCACTTGTTCAAAGCTACCCAGCAAGCCACTGGAAAAGCCAGGAATAGAACCAGAATCTTGCTCCTGACTCTCTGCCCTTGACTACTGTGGTGAAAATAGTGGACTGGAAGTTTGTTGGTTCATGGTTCTTTGGGAATACAAATCTGCATTTCCAAAAAGAACTGGAAATAAGCCCCCTTCACTGTCTTCACTTTCTGTCTTCAGTGCAGTTTGGTGTCAACTTGCACACTTAGTTTGTATAAAGAAAAAGAGAACCAAGACTCTTGGTTTGAATGACGGCATATATTCCTGCCCTGATCAGAGAATAGCCCTACAGCCCCTTGAAGTGTCTCTGACAAGAGCAGAGGTCCAGCAGCATGGTGGGTTCCAGCATTTGGGTCAAGATCAGCATTATGAGTATTGTGCAGCCTGACCACTCACTTAACTGCAGATTCCCTCTTCCTGGTGGCATCTGTGATGTGCACAGGAAGGGTGTTGGTAGAGAGGGAAGCAAGGCCACTCAGAGAACGACTCCTTGGCAGAGGTGTGGCTGGTGGCTGTAGGGAATCCTATAAGAAAAGAAGGCTGGCATTGGTGGGACAGCATGTGTGATTAGTTTCTATCTTAACAAGGATTCAATCTCATTGAGCTAAAAACGAGAACATTTTCCCCTCCCAGTAATAAGGATAATGTGATCACAAGTTTAGTAACCAGGCCACACTTGGGATATCAAGCCTAAAGTTTTTAATCAACTGAGAAGAGTTCTTGGAATTGGCAAAGGGATGACAAGCAATTCCCTGCCTCCTAGACCTGCTTGGACTTATTTCTGCAAAATCCCCTTAGAGAGACGGATTAAAGGGAGTGTGCCTGTGGTCTTAAATTTGCAGGAATATGGATCTGCTTCCAACTGAGATGGTGTTTTTAAAAATATTAAGATAGAAAAATGGCCAGGCACTGGTGATTCGCACCTGTAATCCTAGCTTCTTGGGAGGCTGAGATTGGGAGGATCAAGTTTCGAGGTCATCCTGGATAAATAGTTTGTGGGACTCTAATCTCCACAATAACCAGAGCAAAATGGACTGGAGGTGTGGCCTAAGCAGTATAACACTTGCTTTGCAAATTCGAAGTCTTGAATTCAAACCCCAGTCCCACAAAAAAAAAAGAAAGAAAAATGTCATGAAAAGAACTCTCCTGTAAGGCCTGGGTTCATCCTGTATATCAGTTCTCAGGCCCACCTGCCTAGGCTCTCACCCTCCTCTCTTCGATGGTGGCAGTATCACAGGGCCTTGGAGTGTGACACAGGTTGGCTGTCCTCAGCAAGAAGGGCTTGTTGCGAGTCGCCTCTCGGGTTTCCCTGCTCTTGGCAGCTCTTCTCTGGAAGGCTTTGTATAGGCTGTCATAGTCAGGGACAACAGGGTTCACCCTTGGCTGGAACTCAAAGTCAGTTGTAGAAAGCTGAGTTTTTCATCCCGGGTTCGGGTGGCTGTGCGGGACTGCAGGTTAGCCCGGCTACTAGAGGAGGTGAAAGGGGAGGAGGCCATCTGGAGCATGTCGAAGGCCCTCATCTGGATGCGAATTTTCCTGAAGAGCTCAGCTTCTGTGGAGAAAGAGAGTAGTGATGGGTGAAGAGGCACCAAGCATCACATCAAAAAGGTCTAGAGAACTTCCTCCTTCCTTCCTCCCTTCCTTTCCCTCCCCCTCTCCTTCTCCTCTTCACCTCCTTCCCTCCCTCCCTCTTTTCCCCCCTTCCTCTCTCGCTCCTCCTCTGGAAATTGCCTCAGTTTCCCCACTCTTAGGTAGCTGGGATTACTAGACTTGGTTCAAACTTTCTCTTTAAGCACTAGCAGATTATAATGTGCCAAAGCCAACCATTTCAGGAATGCGGGAACCTTGCCATCAGCCATGGTAGGAGTATTTATATCACAGAAAATGGCAAACATTACAAACCAGTTTGCTTTTTTTCTTTCTTTTTCTTTTCTGGAATGATTGTTAATACACACTGACCACGGCTTGTGCCAGTCAGGCTGCAGAAGTAGCTACCAGTTGCTCTCACTGAGCACTTTCTATAATTCCTTCTTCAGAGGCAGAGCAGGATGAAGCCTTCTTGTACCCTCATTATCTGCACAGCAATCAGAGTGATCTTTTTGGACTTCCTATCTGATCAGTGGCTCCCCAGTGCCCTTGGGATGAAATCCACATGCTCTAACATGGTCGACAAGGCTCCTCCCCCCTCATTCTTCCTATTCTCTGACTCCCTCAGCTTCCTCTTACCTCCAGGCCACATCTCCCTCTGCCCCTTCCCTTTTCACCAAATTAACTATGCTACTCCTTCAGGGTCAACCCCAGTTCTCACCTTCTCTGGGTCCTTCCTGAACTGCTACCACCCCTCACCAGAAGTTAGGTCCTTCTGTAGTATGCCCCAAGCTTCCCTTTCATCCTTGCAAATAATTCATCCCATTTGTAATTTAATGTCTATAAACTTCATGTCTGTGTATTCACTACAGAACGGTTATCTGGTGAGTAGCACATGTGATTGAAGAATTAATAAAACTTCAGGTCCTTATTCAGAGCGATACGTGTGTGTGTGTGTGTGTGTGTGTGTGTGTGTGTGTGTGTTGGTATATGTGCTAGGGATCCAACCCAGAACCTTGCAATGTGCTAAGCAAGTACTCCACCACAGAAAGCTACAATTCCAGTGAGAGCTATACTTTTTGAAATGTGTAAATATCATCCTGAGTGATTTCAGTGATTGGCACTACCTCACCAGGATGAGAAGGGGTTAGGTGCTTTCCTAGGGACAGCTGGCTGGAAATGGCACTGTCCTATACTGGTCCTTGGGTGTCTCATGGTCTCTGCTCCTGTACCTGGGTTGGCATAGAGGCCTTCACACATACTCACTGAAAGAGGTTGTCAGGATGAGCCTTGAGATCACCGTAGGACCTTACAGGGCTCCCTGCTGTATAGACACACCTAACCCTTCCCTCCTGGCTTGCACTGAGCATGCGGCTTCTCATAGGTGCACCTCAACAGCTCATCTCCAAGTCGATGACACTTGAGCCCAGACTAAACCCCTATAGTACATCTGGGAAACCCAGATGGAGGCCACAAGGTAGCAAAGGTATTTTTACCCTGGAGTTTGTCCCCAAGGGCTGGCTCCAGAATGGACTTGGGGATCTTTTTGGTGGCCTTCTTTTGGGGGACTTTGGCCTTAGCTATAGCAGCCAAATCTCTCTGTCGAGCAGCCTCCTTTCGCTGCTCCTCCTTTTCTAGGAAGCTGAAGGGCTTCAAGGATGAGAGTAGTAATTCCTTCCTCTTTTGGATCCCTGCCCGCCGCCTAGCCTCACTGTGTTCCATAATCTCCTGGTAGAGAGGCAGATAGACGTGTGCAGGCACAGGTTGTGCCCGGAACTGCCGGTGGCACTCAGCCTCCTCCTGGCCTTGCCGCTGGGCCTGCTGCCTCTCCTGTTCAAACGAGGCAGGTGAGGCCAGCCTCTGGGCTTTTTTCTGGGCCTCTCGTAGTGTCATGTGGAATGGCTGAGGGACAGTGATGGAGGATGCCCAGGAGCTGATACTTCTGTGCTGGGAGGGTGGTCCAGAGCCTGAGGGTGGCTGGGCCTGAGCCCTGGGAACATCAGATGGAAGGCTACTCAGGGAGCTGCAGCGTCTTGTGGCAACACACCTGGGGGAGAGAGAGGATCTTTGTGTGGACATGGAATTTGGGAGCCTGAATCGTCTCTGATCTTCTTCCAAGGTCTCCCTGCTGGCAGATCACAAGTGGCTTCTCCAGCCTGACGTCACAGCCCCAAAAGACCTCCAAGCCCACAACCTTAAAATGAGGCCTCCCTCCTTCCTACAGACAATCCTAGCAGCCTAATGGGAACTCTCCTCTCAGACTTCATTCAAGAATTGCCACTTTGCACTCTGATAGTTGCATGAGAGAGAACAGTGCAATGGGCGGCACAGGGAATTAAGATTGAGTCAGATGGATCCAAATTCAAATTTTGAATTTGCTCATCTGTAAAATAGCAAAATAATATCCACTTGCAAGGTTATTTGGAAGAAAGTAAAAATTCAATGAGAAGAAATACACATACATATTAACACACTTGGCCAAGGTCATTCTTGGAGGAAAAGATGTTTGGGAAAGGTATCCCTTTAATCAGTTTCAGTGCTTCATTGCCAAATGTGATTTAGGATTGCTGGGTAGGCATGGGAACACTTGGATGGACCCGAGTGGATTCTAAACTGGTCCTGGGTAAGTGGTAATTTGCAGAAGTGGTTCTTGCCTTATTGAGGAAGAAGGCAAGGCCCTGAGACATGGCATGACTTGCCTAGAGTATAGAGTGGGGCGGCCATTGACTGCAGGGCCTTACCTCAGAGATGGAGGATGCTGGACCTGTGGCTTCCCTCTGCCCTTGTTTTGGAAGAAACTTTCCAGGACTTTATCATCTTCACAGTCATTCTCTTCACTCTCTGGGTCAGACTGAAAGAGGGACTCCAATAGACCCCATCTACCTTTCCTCTTTAGAATCTGTAGGGTCTCATAAAAGCTCCCAGTTGAGTCAGAAGTAGAATCTGTTTCCTCTGGGCTGAGGAACTCATGGAGTTTGCCAGCCCTGGGCAAAGCCAGCCCTTCCCCAGACAGCTCATCTTCTGGATCAGTGCCTGAGGAGGATTTGGGGGGAAATATCTAAAATGGAATAGAAATTAAACGATGGGTTAAACTGCAATTTCAAGAGTTTTCTAAATATAACTTAATTTCACTTTGAATAAACCTCAGAATATTATGAACTAGGGAGGAACAAAGAAAATCAAGATGAATTCTTTGCTTTAAAGACATTTCACAATGAAAGGTAAATGAAGAGCTAAGGCTGATTGCCTACTCAATTCAGTGCAGTAAGCATTGACAGAGAACCTAATCTGAACTATGCGTTCTGTCCCCTGCACTGTATGCTCTGCTTTACTGGGATTCACATACTTGCTATCCATCTTCCTTCTTTTGTTTCCTGTCTATACCCCTATTTTCCTCATACTCCATCACTAGGAATGAATGAATTAACAGGAAATACAATGTAGCCTAGCTGAAAGAATAAGATCCTAAAAAACAGGACACCAAACTAGCTTTTAAATACTTCATTTAGGGGCTGGGAGTGGAGCTTAGTGGTAGAGCACTTGCCTAACATACTCAAGGGTTGGGTTTGATCCCCAGTATTGCAAAACAACAATAAAATTGCATTAGATTCATTCATTCAGAAAATATGAATGGGTGCCTAATATGCATTGGGCTGAGGACAAGACAAACAAGGTCTCTACTTTCATGAAGCTTATATTCTAGTGGGAAGAGACAGGAAGCATGAGATTAAGATATTCAAAGAAAACTAAACACTAGAAGATTATGGAGAGATGGAGTGTCTGCAGAAAATTTTCTGTTGATAAAGTCCATCAAAAGTCACTACAAATGCGCCTAAATCAGAATTAGGTTTATTAATTTGTTGCAGTTCATCAGAAAATCACAGCGAAGCCAGGAGCCAGTGGCTCATGCCACTCTGGAGGCAGAGATCAGGAGGACTGCAGTTTGAATCCAGCGTAGGCAAATTGTTGGCATGACTCTATCTCAAAAAAATCCATCACAAAAAAGGGCTGGTTGTGTGGCTCAAGGTGTAGGCCCTGAGTTCAAACCCCAGTACTGAAAAAAGAAAACCACAGCGAACTTTGGCCAGAGGTGTGTGGGGGAGGTGGCAAATATTTTACGGTCAGCTTGTCCTGATTGTGAAGAGGGTTAGGGGAAGATGGATCAACTCTAGGTGGTTGTTGTCATGAAGGGAGAACAGTAAGTGACTAATTGAGCAATTTTTATTGAAGAATTGAGAAGAACAAAGCAAAGCAATAATTGATAAGCACTATCACTTAGAAGGGGTGTTAGTAATTTTGCAGCTATGTTATGACCCCAACAGATGCACTGATGGCCTTAGTTGTGTCTATTACAATCTGAGTTATACAGATGTTCCTTGATTTAGATGGGGTTATATGCAGATAAACTCACTGTAAACTGAAAGTATTCTAAGTCAAAAATGTATTTAATATACCTAACCTACTGAACATCCTAGCTTAGCAACACACTATAGAGTATAGGAGTATCAGTCATTCACTTTTGTAATTGTGTGGCTGACTGGGATCGGGAGCTTGCTGTCACTGCCCAGTACAGAGAGTATCATATTACTATTGAAGGAAAAAATCAAATTTGAAATGTATTTCCTATTGAATGCATATAATTTTCCCACCATTGTAAAGCTGAAAAATCTTAAATTGAACCATTTGTAAGTTGGGGGTGTACTTCCCCAGTCTGGGGCTAATTTTTATTTTCTCACTTTGGAGGGATTTTGGATTAACATCTGATTGATGAGAAAAAGAGACAAACTTGCTAAGTTCTGGAGTTAGAGCATTCTGGGTCCAAGGAACAGCAAATATACAAGCCTTGAAGTAGGGTCCTGGCTGGGCAGGAAGAAACTTGAATCTTGTAGCAGCAGGGAGCAGCCAGTGTGGCTGAAGGACAGTGGCATGAGAGGTCCTTAGAGAGGCAAGTATGGGGCCAGAATGGAACTGTAAAGGATAAGTGGTTGCAGACCAGGAAACCAGTTGAGGGCAGGCCACCGCAGTCCTTCTGGTAACATTTGGGGATGGACTTACTGGGTTCCCTAAGGTCCAGGTGTAATACTGTAAATAACACTAGGTTCTTTTTTTCTTTCTTTTTGATACAGTGTCTTGCTATGTAGCTTGGGCTTGTTAGACTAGAACTCACTATAATAGCCAGGCTTGCCTCAAATTATCTACCGTCCTACCTCAGCCTCCTGAGTGCTGGAATTACAGGCAGGCACCACCACACTTGGGCAAGAACACTAGATTCTGAGTTAAAGTACGTATATGCTGTAGTCCCTGGCTCTGCTGCTGAACAGCATGTGAAATTGAGCAAATTTCTTTTCTTTCTTTTTTGCAGTATTGGAGATTGAACCCTGGGCCTCGAGCTTGGCACTCTACCACTTGAGTCACGCCCCCAGCTCTTTTGTTTTTAATTTTGTTTTTGAGATAGAGTCTACTATCTTTGCCTACCTGGCCGGCTGTTAACTCATGATCTTCCTGCCTCTACCTCCCAAGTAGCTGGGATTACAGTTGTGTACCACAATGCCCTGCTCTTTTTCTCTTTAAAGTGGACTATTCAGTGGCTTTTAGTATAGTAAGGATTTTGCAACGATTACATTAAATTTTAGAACATTTTCATCGCCCCCATACCTATTAACAGTCATTCCCTATTTTCCTAACCCTCCCACACGGTCCCCTCATCGGCTAGCCATAAACTACCACCAGTCTTCTTTTTGTCTCCGGATTTGGGGGCAAATTTCTTAATCTTTCAGTTGTCTCTTCTACAAAATAGGAACAATTGTACTGTTAGGCATAGGGTAGTTGACAGGATAAGCAAAAACTGGGTGTCACTGCTATGGTCCTGTGAGGATGCTGGTACAAGACAAAGGGTTTATTTCTCCAGGGAGTCCTCCTCCCAGTGCCTACACTTCACGCCCCTCTTGACACACCCCTGCCGTATGTCTCCAAGGCAACGCCCAAACACTTTCCTCTTTTGGGGATTCCTTTCCGGAGCGCAGTCCTGCTTGCTCCCTTTTTCTCTCCTCACCTGACGGCTCCACTCGGCGCACTCGGGAGATCCCGCAGGCTTCCCTACGGTCATCTTCTCAATCAGGCAGAAGCAGAGGCGACGGTGACAGCCGCAGTGACAGCGGTGCTAGCTGCGGTGGTCACGCTAGCCACGCCCCTTTCCAGATTTGGCCTCTGATTGGCTCTCAGGGCATCCTTCCACGTCATCCCGCCCAAGGAAGCAAGGATCGTTTACTGATTGGTTTGTTTCCATTGCGAGTTTTAGTTCCGGTTCTGAGCATGCGGCGTGAGATTGGCGGACTCTGCTCCGGAAGCACTACTCCAGGCAGGTCTTGGCCGGGGTCCCAGTAAGGGGCAGGTCTGCACCATGGCGGCCTGGCTAGGTATGAGGCGGTGGGGTGCTGCGCCGGTGGCAGCCCGCAGAAGTCCGCTGGTCGCCTCCCGGAGGTGGTCCGGCGCCTTGGCAGACATCGTGTACGATGTGGTGGTGTCGGGCGGAGGCCTGGTGGGCGCTGCCATGGCCTGTGCCTTGGGTAAGGGCATCTCCAGACCGATTTTGGCGGGGAACTGGGCTGCGGTGCCGCTGCTGTGCGACGCTGTTTGTTCAAAGACGGAGCGTCCTTGATCCCGGCTGGGTGCGTTTGCTGCTTCGGGCTCCTTAGGGTCAAAAGCGGGAGGGGCTTATGAGTCAATTCCACCCCTGCGGAAACACCTGCCCGGGATTATTTAGTCTGTGACCATCGTTGGAGGGCACCAGGCGTTGTAGCATTGAGCTAGATGGTTTTTTTTTTTTTTCTTAACAGCTTTTTTAAGACATAAACCACATACCATAAACTCTACCTATTTAAGGCATACAGTTTAATTTTTTTTTTAGTGTATTCGTAGAGGTAGCTAGGATTATGTTGCCATGTTGCCTTTTTCTTTTTTTTTTTTTCCGGGGGGTGGGACTGGGATTTGAACTCAGAACCTTGTGATTGTTAAGAGGGCACTCTACCACTTGAGCCATGCCCCTAGTCCCTGAATCTGTTGCTTTTAGCAACTCTACAGTTGCTTTCAGAGATTGGTTTTGAAACCGGAAATGGTAGTGTACAGCTGTAATCCCAGCATTTGGGAGATTAAGGCAGGATTGTGATTTCTGGAGGTCCGCCTGGGTTACACAGTGATTCCTATTTTTGCTTTAGATTTTTTTTTTTTGGCAGTACTGGGGTTTAATTCAGGACTTCATTCTTGCTAGGCAGATGCTCTTAATGCTTGAGCCACTCCACTGGCCAGGAGTGACTTAAAAATCACAGTACACATGCAAGAATTCCGGGGTTTGATCTCCAGCATGGCAAAACGAATAAATAAATAAAATTGCATTTAAAAATAAATAAATAAAATAGCGGGGACTGGAGGCATGATTTGAGATAGAGCCCCTGCCTAGCAAGTGTGAGGCCCTGAGTTTAACCCCAATAGGGGAAAAAAATAATAATAAAAAATAGCAGTCTTGGGGTTGTGACTCAAATGGTAGAGCACTGGTATTCTTTTATATGAATAATTCTTTTTTTTGGTGAAACTGGGGCTGCTAGAGGCTCTGAGTTCAGTCCCCAGTATCACTAAAATAAACAAGTGAGTAAGTAAAAGTAAGTAAGGAAGCATAATTCTAGCTACTCAGGAGGCAAAGATCAGGAGAATCGAGGTTTGAAGCTAGTCAGTGCAAATAGTTCTCGAAATCCTATCTTGAAGAATTTCATCATATAAAAAGGGCTGGTGGAGTGGGCTCAAGGTGTAAGCCCTGAGTTCAAACTGCAGCACCACAAAAAAAAGTAAAGTAAAATGGAAGTTCCAGCAGATTTAGAACTCTTTCATCACTATATTCAGTGAGCGTGCCTCTACTTTTTTCCTGACAAACAGTTGGAACTGAACAGCATGTGATGGAGACAATTTGTCTTCAGGTGGGTCCTCTCATCCTGTGCTCTTAGGCTGGTACGGTGCATGAATCAACTTCCTGCCTCGGTTGGTGGTACACCTCGTCTTGTCCGTAGAGCGTGTATCCCACAGAATGTTGTTTGTCAGTAGTTAAAGGCTGGTCAACCATGCTTATTATTTTAATATCCACTTATTTTAGTTGTTTTTAAAAGTAAAATAATCCTGGTATTCTTTTATATGAATAATTCTTTTTTTTGGTGAGACTGGGGCTGGAATTCAGGTATTCATGCTTGGAAAGCAGGTGCTCTACCACTTGAGCTGCAACTCCAGCTTTCAGGCATTCTTTTAATATTTCTCCATAAGTCCACTGGGTCTTTCTTGATTCTTCTTCAACACTTACTAGTTTATGTTTTGGGCTTGAAACATCTATATTTCCCTCTCACATTATTTATAGTTCTATATGGTTTGGATGACATTTTTTTAATCCTTTTTGTACTGAGTCTTTTTTTTTTTTTTTTGAGATAAGGTCTCATTATGTTGCCTAGGGAGGCCTCCAACTCTTGAGTTCAAGCAGTCCTCCTGCCTCAGAGGCCTCCCAAATAGCTGAGACACAGTCACGTGGCACTCTGCCAGGCCCGCTCATATTATTTGTAAATGTTCTGTAGGTTTTGTGTGTGTGTGTGTGTGTGTGTGGTACAGGGGTTTGAACTCAGGGCCTCACACTTGCTAAACAGTCACTCTACCACTTGAGCCACTCTTCCAGCTCTTTCTTATGCTTGGTATTTTAACACAGGGTCTCACTGTCTTGCTGGGCTGGCTTGGAACTGTGACCCTCCTGATCTCTGCCTCCTGAGTAATTAGGATAGGCATAAGCCACCAGCACCTGCTTCTCTAGTATTTAAAAAAAATTTTTTTTCTAACATGTTACATTAAATAGCTAAAAAAATAAATCAGGGAACCTGACTGTATTTTATAATGTATTTAGGAATCGAAAATCCTTTTCCTGTTAGTTTCACCATCTCACCTGACATACAGTATCTGAATTTATGGCATTTGCAGCTAGAAATAATAGCCATAAGGAAAGAACTGGTTTCTGCCCTCAAGGAATTTGGAATCTAGCAAAGAAGAAAGATTTGTAGACAACTAAAGGAAGGAAGAATGAAATGAAAGCCCCTCCCAGAGGAACAATCAGCTGTTTTGTGCTGAAGGAATAGGTGCCTGGGCCTACTATGAGGAATAGGCCTCAAAGATGAAGCTTGAGTGGATTGATTCATAAGGTGCAGCACTGCCCTTAGGCAGAGGCAGGGGGACACAGGGCTGAGGGACTAGAGGCAGTCTCTTCTGTGTGGGCATGTCAGCACCCCCTACTTGCTGTAGAGTTGCTGCCCAGCCAGAGGGGCCTCACTGCTCTGGGAGGTTCACATACTGCCTGTTCCTTTGGAGTGACTTTGATTGTCACAGATCCTGCAGTGTGTGTTGGAATGGTGCCACTCTCATTTAGATTCTAAACCATTTTTTTTAAAGGGGTGTAAAGATTTGTGGGTTTTCCTTTATCATTACTTAGTAAAACCCCTAGTGTTTCTTCTCTCTCTTATTATCATAACACATTTCTCCTTTTTTGGCAGCAACTCACATGCTCTTTCCTTATCTAGTCTCTATAGCTGTCTCAGACACTGAGGAGGATAATCTGTGCTGCAGTCAGTCGACCAGTAACAAAGTACCCAAGTCACAAACCCCATTTTTTTTTTCACTATAGATGTTCTACAATCACATTTGTAGGCACTTAAAAAATTTTTTTTATGGTGCTGAGGATCAACTCAGGGCCTTGCATATGCTAGGCAAGCACTCTACCACTAAGCTGCATCCCCAGAGCTGTCATTTTCAGAGACTTCATACTCTGAAGACTGGAAATATGTTGTGTCTAAATACTATAACTTTGGGGGTTTTTTGGCAGTACTGGGGTTTAAACTCAGGGCCTCACGCTTGCTAAGCAGGTACTCTACCACTTGAGCCACTCTGCCAGACCCTAAATACTATAGTCTTTTAAAATTAATTCTTCCTTTCCGGTGCATTCTATTTGCTAGTTATGAATTTTGCCATTATTTGTTTCTTTGTATGTGCTATGTAGTGACTTTTGTCTGGAGAAGCTTTAATGTGGATGGGGCAGTTCTCCCAGCTGAAACGGAATATGTTGTTTCTTGGAATGCTGCATGAATTATGTTTATGTGTCCTCTAAGAAGTTTGTGTTCTAGGACTGGAGGTGTGGCTCAAGTGGTAGAGCACCTGCTTTGCAAGCGTGAAGCCCTGAATTCAAACTGCAGTCCACCAAAAAACAAAACAAAGAAGAAATTTGTATTCTACAATTCAAGGAATTGAATATCAATTTTTAAAAAAAAATGTATTTTTAGCTAAAACATAAAAACACAAAAATTGTAGATATTAATGATGTACCTTGTAATGTTTTGATACACCTTTACATTTCATAATGTTTAAATATTCTTAAACATTTCTTTAAGCAGTTATTCTCTCTTAATGGTAAAAACTTTCAAAGTTGGGCTAGGGATATGGCTGAAGTGGCAGAGTACAAGCATGAGGCCCTGAGTTCAAATTCTAGTACTGCAAACAAAAACTTTCAAAATCCTTTCTTCTAGCTTTTTGAAATGTACAGTACATTAATACCTATAGACACCCTGCTGAGCAATTCTTGGCTTTCCTAAAGTAATATAACATGTTGCTTTTTTCTTTTTTAGGATATGATATCCACTTTCATGATAAGAAAATCCTCTTGCTAGAAGCAGGTCCAAAGAAAGTACTGGAGAAATTGTCAGAAACTTACAGCAACAGAGTCAGCTCCATTTCCTCTGGTTCTGCAACCCTTCTCAGTAGTAAGTAGATGACCCTCTCTCACAGATCCAACCTCTCCTTGTCTTTCCATTGTGTCCCAAAGCACAGTCACCAGAGCATTTGAAAAAAGCTGTCTGTGTAGGTGGGGAGTGGGAGGTGGGCTTGCTAGTCTTGGGCATCATTGAAGATGAAGAATCCTCAAATTGTTTGTCAACCCACGTCTGGGGAAGACATCCTTGAGACATGAGTTTATCATGTAGACTTCATTTGTGATTAGGTCAGTATGGCTAGGTCAACTGAATCTATATGAACTAGTTGTGCACATTCACTCAACATTCCAAATCAGCCCTCAGGCAAGCCAGGGAGCCTGCATGTGAAATGCTTTTTGGGTGTCAATGAAATTATGCATATGGAACCAGTTAGCAAATTTGTCTTTGCTGTCTGTAACCACCCTATCTAAAAATAAACTCTTTCACTACTCCCTAACTATACTGCTTTATTTTTCTTCATAACACTTCCTACCACCTGACATTACATTATATATTTGGTTTCTGTTGTCTGTCTGTCCAACTAGAATGTTAGCTGCAGACAGCAGGGACTTTGGTATCCCATGTTCAGCTCAGTACTGAAAATTGTAACTGGCACATGGTTGATGCTCAGTAAATATCTCCTCAGAGAATGAATCTATTCAGTGCCATTAACAGAATAAAAGCTAATCTTTAGAGTGTTTATAACTAATGAGATGATGAGGAAAAAGGACAACGTGGGTTTAGTTTTCCTTTTTTATTTCCCCCACTTTAACGTGATTTGGCCTTGGGGACCTTTACCATGCTGTATGGTGTGGAACTGGGGAGGAGAGTAGCTTATTGTCTAGCACCAAACAGGATAGAACTGGAGGTCTTTTCTGTTATTGGAGAACACTGTAAACAACCTCTTACTTAACAGAATGGAGAGACAGAAGTAAACCCGATGCCCAGGTCCCTGTGAGGTTCCTCTGGTTTTTAGATCCTTTTTTTTGGTAGGTTTTGGTGCCTGGGACCATGTGTGCAACATGAGATACAGACCCTTCCGGCGAATGCAGGTACCTTCTTTTCCTTTTTCACTTTTGGTGATGAGTCTTAGTCTGTCTTATGATAAGATATTAGAATCTGAGGCCGAGCATAGTAGCTCACAGCTGTAATCTTATCTACTTAGGAGGCAGAGATTGGAAGGATTACAGATTGAGGCCAGTCTGAGCAAAAAAGTTTGCAAGACCCCTATCTCAGCCAATAAAAAGCTGGGCACAGGGCTGGCAGAGTGATTCAAGTGGTAGAGCTCCTGCCTAGCAAGCATGAAGCCCTGAAAAAAAAAAAAAAAGAAAGGTTGAGCACAGTGGCGTTTGCCCGTTGTCTTTGCTATGCAGAAAGTATAGATAGGAGGATCATGGTCCAGGCCTACCTGAGCATAAAATTGAGACTTTATTCAAAAAATAAAAATAACTAAAGCAAAAAAGGGCTGGGGGTGTGGCTCAAGTGATAGAACACCTGCCTAGCAAGTGGAAGATCCTGTACCCTCCCCCCCCACACACACGTGTTCTGTAGGTTTTCTGTGAATTGGGAGGAATCAGCCAGGAGGGGAAGCATTCTCAAGGATCTTCTTCTGACATTATATCTTCAGCCAAAGAAGCTGTCAATTTGTGGTTTTCTGTTCCTGTCACTTGGAAAAGCAATACTCTTTCTGATTGGAATCATTTCCTTTTCCTTGGTTTTAATGCAGACTTTCTTTTTGTGTTTCTAGGTGTGGGATGCCTGCTCAGAGGCCTTGATAATGTTCGATAAGGATAATTTAGATGACATGGGCTATATAGTGGAGAATGATATCATCATGCAGGCTCTCACTAAGCAGCTGCAGGCCGTGTCTGGTGAGCACCATCTTCCATTTACTCTCTAGGAAGTGAACTGCTTAGGACTTACTAGAAGAAGAGATCCATTTTACAGATACTGAATGTCCAGTTACTTTTTTTTTTTTTTAAGTTACTATTTATTTGGCAGTACTGGAGCTTGAACTCAGGGCTTTATGCTTGCTCAGTAGACACTCTACCATACCGCCAGCCCCCTAGCTACTTTTTAAATCTTGCTTTTTTTTTTTTTTGGCGGTATTAGGGTTTGAACTCAGGGCCTAATGCTTGTTTCGTCAGGTGCTCTACCACTTGAGCTACTCCACCAGCCATTCTGTGTTGGGTATTTTTGAGATAGAGTCTTGTGAACTATTTGTCCACACTAGCTTCAAACTGCGATCCTCCTGATCTCTGCCTCCTGAGTAGCTAAGATTACAGGCATGAGCCACTGGCACCTGGCTAAATCTTGCTTTTCTTATGTGACAGTAAATGAGAAGATATTGCTGTCTTGGGACCTTTGTTTATCTTTACTTTTAGATATTTCTTGAGTCTTTTGGCCTACTTTTCTAATGTTTTGTTTCTTTCTCTTTTGACCTCCCCAGACAGAGTGACAGTTCTCTATAGGAGCAAAGCTGTTGGCTATGCCTGGCCTGGTCCATTTTCCATGGCAGACTCCAGCCCTTGGGTCCATATTACCCTAGGTGATGGAAGCACCCTCCAGACCAAATTATTGGTAGTTAACAATTCTTATTTTGCCAGGGGTCTTGCATGAGTATACCTTACCCTTCATCTGGGGCCTTTAGTTTTAGATTTAAGCCATAGATTAACTTTAGGCAAACGTTTTGGTTAAGTAACGACTAATACCCATTCAAGGCAGCCCAAGTTCAGATGGTCTTATAAATCCTGTGCAAGAAGCAATCTCATGGGCCATCTTAGCTTATGAAATGAAGGATAGAAGAATATCCAGGCCACACAGGGCCAGGAACCAGAATGAGACTGTTCTTTGCTTCTCATTCTTCTCCTGTAGTCACAGTGTCATTCTTCTCCTATAGCTTTTATCTATTGTCTCTTGTTCACTAGTTTTCCTTTTCACATGGCAGCCATTCCTAAATTTATATCAGCACCATTCAGCTCCACTACCTGCATTGTTCTGAAACTGTCCTGTATTTCAAATATGAAGAGAATCTGGTTGAATTTGACCTATGGCCTGTATCTCCATATGTCAGCCATATTGTAGGGCTATCCCTGTAGGGATTATGAGTAGGACAGGCCTGATTAAAAGTTTCTTGCCACAGTGGGCTTGCTAGCAGTTGGACTCGAGAAAATTTTAGGAGAAAGAGATAAATTATGGAGCAGTATGATTTGTAAAGAGGTTGTAAGACTTGAAGGCTCTTGTCTCCATGCAGATTGGTGCTGATGGTCACAACTCAGCAGTACGGCAGGCTGCTGGAATCCAGAATGTTAACTGGAACTATGACCAATCCGCTGTTGTGGCTACTCTGCATTTATCTGAGGTAAGATCTGGGGCCACGATCTGGGGACCCTACTGCTAGGCACTTGATACTACTCACAAGAATCTTTCCTCTCTATTGTAGGCCACAGAAAACAATGTAGCCTGGCAGAGATTTCTTCCTTCTGGGCCTATTGCTCTGCTCCCGGTAAGAGTCCTCTGCCAGTGTGCTCAAAGGCATCCAGCATTCCTCTTTAGGAAGTCCTTTTTCTTTTTTGGCAGTGCTGGGGTTTGAACTCAGGGCCTCACACTTGCTAGGCAGGCACTCTTACCACTTGAGCCACTCTGCCAACCCTTTTTTGTGATGGGTTTTTTCCAGATAGGGTCTCTCAAACTGTTTACCTGGGGCTGGCTTCAAACCTCGATCCTCCTGCTCTCTGCCTCCTGAATAGCTAGGATTACAGGCATGAGCCACTGGTGCCTGGCACGAAGTCCTTTCTCTCAGCCCTTTTTCTGGTTTCAAGGGAGTATGCCCTGGCTAGTGTTGTTTCCCCTTCTTGCCTTCCTTTATGTTTGAGAGCCCCCAAGTTCAGAGGAGGTTTAGCCTTGGTACTAATGTTCTTCTTTTGACACAGCTCTCAGACACCTTGAGCTCCTTGGTTTGGTCCACATCCCATGATCATGCAGCAGAGCTGGTCAGCATGGATGAGGAGGAATTTGTGGATGCCATTAACTCTGCCTTTGTGAGTATCAACTTGTCCAACTGATGGTGTGTAGTAAGAGTGTATACAGAAAGGTTGTTCTGAGTAACGACTAACCAACAGCTGCCCCTTTGCAAGTATAATCCTTGCTGTGTATTCTGTGGAGGAGGACCACCTACAGGGAAATGCAAAAAGGAATAATGCCCTTCTGAGGGTGTGGGCTGCTGATATGGCTACAGAAACAGATGCCTGGGTGGTAGTCATTATTGCCTTTTTTGAAGCTATTATACTTTGATCATTTTGAACAATTTTACTGGGTCCCAAGTACTTGAACCTTCGAAACTTGATTCATTATGTGTGTTTCTAGAGAGGAGCCGAGCACATTGCAGCAAAGAGATGAGGAATAAACTTTGTAGATGGATATGGGTTCAATACTGGTTCTATCTGTTAACCTGAAAAATAGATATAGCATCACCACCTCTCAGGACTGAACAGACATTAAAAATGAGAAAATTGGGCTGGGGGTATAACTCAGTTTTAGAACTTTTGCCTAGCATGCCACGAGGCTCAGTTCTCAACACCACAAAATATATATATATATATACGTATGCATATATATATACATACATATATATATATTTATTATAAACATATGTATTATATATAAATATATCATAGAAATAACTAAAAACCATTTATGTAGAATGCTTGAGACACAGCTATATAAATTATAGGTACTCAAATGGTAATAATTATTCTGGCGTAGACATATCCTATAGATAATACAGGCACTACATTTATCTATAGTAGTAATAATTGAGAGTATTGCTTCCTTTGTGCAGGAGCAGGTTAGAGTTTTACATATATTTATTTAACTCAGTAAACATTTGAGCTAGGTACTAGAGACTTGAACTTGCCTAAGGTCACAGAACTAGTGGCAAAGCTGGATTCATCAAGCTGTCCCTTAGAGCTTGTGTTTTTAACCAAGTTCCACTACCTCATTAAGAACTTCACACTGAAGAATTTGAACTCCACTGCTGTGTGGTAGCAATAAGAATAAAAGGAACTGAACATACTGAAGTGGATTCCAAAATAAATGGTGAATGCCATTAGACCTGGCATAGGCCCTGCACCTTTGTAGTATATTCATTCAACAATAATTGTGAGTGTCTTCTATGTAGCAGGCTCTGGAGACAAAGACAAATGAGACAGTCCCTGACTTTAGGAAGCTTGTAATTAACACAGAATGATTATTTGTAAACTGATAGAAGTATGCATAGGATGCTGGGGGAACACAGAAGGGGAAGCACAGAAGAGGGTTTCGAGGACATCTGGATGCTCTGAGGTATTATCCATGAAACAGGAGGGAGGGCATTCTAAGCAGAGGGGATCCTGAGCAAGATGAAGAGCTGCATCATAACTGGTATGTGGCTACTGACAGTAGAGATTAGTGAAAAGGCCGGCAGGGGCCATCTCAGGAGTAGTTCAGCCTGACCTAAAACCTTGAGGGGAGTGCTGGGAAATTCGATTTTGCATTTGTTTATGGGACTTGTCACTCATGGTCAAAATCAGTTCAGGCATGCCAGGTAGCATTACCCTTAGCTTTGATTATAAAAAGTGTTTTCTTGTTGAATTTTTAATTTCCTGCTAGTCACTGACCAAATTTCACCTTTTTTGTTTTGTGACTGCTGCTACTCAGTGGAGTGATGCTAACCACACAGACTTCATAGACTCAGCTGGTACCATATTGCAATATGCTGTCACCCTTCTGAAGCCCACTAAGGTCTCAGCTCGCCAGCTTCCCCCAAGTATAGCCAGAGTAGATGCCAAAAGCAGAGTACTCTTTCCTCTGGGCTTGGGACATGCTGCTGAGTACGTCCGGCCTCGGGTGGCACTCATTGGGTAAGACAAAACTGGAGCAGGGCTTCTCCCTTCTCACTGTGTTGCTGGAGGCCATGCCTGAATGCTGCTTTATTCTTAGTGATGCAGCCCATAGAGTCCACCCTCTTGCAGGACAAGGTGTCAACATGGGCTTTGGAGATGTCTCCAGCTTGGTCCGTCATCTCAGTACTGCAGCCTTCAATGGCAAAGACTTAGGTAAGACCAGAGCCCCCAAATGGCCCTCGGCACAAGATGGGATAGACCTAACATGTATCTGGTTTGCTAGGAGAGGGAAACTTCCTTTATTATTGGATTAGCGATTTAACCTTTTCTCTTTTCCTCCAGGCTCCATGAGCCACCTCACAGGTTATGAGACAGAAAGACAGCGTCACAACACTGCTCTTCTGGCAGCTACAGACTTACTAAAAAGGCTCTATTCTACCAGTGCCACTCCATTGGTGCTGCTCAGGACATGGGGTTTGCAGGCCACTAATGCAGTGACTCCCCTCAAAGTAAGAGGTCACTCATGACTCCCCAAGATTCTTGCTGAGGAAGTACTTACAAACAACTCTAAATTTCTCTGAATTAATTTTCTTGACTGTAACATTTTTATTAATGTTTTATTAATGTCTTCCTTTCCACTGGTTAAGAACATGGGCTTCTTGGTGTTATGACCCACAATTAAGCAACAACTTGATATAAAGAAAGGGCTTAAGAATAGTGACCAGGACTTGTAAAGATAAAGGTGCTGAAACTCCTTTTGTTATTTTGCAGCTTCTTCTCTGAAACACTTCCATTTAAAGATACTGGATTTTTTTTTTTTTTTTTTTTTTTTTTAGCTGAAATAAAATGGACTTTTGGGAGGATTCTCTCTATGGGACTCTTGCTAAGTTTTTATCCAGGGGGATATTTCACCTGCCCTTCTACCTTACAGTGTAAGAGTATCACTGTTTCATTTTACTCCAGGAACAGATTATGGCCTTTGCCAGCAAATGAGTGCTCCTCTTCTGAAGATTATGCTAATGAAAGAAGGACATCTGGCCTGTTACCGGCACACATTTCCAAGATTTTATTTAATAAATTTATACTAGAATTCTCATTTCCTCCTCTTCTTTTTTTTGGGGGGTGGGGAGGAAGGGAGGTAGGAATGGGGTTTGAACTCAGGGTTCCAGGCTTGCAAAGCAGGTACTCTACTGCTTGAATCACACCTTCAGTCCATTTTGCTTGGTTATTTTGGAGATGGGGGTCTTGTGAACTGTTGCCAGGGATGGCCTCAAACTGTGATCCTCCCGATCTCAGCCTCCCAAGTAGCTAGGATTTATAGGCATGAGCCACCAGCACCCAGCTTTATGGAGCCCAAAAAATGAGTGATAATTTGCTGTGAGGAGGGGATATTAGCCAAGCCTAGAAAGAAAAAAATCCCAAAGGAAGACTATTTGATTGAAGTGTTTTATTACTAAAATAAAAAATCACTGAGATACTGTCTCACTCATTTTTACTTGCTAACAATTCTTTATAAAGAAATTAAAAAAAAACTGATCATAAATTTGTACAATTATCTTTTGATAAAGGTAAGAATTAGAAATACTTAAAGTTGATATATTTTTGTTAGAACTGCTGTTTTTAAATTAACATTAGAATGCAAATTAAATATAAATTTCTTTAACAATACCAAATCTTAATGCTAGTTATTACTTCCTCATTACAATACCAGTTTCAATTTTATTTATGGTTCCTCTCTGGGACACCATTATTCAGTAACAAAACAGTAAATATCATTGCACAGGTTTGAAAACAGGTCAAAAGGACACCATTAACAGCATAATTTGTGTGTGGGGGCCAACATCTGCCCAACAGAGGGAGCAGTGTGTGGCTGTGGGTTTTGAAGCGCTCACCGCAGTACCAGAGATGCCTCAAGAAGAGATCTTCAGGTATGTTAGATTTGTATACTGTAAAAAAAAAAAAACAAAAACATTCCACCCAAAAGTCTGTTTTGAACTAACCTGAGCTATTCTTGCAAATAATTTTTGGATGCATGAGAAATTTGTTGTTATAGGGGAGGTTTTTAGGCAAATGTGGGAATTTTTTTTTTTTTCTGGTATTGGGGTTTGAACTCGGCCTACATCTTGAGTCACTCCACCATCCTTTTTGTGATGGGTTTTTTTGAGATAGGGTCTCAAGAATTATTTGCCCAGGCAAACTTTGTACCACGTTTCTCCTGAGTAGCTAGGATTACAGGTGTGAGCCACTGGTACCCAGCAGAAAATTTTAAGACAGTAGAAAAGTGACAATGTCACAAACCTTCCTAAAATCCCAAGAAATATACCCCCCAAAAAAGATGGAAGCTGTTATGAAAAGGTGTGTGATGACTAGCAGAAACTATCGAGTCATCCTTCAAAAAAAAACAGCTAGTGGAGTGGCTCAAGTGGTAGAACAACTGCCTAGCAAGTGTGAGCCCAAGTTCAAACCCTAGTATCACCAAAAAGAAAAAGGTAGCCCAGATAAGGAGAGCATTGACTTTCCAAAGCAAGCATGTAACAACAGAAAAGGCAAGACAGGAAGGTTTTAAGGCACACTTTGCAAGGACCTCCATGGTTCACAGAAGTTCTTCATTATAATGGTAACATACAACACCCACCATGCGCCACCCACATACTAGGTATTTTAAACATTAACACTTTCACAGAGATGAAACTAACCAGTAAAACAGAATTCTCCTTAGTATAAAAAATAAAAATTTTCATTCCAAATTACACTTGAACTGGTTAAATCTCCAGATGTTCTGACCAAGATTAGCAAGAGATACGCAATAAATTTCTGAAGTAATGTATCTATCTGAGTTCTGAAGGTATCCAAGTAACCAAAGGCATCTGCAGAAAACACATGTACTTAATAGGATCCCTGTTTATGAAACATTTCAGAGAGGACTTGTAGTAAAAACAGTAACTTACCTTCCTGGAACTGTCTTTAATGAGCACACCTTACCTCTTACTATTACTAGAGGCTATAGTCTCTCAACTGTGGAACAACATTTAGTGGATGATGACTGATCTAGCCCCCTACTGGATTTGTTGACAAAGATGTTAAGGAGTCTAAAAGTCATGCCACATGTTAAACCATAAAGAATTTAGAATCAGTCTTCAAAGATTGTGAGATGGGAGATAAGATCACTGAGAAGGTAGATTTCAGCTCAACCCAAGGAACAATTTGTAAACAGTGCAGTCCCAAAGGAAATGAGCTGTTTGAAAATGCCTAAACAAACCAAATGAAAAGACAAAAAACTAAATACACACACACACCCCCCAAAAAGAAAAATACCACCACCAAAAAAACCCTCAACAATAACCTGTTAGAAATGTTGAAAGATTTCTGCATTGGGTAGAAAATGAGATTGTATCTTTGGGCTGTTTCTGAGCCTAAAGATTGGTGTATTTGCATTTTTGAGGAAGTCAACAGATAACAAAAGTAACCCTAGTAAAAGTCGGTTTCAGCTTAGCACAGTGGTACATGCCTATAATCCCAGCTACTCAAGAGGCTGAGGTGGGAGGATCACTTGAGCCCAGGAATTGAGCAACATAGAGAGAGCCCCATCTCAAAAACAAAAACATCAGTGTGAAAAGTCTGAAGAAATTCCACATTCAATTCTTTTTTGGTACTGGATGTCTGAACTCAGGACCTCACGCTTGCTAGGCAGGTGCTCTATCACTTGATCCACTCTGCCAGCCCACATTCAATTTATTAAAAAATAATTACAATTCAGGGGATTTGCTTACTTCCTTGCACACAGCAGATGTTAAATGCCAGGCATATATAACATCCTTTGTGAGAGTGAGACAAATGTGAAGGCTCCAAGTTTGAGCAGATGCAAACTCTCCTGGAAAGAAAGGAGGAGGTAAGCTATGGTAAAGGACCCAAATTACAGATCTTTCAAACCCAAGAGCAATAGAGTAGGGAGACAAGTAGATAATGGTCACTTGGGAATGTGTCAATGAAATCTAAAAATGTATTCTGGGTCATATTTGGGTTTGAATTCAGGGCCTCATGCTTGCTAGGCAGGTGATCTACCACTTGAGCCACATACCTGCCCTTACTTTTTTCAGGTGGGGTTTCGCATTTGACTGGGGCCAGATTGTATGTACATCCTCCTACATAATTGGTATCACAGATGTATACCACAACTCCTGGTTTATTGGCTGAGATGAGGTCTTCCTAACTTTTTACCTGAGCTGGCTTCAAACAACAATCCTCCAGCTCTTCACCTCCAGAGTAACTGTGACTGTAAGAGCCACCACACCCAGCTTAAATTTTTTTTTAAGACAATGACTTATGGAGGGAAGTAACTCACAAATTAAGAACTCTAGACACTCAGACTCAAATAGAAAACCTGAGGGCTTGGAGTGTGGCTAAGTGGTAGAGTGCTTGCCTAGCATACACATACCCTAGGCTTGATCCCCAGCACCACTAAAAAAAAAAAACCCACAAGAGAAATGCTGGCCCACTATTCCGATAGCAACCAAAAGAGCTAACCAAATCAACATCGGGTATTACCAGAAAGGGGAGCAGAAATCCTGGAACTAGATAAATAATTCAGAGGATGTTAGCTAAAATGGGCAGGAGCCAGGGTAGGAAAGCACTACTATAAATAGAATAAAAGGGCAAAGCCGGGGCTGAGGGAATCACTCACAGGTAGTACCTGTGCTTAGCATGGAGGAGGTCCTAGGTTCAGTCCCCAGAAGGGTAAACTGAAAGAGACTGGACCAAAATCTGTATTCCCAAATAGCAAACACCTCTAATCAGAGACCAAAAGCTAGGGTATAGCTGTATTTCACAGAAGTACAAAGAAATGAAGATTAGGGTCATGGGTAATACTATAAACATATTAATCTGGGAGGTGGTACTGGCACTGAATACGCACATACCTACAAGGTTGGATATGTTAATACCAGAGTTGACTGACTTACCGGGAGTTGACTAAAGAGGATAAGCTCTTAGAAGCAGCCATACCCTCTCAAAGCATGTGCTGGGAGACTTATGGCCTTCTTTCTTAAGGCTGCAATCTATCTGCAGTTACTCTTCTCCATCCTGTTAAGATTTAGGATGAAGTGGGCATGGTGGTGTATGCCTATTATCCAGACCAGCTCAAAGAAAAAAAAAAAAAAAAAAGATTTAGGATAGCTCTCAGCTGGCCGATTGCAGCAAGTATACAACAGGACCACAGAAATTCTAATTAGTGCCTTTTTCCTTTTTTAAAATTACACACAGAAAGCAAAACTAGGTAAACATATTAGTACTAATAGGTCATGGGATTTCAATAAGTCAGCTTAATTTAGTATGGAAGAGGAAAATTAAAATGTTTGAAGGAACGAGGCACTCCAAGAGTTGAAATGAGATTTTTCTTTGGTTTGCAGAGAAGCCAGCCCTGAGTTCTCCAAGGTTAAGTTCCAAAGCTATTCTTTTTGGCTCACAGATTCTCTATGACAGGAAGAATCTCAAAGATTTACTCTAGTGTCAGCTGTGTACCCTCAAGTGGTCAGGTAACACTTCACATTAGATGTGTAAAATTAATTAAACCCAAATCTAGGCTCCAAGTCAAGATTCATCTACAAAAGCCCCTTCTTCCTGATAAAACCAATTGCTGGGCTTCAGTTCAGGCTGTCCAAGACTAGCTCAGAAAATGACTGAGTCCTCTCCCCTTTTCCACTTAAAAAGGTTGTTGGTGAATGCAGGCCTCAGAGGAAGTGGTTGGCTTCAGTGGGAGATGCCCAGAGACTGCAACAGGTGAAAGGTGGCCCCCAAGGCCCAGCCTGTCTCTATGTTGTTAACTTTCTTTGTGAGCTGTTGAGAAGAAAAAAAAAAAGTCTTTAAATTTTCATCCAATTTTCCAACTCTAGCTAGCATGGCACTTGGTTAGTTAACATCTGCAATGAACACCCACCTGGCCAACCAAAGCAAAAATGGGAGCAGCCAATAGGTCTATTGCTCCTACACCCAGATTCTGATCCCTAAATACTTCCAACACAGGAAATGGTCCCACTCAAGCCTTCTAGAGAGATTTTGTAATCAGGTTCTGAACTCTTTCTTAACCCTGAAATTAAGCATAGTGTCTATGCTTTATTTTCTGAACCACAATTTCTGATAAGACAACTTACCATGAAATGTTAGTGGATGTGGTAGAAGGGGCATTATGAGGAGTTGGGAATATATTTAGGAGTGGGAAAGAACACACCAAGCTTCTGGATTCGTACCATGTAAGCAACTGCCTCTTAGCACTAATAATAGTCAATCAGGGCCTTTAAGGCATTCTGGACTAGGCTGTGCTTAGTGACCTTGGACAAAACTTTAGGTCTGATTTCTTCAGTCACAGAAAAAGGGAATAGATTATAGTATTTATCAGATCATTTTCTTCAGAATCTCAGGGGATACTTAGAAGTGTTTTGAAGGAGAAAGGGAGGTCAAATAGTAAGGGAGTTCTAGGCCCCAACCACTGTTTCAACCACAACAACTCCCCTTCTATCAGTTTATATTACTGACATTCTGCCATAAGCCTTTTGTTGAAGATGCTGTTGCCACCACCAAAACAAAAGTGTAAAAAATCATTCCTTGTTCTGTGCTGACCTGATGAAGTTGATTCATCAAGTCATCACTGTGCCCCAAACTGGGAAGAGTGGCATCTAAGTCATTATCTTGAAGTTTTATCTGGGACACCTAAATTAAATTGACAGTGCCCCACACTGAAAGGCTCTTGCTCTGTCCTTAGCACTAGGCTGGCAGCCTAGGGACACAGATCAAGATGAAGCAATCTCTAGGACAGAGAACTGATTGCCCTTGATTTAAATTCTCCCACTGAAATCACAGAGATTAAAAGGATGCCAGCACTGAGAATAGCAGGAAAACTGTCCTTAAATGACTTTGGCTATTGCTGATGCTTAAGTAGAGGTTGTTGCCTTTGCAATGACAGGCTTAGGGACTATTTCTTTTATCTACAAAATCATCCTGCATTACAGTGAGACAGATCTGTGAGAATTAATACCAGTATTACTAACAACTTGTTACATGCCAGCCACTGTGCTCTACCTGCATTGTCTCGATTTTCCTAAAGGCTCTGTGAAATATTATAAAGATCCTATGTTTCGAATGAGGCACCTTAAAGTTAGGGGAAGTAGATCACCTAAGGTCACAGTAAGTTTAGGGAGACAGAACTTCAGTGCAGATCTGATGAACAACAGAGTCCGTGCTTTAAACACTAAACTCCACTGACTCTTCTTGCAAATAACTCTTCTGCATTAAAGCACTTTAAAGGCTTTAAATTCTTGACAGATATAACATCATATTAAATCCAAATACCTTAGTAGAAATGACTGTATGATATCTGACTTTATGAGATGGGGCAATATAAACTCATCTGGAACTGGGGAAACAGAAAACGACACAAGGGAAGGTGGGAGGAGGGAGGGCTTAGAGGACAAACCATTTACTTTTTGACCTCAGAGCTCACAAAGTTAACTTGCACCATAGCTATAATTTTGTCAAATCTCTTCTAATAGAATGTATACTACTTGAGGACAAAGATAACATCTTAATTGTCTTTGTAATGTGTAATTTTTCAAATGTGATACAGGAGGTAGGAAAATAAATGGGATGGATGAAACTCCTAAGATGTACTTTAAATAACTTACTTTATACAGATAAAGTAGAGCCTGCATGTGCTGAAATTGAAGACAGCTTGGAGGACAAATTATCTGAGGCACATATAAAATATATAGAACACACTATATATGCTTGAGGCATTTACTTCATGGGGCCTTAAGTAAGCCACTCAGTTGTGACATGCTTCTGGTCCCCCATGTCTTCCACTAAATTAAATCTATCTAATGGGCTAATGGTGAGCTAAATTGTTGGCCAGGTATATCTGCCTCTCTGAATGGAATAAGTTTGTGTGATAGCCCAGGGCACGTTCTGTCTTATGCTCTCTTGATCAGACTTCAGCTAATGTTCTTTTAAGCAGAGAGAGCTAGGGCATACAAACCCAGAATAAGCAGCACCATTCAGGAAGCATGACTTTTCCTACCTTCTTGCATCCCATGCTTTCTATTCATTTTTCCCATCTCTTTCCCCTTGTTTCTCATTCAATTCTAAATTGTGACTTAGGCATCTTCATTGAGCTCCAAGTCTTTCTATTCTGTGACTTCTGGGATAGCATGCCTGGTACTATATTCATGATCTTTTACTGTTGGATATAATTCCTCTACTTTGTCTTCTGTTCCTGATACTCTAGTTTTCAACTTGCTCTACTCTGTTCACCAAGCTTTCAATTGAGATTTTTATTTGGGATATTAAGCTGCTTATTTCAGATTGATTATTTTTCAGGGTTTCCATATCTTTATTGATTTCCTCTTTCATATCCTGCATAGTCTTCTTAATTTCATTCATCTGTTTGTTTGTATTCTCTTTGAGCTCATTCAATTGTTTTATCTTCTTTGAGATCAGACACCAGCTTGTGTGTCTCTCTTTTTTGAGCTTGTTAATCATTCTTACTATTATCGTTTGGAATTCAATATTTGAGAAAAATATGGAATGCTTCACAGATTTATGTGTCATCCATGCATAGGGGCCATGCTAATCTTCTCTGTATCATTCCAATTTTAGTATATGTGCTGAAGTGAGCACCTGGTGCTATAATTCAGAGGATACCACTGCATGAAGGTAACCTCCTACATTCATGGTTCCTACTGCCTTGGCCACAGCCTGAACAAAAATAGCCCCTACACTGATTACTAAATAGGTTTTTTTTTTCCATGCTAATGATTGAACCCAGGATCTATGCTAGGCAAGTGCTATACCATTGAGCTACATCCCCAGCCCATAAACAAGTTCACTACTCCTTTCCAACATCCATAAAAAAAAAAAAGACTGTTATAGGATTCCTATGTCCTCTTACCTGTAAGAGTGTGCTGTCTGCAAAGCCAAAGCCATCTTTTAATAAGGCTGTGATGTAGCTGAGATCCATGCATAGGAAAGGACTGCCTGAGGTAAAGTTCTCCAAGTTATCACACACTAAAAGTGAAAGAATGAACAGTGGAGTTCAAGTTTGCAGCTTACTGAGAAATGTTGAGTTTCCTCTAAATATAGACAGAGGTAGAAGCAGCAAAACAGAAGTCTCTATCTGGTTGGTGCCTGGGTCTCCTGGAGACTGGACTGTACACTGATCACCTCTGCAAGACCACAGCTTCTTAAGAACTTGCACATTTCTGGTATGAAATCTTATCTCCATATACTTGCATGGGTCTTAGATTATCTGCAAATTTTTCGGGGGTCCTGGTGATCAAACCCAGTACCTTGTACATGCTAAGTAAGTATTCTACCACTGAGCTATACTTCTATCCCTCCATTTGCCAAATTTCTATGACCTGGCTTAGTACCACGCCCCTTATCTATTATTAATACTGAGGCCTTGAAGACAAGGAAATACCATTTAGCCCTGTACTGGGGCTATTGGGTAGGAGCATTTATATTCTAGACTGATGAATCCCAAGGAAGCACCTGTGGCTATTTCCCATATATTTTGTTTTTATGTTTCTTAACACTGAAAACACTATTTCAATTAAAAAAAAAGAAAGGAAAAAATGTAGAAAGAAGGTTTTCAACAATTCTCTCATATTCTTGGCAGAATTTTATGCCATCTAAAGCTGTTCTCCAGCACAGATTAGAAAGCCCAGGAGGAAGCCAGTCCCCTGTGACAGGCTTTTTAAACTAAACAGGTGCTTTGCTTTTAGTGACTTTTGGTCACTGGAGTTGGCAGGAATACCCCATGGCTTGCCTTCCTGACACTTACCTTCCCTGGCTTTTCTTTCAAAATCTTCAACTTTTAAAATACCCCCCTTTTCATAATCTGAAATGAGACAGAACAGTTGCTGGTATCAAAAAGCCTTCAAGGAAATAAGGAAATTTATACTAGCTATATTTCTAATAAAAAAGTGAAAATTAAATCTCCAATCTTAAGCCAGATATGGTGTACATGCCTACAATTCCAGCACTAGGGAGGCTGAGGCACGAGGATTGTGAATTCAAGGCCAGCTTGAGCTACATAGTAAGTTTAAGGCCACCCTGGGCTCAAACAATCCAAAACAAGGGCTGGCAGAGTGGCTCAAGTGATAAGAGCACCTGCCTAGCAAGAATAAGGCCCTGAGTTCAAACCCCAGTGCTGCCAAAAAAAAAAAATGTGAAAAGAGTAGTTGACATTTTTGCCAGGCGCCAGTGACTCATGCCTGTAATCCTAGCTACTCAGGAGGCAGAAATCACAAGGATCAAGGTTCGATGCTGGCGCAGGCACATAGTTTGCAAGACCCTATTTAAAACAAACCCATCACAAAGGGCTGGTGGAGTAGCTCATGATGTAGGTCCTGAGTTCAAGTCCCAGTGCCTCCCCCTCCCCAAAAAATTCCATTATTAGATATTAGGATTCACAAACATAATATAGCCATACAACACAAAGCCATGGTGCTTCTTTTATCTATAATTAATGTGTGTTAGAAATCTTATGGTATATGTACACACATATATACATATATTTTTGGGTTTTGTTTTGTTTTTGATGGTACTAGGGTTTCAATTCAGGGCCTTGCACTTGCTAGGCAGTCACTCTAGGATTATGCCACCAAACCCAGTTTTTTTTGTTTTTTGAGACAACAGTCTTGCTATATAGCCTAGGCGGGCCTCAAACTCATGGTCTTTCTGCCTCTTCCTCCCAAGTACTGGGATTATAGGCCTGTACCACCTGGCCTGGCTTATGTTACATATTTAATCAGTATGGCTCATGGACAGGAGGAGTGACTCAAGTGGTAGAGCAACTGCCTACTAAGCATGAGGTTTTAAGTTCAACCCCCAATATGGCCAAAACTAAAAAAAATAGGCTCCTAAAAAAACACAATAAATAGGAAATTAACTCATATCTCTCAGGTTACAACAGGTCATATATATATATATACTCTCACAGCTAAACAAAAGCATAACTTTTGTGATAAGAAAAAAAGTGATCCTAATGGAGCAGGAGAAAACTGGGGCAATGGATATTTTGTTCATTATCTTGACTGGTGATCATTTCCCAGGTATATACATATGACACAATTTAGCAAATTGTATGCTCTAAACGTGTGCATTTATTGGATGTCAACTTGCTATGGTTTGGATATGAAATGCCCACACACACTCATGTATTATTGAAGGCTTGGTCCACAGGTGATAGATCGAATTATGGAGGTGACTAAACCATGTAGTAGGATCTTCCATAGGTGGGGCCTAGTTAGAATTAGGTCACTGGGGTCATGTTCTTGGGAGCTATCTCTTGTCCAAGGCCCCCTTCTTCTGTCTTGCTCTACTTCTTAACCACCAAGAAGCTATTCCTTGTCCTTCTGCCATGATTTCCTGCTTCACCATGGCCCAGAAAAACAGAGCTAGCTGACCACAGAGTGAAACCTCTGAAAACATGAGCCACAATAAATCCTTCCTCCTTCCTTTAAATTGTTTCTTTCAGGTATTTGGTCACAGTGATAAAAAAGTTAACTAGCATACAATTATACCTTAATGGCAATATAAACTGAAAGACTTCATGTGCAGTTGTTTACAACATCTTCTAGCTTCCAAAGACCCTGAGTTATATTTACCTTCTCATTCTAGAGGCTGGTGCAACACCTGTGCTGGAGAAGAGCTGGGAAATCACTCCAGCATAGCCTTGAAAAAGTTCTTCTTCTTGACTTTCCCTACTATAGCCCCATTCACTTTCTTTCCTGGCTTGATACCAGAGGTGAACTCACCAATCATGTGTGTGTCAGCGGCTCTATCATAATAGTAAGAGAAAGCATAGAAGGAACTTCCCCGGATTTCCTCTGGCTGGTGAAGTTTTCCTTGCACTACTCTCAGCACTTCAGCATAGCAGGGCTCAAAGCCCATCTCCCCTGTCAGGCAAAGATACACAAGGGTCAGGCAAAGATACACAAGGGTCAGGCAAAGATACACAAGGGTCAGGCAAAGATACACAAGGGTGACGTGAGAAAAATGATAGAGCAAAAGATCATTCTCTGAGGCAAGTTGCTGGGAACAACAGGAGGATCAAGGAGAAGCCCCAAGCTCACAACAAAAGATTAGTACAAAGGTGAACACATTTCTACAATCTCGTTGCTGTTTCTCCACCGTTAGCAATCCTTGCTAACCCATGTTCAGTAAACAGCCACAGAGCCACAGCTGCAGCCAAAGCTATATGGTAGCCTGCCATTGTGCCTTATGGTCTCTGTAAGCAAATATCCACAGGGCCCACCTGTTTCCTTCATTGAAAAAACAAGTTTTTTCCTTGATTTTAAGATCTTTGCTTTTTACAATATCTGAGATGAATCATTCTTCCTATCTCAATCTGAAGTTTTGCTTTGATTTAAATAGCTAAACATTAACTGAACCTGAAACAGGGTTTCATACTGCTGCACTAGATCCAGGATACAAACATGTTTCTAACGTATCCACAATACTCAGTCAAGGAAAGAGCAAAACGCTGAGTGAGAGCTACCTTGTTTGCTGTCTCTTCACATTAGTCCTAGAGGTATACCAAGATTTTTGGAATGAGTGCTTGCAACATGATAAGCTTCTCTTGAGCTCTGGAAAGTTTCCCACGGGACTTTGCTATAACTTCTACTGTAAAGGTAATTTTTGTTTTTTGTTTGTTTTTGTTTTTGTTTTGAGACAAGGTCTTGCTATATAGACCAGGCTGGCCTTGAACTTGTGATCCTCCTGCCTCACACTCCTGATTACAGGTGAAAGCCACTGCTCCAGCTCTTGTAAAGGTAATTTCAATCAGTAAGAAAATATTACTCACCTTCTTGGTTGCCACCATAGTGGTATTTCACACCCCCAAAGATCCACTCTGCTTCCAACCATCTTGGCAGACAAGCACTTCGGAATGTGCGTCCATCAGTCCCTGAAAGAAAGGCACAAAGAGGCAAGTATGTGTGAGAGGGGGAGGAAGACAAGAAAGAAGTCCTTAAGGCTGAAAGGAATAACCAAGGAGGCTGGACCTTAAAATCTTAAGAAATTAGTTCCTTGACTACCTCCTGTGGCAGGTTTTTTTGTTTTGTTTTGTTTTTGTAGTGCTAAGGATCAATCCCAGGACTTTGCACATACTAGGCAAATACTCTACCACTGAGCTATATCCCTAGTAATAGGTTTTTTGAGACTTTTTGAATCTCAGACTGGCCTTGATCTTTTGATCTTCCTGCCTCCACTTCCCAAGTGCTGGGATTACAGGCTTGCACCACATGCCCAGACAGGAATTCTTTCTTGTTCTGGCAATACTAGGTTTTGAACTCAGGGCCTCACGTTTTCAAGGCAGGTACTCTACCACTTGAGTCACTCTTGCCAGCCCTGTTTTTGTGTTGGGTATTTTTGAGATAGGGTCTTTCAAACTATTATGGGTGTGATCGACCAATGCCTGGCTCAGGCAGGAATTCTTAACTCAGGGTTCACAGACAAGCTTCGTGGCATTGGTGAACCCCCTGAAACTAAAGGTGGATTTTCGTGTTCATGAAAATCATGGGTCCATAGCTTTTATCACATCTCAAAGAAATCCAAAATCTACAGTAAAGTAAGTTCCTGGGGACTGGTGAAGTGGCTCAAGTGGTAGAGCGCCTGTCTAGGAAACATGAAGCCCTAAGTTTAAACCCTAGCACCAAAAAAAAAAAAAAAAAAAAAAGTAAGCTCCTTTCTTTCTACAATGGGAAAAAAATACAGTGCTACTTCCTTCACCGGAGCCAAGAGGCTTAAGTGAAATATACTTCAAGATATTTAGTAAATTCTGAAATTCTATATAATCTTTATCCTGATACTAGCTCACTGTGAGATAGGTACCATACAAAGTGCATTAAATGCAAAAATCACATTTAAGATGAGGAATAGGGCACAGCAATGCCAACTAACTTGTCCCAAATCACAAAACTAGGACCCTACCCAGTTCTACCTGTCCTCAGTTGGAAAGAGCTGAGTGGAGTTCTAAATTATTCTTTTTTTTTCCTCCCCTTGGCAATACTGGGATTTGAACTCAAAGAGTCCCACACTCTCTAGGCAGGTGCTCTACCAACTGAGCCACACCACCAGTCCTGTTACTCACTTAGTCCATCTTGCAATTAGAACAGACCCTGCTTTCTGCATCTTCCATGGAAAGCTAAGGGCTTTTGAAAGCTCCTGTCAAATACTGCAGAGGCTTCAGCCTTCTAGCCATAGCCTCTCACCCCTATATGAGTCGACCTCAAATACACACCAAAACATCTGAACATTACTATTATTATACAACAAGTGTTTCCTAATTCAACATAAACTTTTCTTCCACAGAATCACTGTCAAGAAAGGAAAGAGGCGAGCTGAGTACTGATGTCGCCTCTCACCATCCTCCACCCAGCCCAGGCACTCGAACAAACCTTCTGTCTCCAGAGCTCCCAGGGTTGCTAGTCTTGCAGCTTTCAATCCAAGTCCCAAGTAACTGTAAAATACAGGATTGACAAATTTCATACTGGTCCTAAAGTTCTCCAGCCCAAAGCTACCTCTTTCAAAAGTAACATAGTTTCTCTGACTCCCTTTGGAGAGATGAAAACCTTATTCTGTTTCTGTGATTAATTTATTTAATGTGATCAACAAGTGTTTCCTAATTTCTACACAATTTGTATCAAAGCTATACAATAAGAATTGCCTATGGGTATGATTCAAAGGCCTGTGACAATGATAATTCTTAGTGTCCCACCCTGGGAATCATTCCCAGAAAAGCCCTCATTATTTTAGCTCTTATCCTTACTAGAATCAAATTCCAGGCTGGATTCTGAAGGCCAGATCAAAGGAGTTGGTTGGAGCTTTGCCTGAATACTGAGGCTTCTTCACGTGTCCTCTCTTTAAACTCATATCACATACTTCCTTTTTTTTTTTTTTAGTGGGACCAAGGTTTGAACTCACAGCTTCGCACCTGTAAAGCAGGCACTCTAGAGTCCATTTTACTCTGGTTATTTTGGAGATAGAGGTCTCATGAATTATTTGCCCAGGCTGGCCTTGAACCATGATCCTCCCAATCTCAGCCTACCATGTAGCTAGGTGCCACTGGCACCTGGCTCATCATGTACTTTTGAGGCAAGAATGGAGAAGCTTCTTAAGTCCCTTGAGTTTTGGTAAGTGACTTGGGTTTCAGTTCATAGGGCTTAGGGAACTGGCAAAGACATTATAATACTGATCAGATATAACAGATGTGAAAACGCTTTCAAAAGTTAGGAAAAACATAAAATGTGAAATATTATTCCCCCTGATCCAAACCTCACCTATGTGTATAGAGTTTATAAGTGCTGTTAAACATCTCAAAGGAAGTGAGGTAGCCCCTAGGGGTTTGTTCCAGGGTTTCCTGCAAATCAGAAGAAACAAAATGACTATTCAGAATTTGCAATTACCCGAAGATCTTATTACACCACTCCTGTCCCTCCCTTCAAAAACCAGACATGAGACAGGCTTCTAATCTCCCATGGCTTGAGGAATCAAAGGGACTCTGAACAATGAGAGGGCAAGAAGAAATTCACTCAGTCACAAATTGACTCTACTCAGCCTGTTCCTGGTGGAGCTGCTGTCTGAAAATGCGGTGTTACTTTCTTGGCACCATGATTTACATTGCCAAACTGACTTTCATGTAGATGACTCACCTCAAACTGGGGTAGAAATGTGATTTGGGTGGAGGCACCCCCCAGGTCCAGGGTTCCCACAGTCTCCTGGCCATAACCATGCAACTGACCTGTCAATGAAAGCCAGCTCTGAGTATCCTTCATATCCGGGACAGTCCAACACTCAATCTGTTTGCAGGCTCTCCTGCTCTTGTTGTACACCAAAGGTATTCCATAAATGCTCCACTGCTTCCTAGCCCCAAAGACTGCAGGTAAATGTCAACTCAGAAGGATTCTTGCTGCAGCTGAGGTCTTGAAGGCAGGTTTTAAACATTAACTTCTTGTTTATCCTTCCCTTCCCAACCCCAACTGCTTTTGAAAAATAATAATACAGGAAGCGAAAAAGGATTTTTACTCTTCTGATCATTCCTATGAAAGTCAGTTAGTCTTAAGATAAACTCGAGGGTGTATTTATTACCTGTTAGAAAATTCACAGTAACCCATGCTAATATGCCTAAAAGAGAAAAAGGTGAGAATTATATTCCAGAGCATTTTTTTTCCTTTTCTGGCTCCACTTTTGTTCTTTTTCTCTCTAAATTAATGTCCAGAGCATCCATTTCCCTATTCTCCCTTCCTTCCATTACCTGCTATCACATTCCTCCTTGCTTGTTTCTCCCTCCTTAGTTCCTTCTTATTCAGTGCCTGCTCCCTGCTCTCAGTTCTTTTTTAGATATTTCATTGGCCTGGCCCTTTCCCCTGGAATATATTTCACCAGCTCACTCACCTTCATAGGATCCATCCATGATGCTGACACTGTCATCTGGGACCAGGAAAGGTGACTTCTTGAAGATCTGCTCTACCTATGGAAAAAGGGAAAACATCTAGATTCTCTTAGACAATAAAACAGAGTCCCACATTTTGGCTGTGTTCTATAAGGCTTAGGAAACTACTCTCATTACTTTTTCTAGATAAAATTTTAGCAGAAGTCAGTCCTTTTTCCCTGAGAAACCAAAGGAACCAGTTTCTTACAAAAACACAAACACAGGAATTCTTTTGATTTCAACCAAAACATAAATTTATATATCAGCTAGATCTTGAGAAGGGCATATATTTGACCTTATCAACTAAAACCAAGCTCCTCATTTTTGGTCATATACCTGAAGGAATGTAAGTCAACACACAATAGAGATAGATATCTGCACACATTAGCCAAGTTATGGAATCAGCCTGGGTTCCCATCAACAGATGAATAGAGAACTCATCTCTTTATTCAGCCACAATGGAGTATTATTCAGCCATAAAGAAGAATGAAATTATGTCATTTGTAGGAAAAATGGCTATAATTGGAGATCATCATGTTAAGCAAAATATGCCAGATTCAGAAAGACAAACACCACATGTTTTCTCTCATATGGGATGCTAGATATAAAGAAAAAAATGAAATGCACATAAATGGGAGACTTCTGAGGAGGAACCAGGGGGAGGTGGTGTAAGGGAAGCATGACAGAGGTGACTGCATTATTTGGATGAGGGAGGCAATTTAGAAGCAGACACGTAAAGCAGCATGGGAAACAACAGGCTTTTCAAAGAAATAAAACAGCTTCTCAGAGAAGTAACAAGTACCTTACCAAGGTAACAGAATATAACTACAAAATATGGGTGGTGGACCCCAAAGGCCAGAACAAGCTGATCAGACCTTCCCAGAATGTTCTGTTCAATAAGGATGGGGACGAAGAGATGGCCGGGTTAAGCAAGGAGTTGACTTGGCACCAATCAATCACAAATATAGTTTCAAGATAGAATATTCCAGAGAGAGACCTATATCACTCCCAGACTTCAGCTATACTACAGCTTCGCTTTCCTAAGCCCCTCCCACTCTGGGAATTTTTGCTGTCTTTCAATAAACCTTGTACTTTCTTCACTTTTAACTCCTGGTCCAATGTTTTCAATAATCGACTTTGTCAGGACACAGAACTAGGGATCAATGATCCAGTATCAGTGGGAGGGGAAAAAGAGAGGGGAATATGATCAAAGCACATTGTATGCATGTATGAAAAGATCGTAACTACAAGAAAGATTAAAAAAAGGGGCAAGAGTCATAGAGGGGGTGAATATGATTAAAGTACATTATATCTATGTACAGAAATATCACAACAAAACTCCATGTTGTACAATTAATATATGCTAATAAAAATGTGGGGGAAATCCTGTAATTTTGATCTGTAGCCTGGATTAATTCTACCTGGGGGAGCCTTTCCACATCCATTCCTTAGATGAGCAGATGAATGTGCCATGGTTAAGGAGCTGAGGCACTCTGCCTATTGGATTCTGGCACATGGCTGGGGTCACTAGAGTCTTAGGGAGACCCCAGACCTAGACTTATGGAGTCCTATTTTAGGAGATGGGAATGAAATCTTGCACAATCTTGATTCTCCATCAATTTAGGCAAATGATATGTGTGTTGTATCTTATTTTTATATGATTATCATGGCAGAAAAAGATCCTCCAAATATGAAGAACTCTTGTCAGTTTGCTGTTCACCTATCTCACCGGAGGAAATACATTGTAAGTATGACCTTTGGACCCTGTTTTAACTAGCAGAAGCCAGTTAAGTGATCTGTAAACAAGCTTTTAGGGCAAAGACAGATAAGTAAGCAGGAACACAGGGCGTTTTGCTCTTGCCTTCTCCATTCCTCTCTTCTGTCCCAAGTTTGTTTTCTTACTGCCTTTTACACAGATTATCAGATCATCTCTCCTTAGTGCAAAATCTTCTGGTGGTTTCCTTCTTAAAGAAACAGCCAAAGTCTCTTTGTACTAGGCCTTGAGAACCTATATGACAAACTCCCCACTACCTTTCTGATCTCCTTCCTACTTTCCCTCTCAGCCATGTTGACCTCATGGATGCTGTTCCTGCCTTCAGCCTTTGAACCTATTGTTTTGTTAGCTGTTTAAATAAAATGTTTTCACAAATTGTTGTATAACTGCTTCTCCATTCCCTTACATCTCTGATCAATTTTATGAAAGAAGTCTTCACTTCTTAAAATAGCACTCCCCACCAGCATTCCCTACCTGCCTTACCCTGCTTTATTTTTCTCCATAGAATCTACAGTGCCTGACATACTTCATATTGATTTGCTTAGCTGTTTATTTTCTGTTACCCTGAAACTAGAAGGTAAGTCTCATGGGAGCAGGGTCTGTTTGTCTTTTTTGTTCCTTGCTGTCTATATCCCCAATAACCTTACCAGTGCCCAGAACATAGTAAGCACTCATATTGAAGGAATGAATGAATGAGGAACGGGCATTCAGAGTTGCAGACATGTTAGGCTGCTTGCCCTTTGCAAAGGACTTAAGCCTCAATGCTGATAGTCAAAGAAAAAGGATTTAAAGGGCTATACTAGCACAGCTATAATACGGAATCCTTTTTTCTTTGATTTTTATTATAAATGAGCTTCTGCCTATAAATATTCTTTACAAGGTGAAATTAAACCTTATTATGTGTTTATTATATAATAATGAAATGCAAAACTGAGTTTAGCAAAACTCTACACTTAAATTTTTTTTTATTTCAGTAAGAAGAATGGTGACTTTCAAACTTTAAAATTTCATGATTCTTCTCAAAAACTTTTTTTTTTAAACTTTATGTTGACAGGGAAAAAAGTCAGACATGCAAAAAAGAATATAAAGTCTATGATTCCATTTATAGGAAATGTGAGAATGAGCAAATCTTATCTATAGTAACAGAAAGTAGATCTGTGGTTGCCTGATTTCAGAGGTAAGAGAAACTCTAAAGGGGGCTCAAGGAAACTTCTGTATTTGTCAAAATGCATTTACCTTAATACTTTAAATAGACATTTTATTGTATATAAATTTATCTCAATAAAGTTCATTAGAAACATTTTATGATTCTGATTTTAAATATCTTGGGCAGGAAGTACTTTAAACTTCTTAGGAAAAGCGCTATGAAGTTGAGTGTTACAGATAAAAATGTAAAAGTAAAAAGTAAGTACCTACAAGAGCCCAGCGTTACCACAGTGATTTAGCAATGGTGGGATACTGAAAGCAGCAGTCATACTGCAAAGGGCGAAACACCCATAAAGAATGAATAGAGGAGAAAACAGAATTATCCAAGCTGCAGATTTCAAAAATTACCTCAAAGAGCAGAGCCTGGGCTTTCTTCTCCGGCAGTAAACGCAGTCCTGCTGTTGCCTTCAGAACTACTGGGGTCCTTTTCCAGTGACTTTGGGGAATTGAATCTTTGGCCACCTCTAAGAGTCCTTGAACAGTCTCAGCACCCTTCAAAAGAGACAACCTATTCATCCAATGAGCAGTCCATTTAGTAGCACTGGGATTTCCTTCAGTGTGCTTTCAGGGAACAGGAGTGATATAGAAGAAGGCATCAACCTTCTCTGTTCTACAGATGCAGAAACCTAGAGACGTGGAGCACTGTGAAGAAGGAGACTATCATTTTGATAGTCACAATAAAAATTATTCCTTAACAGTGTGGTCATTTTAGTTGTTATTTTATGTCTCAGTTAATTAGGTTTAGGCCAGAAAGTTCAGCATAGTACAGAGAACTCAGGGGGACATGGTCACTCAGCCTTCCTGGGATTTAGTTCCCTTAGGTGTGAAATGGGAGATATACCTCATATCACCACTAAACTGTTGTGTTTTCTAGATGAGGCAAGTGAATGTGGTTGCCACATAAATGCTAGCTGTAGTTGTTATCATGTGATCTCAAGAACAGAACATGTCAGTCTCATTTTTGTATCACCAGCACACAGCAGATCAATTTACAATAAATGAAAACCGTAATTTACAATGCAGTGTTTCCCTGAGAAAACATTTATTCTGATAACACACTCCTTTTACTTATTATTAGCAACCATAACCCAATCACCTTTTCTAAATGTCAAATCAGTTTCTGATGATGTAGTTGCTTTCAATAGCTCCTAATTTCCTAGCACATCTATCAAATCATGTGCTGTTGAACTAAAATGTACATCTTCTTCAAGCTCAAACGTTTTTTTTTTCAAATTTGAGATTATCATGCTTTAGCCTCCTGAGTGCTGGGATTATAAGTGTGTGCTGCCATGCCTAACTTTCAAACTATTTTGTTTTAGTTTTTGTTTTGAGACAAGTCTCACTATTTAGCCTAGGCTGGTCTGGAGCTCACTGGATAGCCTGGGTTGGCCTTGAAGTCACAGTTCTCCTGCCTCAGACTACTGAATACTGGGATTACAGGTATGCACAATCATAACTGGCTTAACACCATGTTTTCCCTTGATTAACAATTATTCTGTGACCCTGAACAACCCCTTTACATCTACTACCAAAGTTCAATGTTCTGCCTTATTTTTTATTTCAGCATGGCCTCAGAAATGCCAGCATAGTATATTGTAGATGCTCAGATGTGAAATACAGCCATCAGTCACCACAAACCCTCATTCTTCATGTCAACATATGGTGGTGCCAGGTTTCTCAGGTACAGGTATGGTTCCACCCTATATCAGGCCACTCTAAAGTGGAATTCATTAGATTTCCATCCCTCAATTTCCATGTTTATGCCTCAAATCCTATAGAACTTCATGCATAGGTTCTGTATTTACATTAGCTGATGCAGCTGATGGCTTCCTTTTTTTTTTGTGGCATTGAGGTTTGAACTCAGGGCCTCATGTTTGCTAGACAGGTGCTAATCAACTTAATTAATTCAAAAACTTAAACCAGCAAATACAAAGAAAGCAATTGCTTAAAAGCTGGTATCATTTCCTCCATGAGAGCACAATGTATTTGCTACCCTCCTTTCACCCAGCCCTTGTAAGCCTGTATACCATTACTGTTATCCAGAAGACTCACTGAAGAAAGCTGATTTCACACATAGTCTCAATATCACCAATGAACAGCATGAGGTATTTAACAGTAATGGTGTCATAGTTATCTAGGCACTGAAAAGTTGATCAAATTGATCTTTTGATGAGCTCAAAAGAATCTCACCTGCTTAGGTTGGTCTACAAAAGCAGAAAGTCCTGGCTTCACAGATTCAAAAATTTCCCCTTCCAGATATGGAAGCTGTCCTATTTTGTCAGGGAACAAAATAGAAATAGTTGATTACCAAAAGTTAGGCTTAGATTAATCTACTTTTTTTCCAAACTATTCCAAATTATCCCAGTTGTTAGGAAACTCTGGCAGAGTATTGGGAAGGGAGAATAGGGACAACAGACAATCCTTGAGGTCCCTCCTCTATTTCTCTGGGGGATGCCTAGCTCCTACTCTTTTCCCCAGACCCTTTATTTTTTATTTAATTTAATCAATTTGGTGGTACTGGGGTTTGAACTCAGGGCCTCATTCACTTTATTTGGTGATACTGAGGTTTGAACTCAGGACCTCATGCACTTGATTTATTATTTATTTGTTTGGTAGTACTGGGGCTTGAACTTGGGGTGTCATGCACATGATCCATACCCCCAGTCTTTTTTTGCTTTGTTTTTTTTTTTTTTTTTTCCAGATAGGGCTTCAAACCACAATCCTTCTACTTCTGCCTCCTGTGTAGCTGGGATTATAGGCATGACACCATACCCAGCCTATTTTATTTTTTAATTTCTGAGACAGGGTTTTGCCATATAGCCCAGGCTGTCCTTGAACTTGCTATCAGGCTGGCTTCAAACTCATGATTTTCTTGCTACCCAGGCTCTTTAGGTAACCTGAGGAAAGAAAACTAAATTCAGAAAAAGTTAATCTTCAGAGTCCCCTCAGCCCCTTCTCCAAGGATGGCAGTAAAACTCTCATGTGATCCTTTCCCCAAGATCACTACCAATATTCTCAATATTCTGGACCCCCTAGAGTATTAACCACTTTTAGGGAAGAGGAAGGTTAAGTAACAGCTATACTTCTTAAACATACGGGTTTCAGACTGCAGGCAGCCCAGATCTCTCAATTTCATATTGAATTAAATTATATGTTCAATTACAAACCAATGTGTTTTCTAAGAAATACATTCACCACCAGTATTCTGTAATTCACATCAGATACTCAGCTCAGCACATTTGTTGTGCTGAGGAGATGCTAAAGCATAGGTTCTAGCAAGGCTCCCGGTTGCACTTACCTGGTATTTTCTGCACAAAGGTGTAAACGTGAATTCGAGTTCCAGTACTCCCTGCATCAAACATAATTCCATACAAGGTGCTGGCACTGACATTTATGGGGCACATAGAAGACAAGAAGACACCCTCAAACCAAGTTTGCTGGTCTCTGTGAAAGACGGTGCTGCAAACACAGGGTATCACCAGCATGAAAAAGACTGCACCCCAGGAAGCCGCCATACTATTCCCAAGGTGTGGTGACTCAGTGCTTTCTTGCAGAAGCAGTGCTGCTCACACTCCTGTAGTAGCTTATGGAACAAAGATGCATAGTTAGTCCAGCTGGCTTTTTGGTTAACCTGTAAAAGAAGAAACACCCATATGGAAATTCTACCCCTGTCCCCAGAGAGTTCCTTCTCTATTTCTAATAACCAGTACAACAAGCTAAAGCAGTGTAATACAAGACTTTAGTACCTTTTCTGAAGGGTATCTGGTTCCAAAAGGAAACTGGAATTTAAAATATATTTTCCCATTCTTTGCTTTTAATGGTAGGGTGATTCTCACATACTCAAAGAGTCTCTCTGCCACCTTGATCTTATGGTTAAGTTTAACGTTCTTCTTTCCATTTTGACAATTTTCCCAATACATAATAAACTAATACCCCTGTCTGCCTTCCTCCCGTCTGTCTCTTTCCTTCCCTTCCTTCTTTTTGATCGACAGACAGGAAGCTTCAACCTCTAGATGAAAGTTATAAAGAAGTCCCTATCTTTGGAATGTTCACAGCCTCCAAAAATCAGGTCACTGGAGCTGGCAGAGTGGCTCAAGTGGTAGAATGCCTGCCTTGCAAGTGTAAGGCCCTGAGTTCAAACCACCCCCCGCCAAAAAAAAAAATCAGGCCACTGAACTATCACCTGTGATCAATAATAATGACAGTGGCCTACATATTCAACATTGTAAGGAAATACATCAATTTACTTTAAAAAACTTAAATAGACCATAATGTGTTTTAAGCTAGCTTTCATAGGTCACATTATTGCATAAATTTAGGCAAAGATGTTCTATGACTTGCTGGAAGTCATAAAGCAAGTAGGTGGTGAAGTCCAGATCAAAAATCAGTTTTCAGCCTTATCTACCTTTATTTTTCCTGATTCCAAAAGCCTGCCTTATGGGAAGTTATTGCTTATATTTTTAATGTCCCTAGCAGAGAAAAAACAGTGTGCTTGGAATTATTTGTTTAGAATTTGCATATTGTGGAGGTTGGATATAAATCTAGGGTAAGGCCCGGAACACAGTGGAGAGAGCACAAAGTGTCAAGTCAGAACACCTGGGTTTCAGTTCTACCATTTGTGTCTATTGGGAAGCTGCATGATCTTGAGCAAGTCCCTTAGCATCAATGAAACTCCATGTCCTCATCTGTAAAGTGAGAACAGAACATCTGTTCTATCTTCCTCCCATGGGTATTAGGAAAATCAAATGAGAAATCACACACATGCACACACAGACACACACACTCACACACACTCGGTTTAGTTATTTAATTACAGTGCATTGTTCACAGATTATGTAACATCTTCTAGTGTTTTTCCAGGACTGATATTGTGAAAAATGAAGAGAGAATGAATTTTTTTATTATTACTGGGGAATAATTTTCAAAATGTACAGGAGGCTTATTTTTCCTCATTCTACACCAAAGCCATTATAGAAAGTGTTGAATGTTCTTGAAGCCTGTGATAAATACACAATAGTGTTCAGTGGAATAAAGGACCCATTCTACCCAGCTGTTTTAATTAAGCTTTCTTTTCTTCTTTTCTCCTAGAGGGAGATTAAATGAGAAACAAACAACAACAAAAAGTTAGGTGCTTTCTCATTTGGTGATTTGTAGCTGTTCTGTTGGGATGCTCAGGTTGTGTCTTATGATTTTTGTCTGAAAACAAGAAATGGAATTCCTCAGGGTTAAGGTTTTTTAGCTGTTGTACTAGCGCCATTTGGGCTGGATACTTCTTTGTGATGGGAGCTGTTCTGTGTATGGTAGGCTGTTTAGCAGCATCTCTGGCCTCTATTCAGAATGGCAAACAGTCCACCCTTCCCAACAACAAAAAGTATCTCCAAACAATGCCAGGTATCTCCTGGTTAGGCTATATTTTCCCTGCTTTAGGGTGTCTATTCTGTTATTAATGAAAAATGTAATTAGTTATCCTATAACCATTAAGACCTGCTTTGCTGGCCATTATATATTTGCTCAAAATAGATGTGGGTCTTTTGATTCAGCTTTCATGCCTGGATTTCTTGTTCAAGTCATAGTTACTGGCCAAGTGACAAGATCTGAGCTCAAGGCTCTGATTTCTCAGTTCCCTATCTCTAACAGAATACTTGGTACATTTGGAATGCAGATTAAGGATTCACAAGCATTCTCCAGTTTGTTGACCATCTAGGGTTTATTTAACACCTTCCTCCCCAGAGATGACATAATACATAAAATAAAGCAAATGAAAATTTATTGGACTTGGAATTAAAAAAATTTTTTTGGTGGGACTAGGAGTTGAACCCAGGGCTTCATCCTTGCAAAGCAGGCACACTGCTGCTTGAGCCACACCTCTAGTCCATTTTGCTCTGGTTATTTTAGAGATGCAGACTTGTGAACTATTTGCCCCAGGTAGCCTTCAACTGTGATCTTCCTTATCTCAGCCTCCCAAGTGGCTAGGATTACATGTATGAGTCACCAGCACCCAGCTGAATTTAAAAATATTTAAAATAAAAATATTTAAATATTACAAAGACAGAGCTGTAATCATTCCACTGAACACTATTCAAGGTTGAACTTCTATTCTGTGGCTAAGAATGAAAGCTACAATGAAGAGTGCTCAACTTTCAGAATCTCAAACAAAAGAAACTTCATCCTAGGAAATCAACCACTGAAACAGGGCAACTGCCTGGCCAGTTTCATACTCACATCTTACTTAAAGCACTCCCTGTGGCTGATTCTTCTTTTATAGCATGGGATGGTTGTGTAGATCAATCTAAATAACTGAAAACAGAAATACCTTTTTAGATTTTCTGAGTATTAACAATGGACCCGTGCTTTGTTCAGCAGTTGGTCTCTCTTCCCTCAGGGCATTAGAAATGCTCCAGGCACCAGCTTTCCTTCATCTATGTGACTGCAGCTTCTTCAGGGGTCACTCAGATTTTCTGTATTATAGTGGTTCCTGAAAAACCTCTTCAGCTTCTATTTTCACTAAGCAAATGTTCATTTTTCTTCTAGAAGAGACTTAAAGGGGAAAGAAATGTATCTAGGTAGCCATTGACATGGAGTGAAAAACTGCAGAGTCATACCAGGTGTTCAGAGTAAAACTTAAACAATAGATTTTAGAGAAAGCATGCTCAGCACCTACCTTCTAACACCACTTCCCAACCTCACTTTTGTTTAAAGTTAGCTGTTACCTTTTAAAAAGGTATTAGAAAGGCTTACATTTATAAAAGGCTTGCCATTTATAGAATGGCATTATATCTTACATAACCTGTGTTCACAGCTTGCTCATTTGCTTTTTAAAAATATTTGCTCAATGTCACTTTCTCAGCGAGACCTTTCCTGTCCTCCCTTTTTAAAACTGCAATTCAGCTGGCCACAAGCACATTCTCTATTGCACTTTTCCAACACACTGTATAATTCACTACTTTTATTTTCATATTCCCTGCTTTATCCCAGTCCCACCCCCCCATGTGAGCTATATGTCTGCAGGGATTTTTGTGTTTCATTTCTGATGTATTACTGCTGCCAGAAAAGTGCTAATACATAGTAGGTGTTGAATAAATACTTTGAAGGAAGAAATACTGATCCAATAACTCAGGAACTAGATCTCACCCATCTACCAAGAATACAATAACTGACTTCTTTCCAAAAGATTAATTACCCATCCACTGGATGATCATGATTCCACCCTGCTAAGGAAAAACTGTTTTCCCCAAATGTGTCAATTACATACAGGTGTCATTTCATTCAAATGTGTCAAGTTTTATATGCTACTCAAAATAACGCAGATAGTCAACTTTCTTTATAGACTGAGGATGAATATACATCAGTATATTTAAACCACTCTTTTCAGGATCGAGAACTGTGCATCTTCTCAGTATCTCTTACTCACTCTCTTGTATTTCCTTCAACAAATGCCCCTCTTCCATTATTTTCTGGAAACTCTGGAACCAGTCAGTGTTGGTCACTCACTACGTTTATCTCTTTCTAAGGTCTTTTCAGTGTTGTTTGATTTTGTCTCTTTGTTTTGAGACAGTCTCACTATGTAGCCCAGGCTGGCCTTAAGCTCACCATTCTCCTACCTCAGCCTCACAAGTTTTTCTTTATACCTGTAAGAAACACTAATCCTCCCAACTCAGCTTACTCAGAGCTTTCCATTCTCCTTTCCCTTCTTCCATATCCTCTAAAGCCTGAGAGATTATAATGCCAGAGAACCCAGGCCCCATTCAGGTGCTCACCTGCTCATGTCTGATGTCTGCTGTGAATCCTTGCTTTCACTATTGGTTGCCTTTTGCTCTTTGCTCCTAGTCAAACTCTTCTGAATCAAGCTAGCTAACAAACCAAAGTCACCTTTGTGCTCGTATGCAACTGTGTGAAATTTTGCTAACTCATTCCCTTCTTTATCTCTCACTCCTCCCTTCTCTACCTTTTGTCTGGATACATGATTGTCTGGTTCATCCACTTTTATGACAGTTAATGCCACCTAGTAGAATTATTGCTCATAGGGCAAAAGTTGCTTGAGAACTGAATTCCGGATTGTTTTTACATAAGCCAAATAGTGGAAAAGTTAAAACCACTTCTCAATAGTTTCCAACCCTGAGACTGAATTTAGACAGCAAGGCACTGGTTATCTAGTTAATAATCATCTAGGGCTGGTAGAGGGCCTCAGGTGGTAGAGTGCTTACAAGCGTGAAGCCCTGAGTTCAAACCCCAGTACCACCACCAAAAAAAAGAAAAAGCATCTCATATATACCAGACATTGTGCTAGGTTCCAGATATAAGAAGGGAAATTGGATAGGCTTAGGAAACCTTTAGCTTACTAGGAAAAAACAGACAAGTAAACCAATATTTATAAAACTGAAATAAGTCCTCAGACAGACACATGCACAGAGTGCTAAGGAAGGCATATAAAGGACAAGTAGCAGCACAGAAGGAAAGGATGGATGTAGGAAAGGAATGGGAGGCTTCTTAAAGGATAAGAGGTGGAAGTAGATCCTGAATCACAAGTAGAAATTACCCTGGGGAAGTGACATATGTAGAATTCTGAGACTCTCACTATAGCTGAAAAATAGAACAAAGAGGGCAAGTATAAGGAAGGATAGTTCTGGAGGCACTAAACTAGATTTCTAAAGGAGTAGACTTGTTTTCCTTGCACAGTTCCATGGTGACACCTAATTATTAATTAAGTCTTTCTATTCCCTCTGTAAGCAAATATTGATATTGATTGACTTGGATAAAATGACACAGTTATTTCCCAACAGTGGAAAATAATGGAAGGGGATAAGAGACTAGAAAGGTCTGAAAATTGAAATGTAAAAGCTTCCACTGATAACTCATCTACAGCAAAGCTCACTTTAACAAAATTAAAAATTAAACACCAGGAAAGTTTAAAATGTAACTAGAATAAAATTTTTAAACAGTAAGCTAAGCTATGGGAATAGACATAGCCAAACTATCCATTTTTTTGGCCACATCAAATAAAACTAAGTTGGGTCCAATAAGGTAAGTCTAGGACAGAGTTCAGCACAGTGTGTGAGGCGTCACTGAAGGACATAACTTCTGACTTACATAACCAATGCAAAGGGCAGAGCCTTCAAGACCTTGCCACCTAAAGGGTCTCTAAGGTGGGACTTCACCATAGCTTTTGTATTCTCAAAGCCAAGTACTGGGCCTAGAACATTAGTGAATGCATCCCAAATGGGCTTGGTATAATTGAGCTAACAGACAGGAACAGTGGAGAAAGGAATAGCCCTATTCCCAATGTCTCACTAAAATCTATATATCATACTCCAACTCCCTATTCCCCTTCAAATCAGCCCACAGATAAAGAGTACTACTTCAGGAAGCATATTTATTCATATCTTAACTCACTTTTTTTTTGTGGTACTGGGGTTTGAATTCAGGGCCTACATCGTGAGCCACTCCACCAGCCCTTTTCTGTGAAGGGTTTTTCAAGATAGGGTCTCAAGAACTATTTTCCTGGGCTGGCTTCGAACTGTGATCCTCCTGAACTCCTCCTCAAGTAGCTAGGATTACAGATATGAGCCACTGGTGCCTGGCTTAATTCACTCGTTTATCCATTCCAAAAATTATCAGTTGGTTACTAGTACTTACAAGTATAGCACAAAGACAAATCATTGTATACCTGCTCTTTAAGGAATTACAATAAGCAGGAAAAAAATGCATGTCTATAAATTACCTCACTAAAGGGCAAATATGACAAATAGCATTTACCATGCTCTGAGACTTCAAAGCTGGGAGAAATAGCATCCACTTGGAACTTTGTGGGACTGGGCATGTAGCTCAGTGGTAGAGTGCTTGCCTCGTATGTGCAAAGTCCTGACTTCGATCCCCAGCACTGAAGAAAAAAAAAATAGGGGGCTCTGAGAATAGTAAGCGGTGGATCAGTTTGACTAGCTGAAGTAAGAAATAAAGTTGAAACTGAGGTCAGATAGCTAAGTGCACTAAAGGGTTTGGACTACTCTGTAGGAAATAGAAGGCCGCTGGAGATTTTCAGCAAGAGAGTGTCACAAATAGAATCTGGCAATAATATATAAAAAGGACTGGAGTGGTCAGCTTTGTTAAGACCTCTCAATTATATAACTCTAAACATATTTACTGATGCCTGCTAAGAGCTAGGTGCCAGATAATGAAAGGTGAATAAAGCAGATCTTTTTATTTACGATGCTCAGAGTTTGGGAATATATTTTTCAGTGGAAGAGCACTTGCCTAGCATGTGCAAGGCCCTGGGTTCAATTCCCAGCACCAGGAAGAAAATAAGGTAAAGCTAGAAGTAACTACATAAATAACAGACATGGGAACCAGAGGGATTAAAAAAGTTGAAAACAGATAGTAGGAAAATTATGGATAGTTTGGCTTCATTTTAAAATTTCATTTTAAAAATTTTTGTAGGGAGAAGGAGGGGGTGGTAGGCAGGGGAGAGCAATGACCCAAACAATGTATGCACATGTGAATAAACAAATATAAATTTTAAAAAAAGAATTTTTGTCATATGAATTTAAGAAGCAAAATAACACAAAATGCAAAGTAAGGTACAGAAGAGAAGGGTTAGCATTTAATGCAGAGGGAAGACCGTGGCCAAAAAGAATACAATCCAAGTTAAGTCACTAATATTTATTGATACCTTATACATGCCACGTTCTATGTTATTTTTGTGGATTATCTCAATCTCATAACACCACTCTGAGTTAGATGATGCTATTAACATCCTTTCTATGAGAAAACTGAAGCTTAGAGAAACTTAAAGACCACACAGTAACTGAAGAAGAGCCAGAAATCAAACTCAGATGGTTCAATTTCAGATACCAATCTTATTGAGTAGGCCACCCTGAACACCTAGAAAGTGGCTCTAGGCAAAGATGGGTTTTGGTGGGGAAGGGAAGTGCATAGCACAGAATGGTCAGAGATGAGGCTGTAAAGTTAGACTTGCATCAGGATGTGAAAGTCTTACTGCACTCTGGTCTTTCTATATACAATCAAGAGCTTTTGAGCTCATTTTCCTGCTGGTTGAATACAGAATCCAACCATTTGTGACCATTTCCATTTACTAATATGGTCTAAACTGAGCCCTTCTTCTCCCACCTGGCCACTTTTTTGGGGTTGGGGATTGAACCTGGGGCTTCTTACATGCTATCCACTTGCTCTACCACTGAGCAACATCCCCAGCCCAAATGCTGCTTTTCTTATTGAGGCCTATCTTATAAACCTCCCACCCTCTAGTACCCCCTACCTTCTTTCTCAGTCTCCTTTTCTCTGAT